GAAACTCAAACCAGAAATAACTGCATCATGTGTCAAATAATATTGATGTTAATAATAACTGTCATATTTATAAAAAATGAATGATTTTTAATATTCCGTGATCTTTTAAATGAAAAAATAATAGGGAAGTCGGCATATATATTCATGAAATATGTTTTTTTTTCTTTCTAGGCGTTCGAGAACATTTGAATGTTACTTTGGAAGAAGCCTTGGAATTGGGTAAGCCTTTACTGGACGGAAGTTTTCACACACTTGTGGTCACACTCGGTGCTCACGGAGTCCTCGTCATTTCCAATTTGCAGTCAACGTCCTTCTTAGTCGGAAAATTGACCTCTCAAAAAGTAATTTTAAAATAATTTGTCGAAAAAAACATTTGTGTAATCATTAACATGTGAAATTATGTAGATATTTTAAAAATATATTTACAAAATTGTTTTCAATATTCTTTGCCTGAGTATTTTTTTCTATTGTTCATCACTGTTTGAAATAATTTTATAAAATATTTTGAAAGTTACGAAGAGAAATAACAGCGCTCAAATTATAAGAACAGCATAGTATATCATTGGATTTTTACAGATTGCTATAACAGTTCAATAATGTTTAAATCGAAAAAATAAAATTAAATAAAAGGAAAAGGGGAAATTAAAAAAAGAAAATAAACAAAGAAAAGAAAAAAGGAGAAGCGAGAGTGACCAAGCACATGAGGTTCAAAATAGTACTATAGTGTTTCAAAATAGTACTAGCAAACCTGACGGGGTAGCGTGGCTCGTAGGACGCTTCGCTCATATCCAAGAGGTTACGAGTTCGATCCCCGCCTGCCGAAGACTCCTAATGTACGGTGACTGGGGCACGTTAAAGCTGTCGGGTTACAAAGTCCTTCATCTTCCCATAACAAACAATTCTTCTGGAGGTACTGAATTGTAGATTGAGCGTTCTCTGGTTCAGGTCAAAATTACGCTCTGTGGATGGATGAATGGGTTCGCCCTAGCAAGTGATAGTCACGGGCTGTGACGTGTGTGTGGCCGAAGTCGTATTTGTGGCCATTGATGGCGCCACCTAAAAACAAGAAACGCACCCTCTGCGTTAAATTCGCTTGGTTGTATTGACAAGTGGCATTAGAAACAACAACACTAGCAAACCTATAGTCTAGCAGTTTTATTTTATTTCCTTATTTATTTATTTTATAACTTTTTTTTAATGAATTGTTTTGTTATTCATTCATAAAATTACTATCTTGCATTGCAACTGCTGGAAAAACGTTAGATAATTTTTATGGAAGTATACCTGGAAAGAAACATATAATTTTTTCCTTGCATTTAAAATTAAATAAATATGTAATCAAGTTAAAGTCCACGGCCTGAGATATTTCAAAGTGAGATCGAATTCTTCCCGATCATTCTTTCGAGAGCAGATTACAGAGGGACACGTAAAAAAGAATATTACACAATATTTAAAAACCATTAAAAAAATAAACGATAGTCAGAGGAGAAAAAAGTTAATAATTTGTTTATTGTCTTTACTGTAATGATTAGCAATGCAAATATTTGAGAGTGCAATCATTTAACTAAATGTTGCCTAAACCTGAATAATAACTTTTTGTAATTGTGGGCTACAAATTAGGTTCTTAGAAATGTGTGCACTCATTTTGTTAACAAATATAAACTGATTGTAAAGTTTCATAACTAAATTACAACAAAATTCTTAAATTTTGTTACGGGGACCCAAGGGATAGAGCTCTCGCCTCCCAATCAGGAGTCACAGGTTCGAATACCAGCGGTGTCTGATCGAGACGAATTCTGCTCCTTGCTCGCAACGACAACGGTGCTGACCTAAAGTATCATCAAAGGTAGACGGATCATGGGATAGAATTTTTTGTCGTCGGGCGGATAGTGGAAGGTTTTCGTGATTTTCCTCTTCATATTACGCAGGTGAGGGATAGTTTATCAACGAAAACTAGTTCACCCCCAATGCTTGATCAAGAAAATCTCTTGTCTTCTCGGTTGGGTTCAAAATTACAGGGCTACGGAGTTGAGTGGCAGTCGTAAACTCAAAATAAGATCAGCTGTTCAACTCCAGTTATTAAAAAAAAGTTTTAAATTAATATTTTTTATTTTTTCTTAGGGCGAACTAAGAGCAACATATTATCCATCTTTGAAGACAAATAGTATAGTGAGTGTGTCTGGTGCAGGAGACTGGTAAGATTAAACAAATAAATGCTTCAATATAAATTTAAATATCAAAATATATGCAGGGTGTTTCCATATGACCATCCTTAGTATATATTATTATTAGAAATCTTGACTAAAATGGGAAAACATGCCGAAAGGGACCGTTTAAAAACTATGCTTAAACTATGGGAATACAAAAACTTTGTCGAAATCTGAAGAGCCGCTCTTGAGAAACTTATTAACTGAAGACACGTTTGATAGAAGATGAGACACAGAGGATTTGGAACTATAAGGCTATCAAACTGATTTTGATGGTTTTCCTTCCTTCTTTCTAGCTAGTTATGTGAGAGATTTAGATAGTATTTTTTTCTTCTTCTTGCATTTACTATCCCGATCCATTAACTGACCCCTAATTTGTGTACGATTTTAACCTAATTTTTGAAAATGATTCCAAAAGTGTATGTGTTAAGAGTGGTCTCTACAGAACACCTTGTATGTATTCAGATTTTTCATAAATAAATTTTATATTTTAAATCATTAGAACTCTTTTGATTTAAGTTCCATAAAAAATATTTTGTTCTTTTTTGTGAGAAGGCGAAGAGGATACTATTTTTAAATTTTTCAAATGTTCTTAGCAAGTGTTAAGAAAGGAAAGCTAGAGATGGAATCTGGTCTTTTGTGAAGTTTAATACTTCTTGTTTCCCTTCTTTCATGTTCAATATTTAAAACAGAAAAAAAAAAGGATTTAAAATTTATTATGAGACTTTCTAATCAATTGGTACAGAAATTCTGTAATATTTTTACTCATAACATGAAAAAAATCGAGCAAGAATTACATTTAGCAAAGATAAATGCATATTCTTTCGAATTTGTAGTCCTAGAGCTCTGAACCTACTTTAGTTATGGATTTGTATTTGAAGTATATACATAAGCTGAAAGTGAATGAAATAATCTGGATTAGGATTTCCGTTGAAACTCAAACCAGAAATAACTGCAATACACGTTAAAAATGTTTGTTAGGGTATAGATTATTTATTGATTAACGATATTAGTTATTTTATTTTGTTTTGAAAAGCGCAGTGAGAAATGCTATTGCAATTTTATAAAGACTGCCTTTTTTTATAATTTATTCAATACATTGTTACTAGAAAAATAATATTTTCATCAAAAAAAAATTGCCATTTATTTTCTCATTGGCACTTAACTATTCATAATTTCGTAAAGGCAATTGAAATATTAAATAAATAATGGATTATTAATATGGGATCTATAAATGTAATTATAGGTTTCCAAAATCTTAAGAAAAACTGTTTGAAAAAAAGTCGGAACTCTCTTAACTTTTCCATGGATGTGTTCCGTGGACAACCATTTGGAAACCGCTGCTCAGTGTAATCTGTAGAATAAATGATTTTTACATTCTAGCGGTAACATACATATTGTTCTTTTTTTTTCAGTTTTGCATCTGGTATGATAGGAGGAATACTAAGAGGATTGCCCCGAGATTTTTGTGTTCAAGTTGGACAAAGGGCAGCCATTTTGTCTTTAGCTTCCCATTTAACAGTTCCTGAAACAATCAGTCCACAGAGTGTTTTCTTCCCTGAAGATTTCAACAAAGAATCTCTGATTATTTGTTGATAAAAACTACAATTAATGGATATACGCACTTTTTTTTAAAAAAAATAAAATATATTTTTTCATGCATCTTGGTGTTAATAATTAGCGTTGATCTATCCTTTCAAATCATATATTTGTTAATAAAATAAATTTGAATTGTATTGATTATTATTTTTGCATTAAACTTCTAAGCTGTTGGTTTCTTCTTAGGTCTACACCGATACCATTCACCTGATGAGTCTAACTGATGAGCTTTCTTCTTTTTTCGGCTTTTTTTGTGTCAAACTTAGTTAATAGTATCTTTTGTCCACTTTACCAATATTAACGTAATACCATGGTTCAAAGTTTAATTCGATATTTATGTTTTTTTTTTATAAACTATTTTTATATTTATATTCCTTTCTTAAAATATAGAAGTCATCGTTATAATATAATCGAAATCCAGAAAGCAAGTATTTTTAAATGTTGCCGTAAACAGAAACAAAGTTTTTATGGTTTAGTACCATTTGTAAATTAATTAAGCTGTTTTTCTTTCTCTTTTTTTTACTGTCATGCATATTAAGAATATATTTCAATATTTACATATTACGAAGGGCGAGAACAAAAATATATTAATATTATTTAATAAAAAATTTTCCTCGTGATAGTTTTCTTTTTGAACATTGAAGTTATCAAGTTAACTGCTATATTTAATATAACGTTAACCAATATGCTAGTATGTTGTTGTTTCTAATGCCACTTGCCAAATACCAGCAAGCCTTCTTGGAAAAAACCAAGCGAATTTTAGACAGAGGGTGTGTTTTCAGAAGCATCATATATGGCCAAAAATTCGACTTCAGCCACACACACACACACACACGTCACAGCCTGTTTTAAAGGATGGAACCATTTATACATCCATAGATCGCAATTTTGACCTGAACCAGAGAACGATCGATCTCAAATTCAGTGCCCACAGAGGTATTGATTTCTTATAGGAACTTGGAGGACTTTGTGACCCGACAAATTTGCACCAGTCACCATTTACTACACGGGGAGCCTTCGACCGGTGGGGATCAAACTAAAGGCCTCTTCGATATGGGCCCAACGGCCTACCAACCAGGCTATCCATGTCATATTATAAATTAAATAAATTAAAATTTATATTAATGGTATTTAATAAATAACTTTTCTTCTAATAACTTTTTCTTCGAACATTGAAATTAAAATGAAAAAAATCCAGAAGTCAAATGTATTTAAATTCTGTCATAAACAGAAAAGGAACGAAGTTTTTATTGTTTAATTAAACGACAAACATATATTAATAAATAAGTATTTCATATGTCATTTATTTTAAGAATTTATTTCACTATTTATAATTTTCCATTATAAATGACATAAATAAAAACATGTTCATATGATTCAAAAAAGTTTTCAAAATGTTAATTCTCTCTTTGAATATTGAAATTAAAGTAAACGAAATTCGGATGTCAAGTATTTTTAAATTGTGTGTTATCAACAAACAGATACGAGAAATTCAGCGTAACTGAGGGGGGGAAAGAAGACGAAAACAAGCATCTATTTCTGTCATGGAGAAATTGATATTAAGATAGGGAGAAAAAGAGAATTTTAACAGTGGAATAGGGATAAATATCAACGTGGTCTTCAAGGAGAGAAAACGGGGAATCCCTTTTTTCGCTCAAGCACGATGTAAACAAACAAGGATGTTGTAAATAATTAAATCTCCTTATTACACTTTCAAATAAAATTGTGATATCTATCTGTGGAACTACATAGGTAAGATAAATAATTTTATGTTTTCTTCAAGATTCTAATTTCCTTTATTTTTAAAATGTTACTATTTTTTTTTTGCTGTGTATTTAGATTTATTGTGACATACATGAGAGCTGATGCTGCACTATTAAATTAGAAATTGTAAAAAATAAATGATATAGTAAATTTGAATGAGATGTGATCGAGGTCGTGTATTTTTCTGTGTATTAACTTCATTTTTCTTTTTCTCGATTTCCCGAATCCTTTAATTTTTTCTTTTATAAACTTGTTGAGGTGTAGTATTACATGAGAATTACTGTAGTGATATTAATTAGTACTGATTTTGCAATGGTAATTTATTAATCTTAAAAGACAGGCACTATAGGAAAGCTCGAGCTTCATTTAGAACTTGAAAACGATCATTTTTTATTTTAGATCATTCACGATCATTTAGAAGCAAAGTATTAAAAAAAATCTTAGCTCATGTGGATTTTTTAATGAAAAGACCCATTTTAGCCCACGAACCAAGTTTTTCTTTTTTAAAAGCATTCTACATCTCATAAATACTATGTTTAATAAAATGTTTAAACTAAGAAATATGTTTTTGATTTTTACCTTAGACATTAGTAAAGAAAAAGAGTTATGATAAAGATTATTTTAACTGTCAGTTTGGCTTCTAAATGTTTAACGAACTGCATAATGATGAAATAAATTAAATGATTAATTTATAAAATGTTAAACAGGGTAGCTATGCTTTTTCCCAACAAGAAAAAAAAATCTATAATGGTTTTTCCAAAAATAAAAACCCTGAGTTTTTCATAATTACGTTTTATTATTAGCCCTAGATGTAATTTTACAATAGAATAAAATACAAACTACATACATTGAAATATTTGTATTCCTATTACTTCAATATTCTGTGTTCTAATCAACTTTTTTAAAAACATGTATTATTGGAAATTGCAAATAATATACTAAGGTATTCTTAGAAAAATTTCAGGTGCTAATTCACAATACAATTGAAACTACTGTTATAACAATATACAATATTTTTAAAATTCCAATTTAATGAAATGGAAAATTTTTTCTAGAAAAATACATTTCTAATACTATTTTCTCAACTTGTGAATCTTATTACATAGAGTTTCAAATGATACTTCTAAATTATAGCACCCTTAACTTGTGAAATACTTGTTCTAGAATCCTTGTTGTTGAAATTCTAGAGCTTGTTCTAGAAGTTTTCATTCACTGTAGATAACTTAGCACACACTAACACAGCTGGAAAAGTAATGCAATGTCCCACTGCATAAATACATTTTTCATGCTAAAAATTTACTTTGAAAATTAATGTCTTTCATTTGAGTTAAAATAATTTATTTCTTCCCTTAAACATTTAGTAGTTTTTCATAATTTTAAAGTGAAATACGTAAATTTAACAAAGGTAATTGGACATTATTACTGACATTAAAAATAGTGTTGTTAATGACATTGATAATAGAATGTATTGATAATTATGGTTGTTAATGGCTTAATTGGTCAAATTAACGGTATCTGTTAATGTAGCAAGGCTTACTCTAAAGACTGTAAAGAATGAAAAAATGACGAAAATCTCAATTTAGTTTGAAAAAACCCAAGAAAACCCTGAAAAAACTCTAAAACACAGAAGGTTGGGGTTTTTTTTCTAAAAAAAAAAACTGGATTTTTTGCGTTTGATTACAAATGAAGACTCTTAACATTTAAAAGTCTTTTTTATCTTATGCATACGTAAATTTCCTTTGAAGGTAATGTAGAGAATTTTTTTTAAAAGAAGTGAAATTACAAATATTCATGAAATGTGACTGAATATTAAATATTTTTAACATATGTTATATTCATTTGCATTGTTTTCAAGGAATAAATTCTTTGTATGCTTTAACTGTACACAAATTATCAACCAATAACTTTATTATTTGTTTTTAAAATAGATAGAAAAAATATTAAAAAATTTTAAATATTGTATTTTAGATTTTAAATAACAATAATTAAAAATTTCAACAAGCCTACGTAAATTAAATTAATCAATATTCCATTTATTAATTGAAAGAACACTAATAAATGTAGCAGGCAAAACCAATACCTTACTACATTCTTAATTTGTACTAGATTCCTAATTTAATCTAGTGGTTGGAAATTAACTTGAAAACAAATAAGTATGCATGTTTATGTAATCTGAAATTTTAATTGTTTAAAAATTTATAAAAAGTATGCTCTAGATTTAACAAAGAGAATTATTTTAGTAATTTCATTGTTATGCTCTCCATTTAGAAGGTGGAAATATAATTAGTAAGAAAGTTAGTTAAGCAATTTCAAAACTAGTAAAGAAATTTATTAGTCTAGTTGTAATGAAGAATAGGCATAGAATACCCCAAAATCAAATTTAATTAATAAATGTATAGTTTGTTTATAAGAAAGAACTCTCCTGGCCACTAAGTCTGATGTCGTCTGCTGCTATGGAAACAAGAAATAGTGCACCTCGAAAAGGGGAGCTCCTTTTCTCCCTGGTTCCCTTTCTCTCATTGACCCCAGTCAAAACCTGTCTATGATTCCTGAGCTAAAACCTGTCCTAATTATTGACCTAGCACCCCTGCTTGAAGTACTTAAGCCTTGTAACCATAGTCACTGTTACTGCAGATGCATGGCGAGGGGAGTTCTTTCCCTAGACAGACTATAGCTTAAAACCTCTTAATAAATATTTTTAGACTCAATGAAAATAAAAATCAATAAAACACAAAAGAACTGTTTTAGTTTTTCCATTTGTGTATTGCGGGTATTAAATAATTTTCAAAAATGTGCAATTATAATATTTAATTGTGCAAGACATATTTTTAATGTTTTCAAATGAAATGTATTATTTTTATTTTACTCTCAAAATTAAAAATTAATGAAAAAATTCAATCATTTTCATATTATAAATGATTATATTACATTTATAATATAAATGATTAAATTTTTCATTAGTTTTTAATTTGGAAAGTAAAATACAGATAAAATATCTATAAAAATATGTGTCTAATATTTTTTATAAATAATTAATTAATATAATATTGATATAAATACATTAATTTATATCAACAATATTCCATTAATTTAAATGGTGTTGAATGGTGTACTAAGATTAGCTTATAATTAATTGCTACTGTTGCTAAGTTATTGTTGTAAAAACCTGATGGGTTTTTTCCTTGGGGCTGAGACTACTTTGGCAAACCCTGATCACCACTAGTTTATGACACAGACTGTTTTTAGTTAATACTTCTTTTATGATATAATTTGTAGTGTAGATTTGAATTCTATTTTGCAAAATAGAATTTATTATTTATAGTTCTATTTCAGGAATTTCTTTTAAACTTTTTTGGATGTGTTTTAGTTGAATTTTGGGGTTAAGGAAAAACTTAACCTGCTGAAACTATTACTGCCATTTTTTGGAAAATTTAATGTATTTTTTTTTTTTTTTTTTTTTTTTTTTGTATTTATGCGAACATGTAGTCAAATTTTTAAAAATATATTGAGAAAATTTTAGCCACCAAACATATATTTATCATATTTATAAACTCTTTAAAAGATGTAATCGAACTTTTTTTTAAACAATATACATGTTTATTGTGAAAATTTTGGCTCCAAAAATATATTAATAGTTTTAAACACGGTTGGCATAATTTAAATCATATGATTTTTTTTTCTTCTTAAATCATCAATGTAACTAAATCACCTGATTTTTTTAAAATAGTTTATTTGAGCCAAAAATGTATTTAATATATTATAATTTATAAATGTATTTTTAAGGTTGTGATACTGTAATTTAATATTGTAACACGTGAAATTCAAATCCTGCTTTTAAATAATCATTTTGAGACGCGCTTAATTTACGCCGATAGTATCGTAAATCCATTAGGTGTTTCAATTGTTTTTTCGGCAGTTATTGCTATTGATTTTCACATAATTTTTGTAGATATTGACATATTTCTTACAAGATGAAAAATTCGAATCACGCATTAGAGTGTATTTACTCTTTGACGAATGATTCTATCATATTTTTCGATCGATTATTTCCCAGTAAGAGATAAAAAGATTCTGAGTTATACAGGTACTTTAAAAAATTGAATTGAATTAAGAAATTCGATTAAGTGCTTTAATTTTTTTTGTTAGAAAATATAGGCATTTCTGTAAATTAATTCTACCACATATATCTATGTATATACAAAAAATTTTAACAAACCTTTAACACTGAAAATAATATTTTTAAAGACTTTTGACGTCTAACCTTCTTTGCTTGTTATGTTGTTTGGGCATTTGTGCTCGATTGCTAGAAATTCGAGAAACAGAGGTTTTGAAAAAGATGTTTTCGAGAAAATACATTGATTTTAGATAGTATAAATGTAAGGAATTTTAGAAATTTTGAGATAAAGAGGTTCGAGATAATCAGGTTTAACTGTATATCTCTCAGAAAGCCAGAAAAAATTCTGCCTCTGAGGGCCCATAATTTTTGTAATAAATTACTAAAAAGTATTACTGAATAACACTACAAAATTATGCACAAAACTGGAAGACTACACAGTTAATAAAGCTAAAATAATTCCAATGTTTTATTTATTATTATTATGTGTCCTTGTCGGTGGCTTTGCGTTATTAGATTAAGCTGTATCTGGTAATTCATCCCATCAAAATAACGATAAACTGTATTCAGGGAATGATATTATGACTAACTCTTGATGGGTGATCGAAATGGACTACAGGTGGCGTACAGAAGAACTCTCTACCTATGGCAACACTTCGCATGCTTTCACCACTAGCGTGTGGAGAATCATAGGAGAAGGAAGTATGTTAGTTTCTGTCGTGATTTTCGAATAAATTAAAAAATTATAAATTGGGAAACTATATGAAACTGAAACTACATTGAACATAATTCTAAACGAAAGCGTCGTGGAATTTTTAAAAAATATTTGTGATAATTAAATACGAAAAATATTAAGAAAGGGAAAACTATACAACTAAGAAGAGGAGGAAAGGGAAGGGTCAAGCCATGGAATAAGTCTTCTCCCCCAGATGGCGTATTCGAGCTTTGCGATCGCTAATAGTCAAAATTTACCACAATTAAAGCTGTTTTCTCTGTTAGTAATTCCTTTCGAAGAATCGTCAAATATCTTTTTCAAGATTATCTGTATTAGTAATTGCCCAGTAATAATGCAGTTTTAATAGGTACCAAATATACTAACTTTACCAATCCTACATTAGTATATTTAGTATTGATTAAAATTGCACCCATTGCAATCATACCAAAAGTGCCTCTTACCAAAATTATTTAAGAAAAGAAAAATTACGAAACGAAACTTCAGCAAAGCGTAAAATCAATTGAAAAAGTGAAGTTCTTAACATTGAAGTAATTGTTTTTACAAATAAATACGTATTGTTATTTTGACTGAATTGTTTAAAATAATATTCTCTTTATTACGATCTTCCATTACAGCGACCCTTTCATTATATAACAACCAATGCCTAAAATCCCGTTTGTTATTCCATAATCGCAGTATTTTTATGTCCATTTGAACGTCCACACTGAACCATTCTTTCCAATGTAGCGACAGAACTTAGAAAAAGTTCCAAAGAAATTATTACCCATTGGCAAAATGGGTCTTGATTTGGATTTGATGGCGTCATTACACTTTTCAACTATAATAATCAAGAGTGGCATGCGTTGCTATGGCGACCGCTGATGTTTGATAATTTTTTTAGAATTTTTTTTTTTTTTTTCCCTTTTAATTTTGTTATACATTATGCAATTTTGTTATGCATTATGTTGGTGATTTTATTTTTGATATATGGGACCAGAGAGTTGTGAATAAAAGAGAATTTCATCATTTGAACTATATTTTTGTTTTTATTGTTTTCATTAAGAATCAGAAATTCTAACATACAGTTCAAACTGGAATAACGTTTTCAATACTAATTCAGGTGGATATTACACATAAAGAGGGCCCAAACTGATTGACTCGGTTCCTAAAGTTAGAATTGAAGCAAGAAAAAAACGATGCCAAGAACTAAATTTACCGAGGCTGAAAAAGCCAAAGAACGTAAACGGGAATACTTTAAGCTTTACACACAAACGGAAAAACGATAGGATTCCGTTCGCAAACGTAAGCATAAAGCCCGTCCCTCACAAAAGTACTAAAGTGATTAAGAGAATTGAACCCTACCGAAGAACAAATGGTGACTCTCCGAACCCCTTTCATGTAAATACAAGAACTGGGTGTTGATCACCAGTTAGGGATAAAAGGATCCATTGTCAACGTCTGGTCAACGTACCCAATGACTTGCACAGGAAGACCGTCTTCCACGCAATATAAGTGATTCCTTCACTATGAATGTAAAATTGGAAAAAAGCCAATAGCTTTCAAATCATATTTCATGTATGAACTTGTGAATCCGAAACGGTTGTATGAAGCAGCTTACAATCTCCTTCAAACACCATTGTACCAATCCGAAAATGTTAATATTGATCTCGATTGGCTGTTCAATCTGTGTACCGAGCAGTTCAGGATTAAAGACACAGTAAAGTTGCTTTTCCAAAAAAACATTAAACAACCATTTTGCCAATGGGTATAACCTGTGATCACCTTGCGTCTAAATTCTTATCGACAATTCGTTCACCATTTGTAGCATTTTGAGGATTACTACGTTTGGACAAATTAATAACATAGAAAAACGGTTCTCCCCGTGAGTTATGACACATTAAAAACGGACTGTACTTTGGATAAACAGTTCTCTACCCTCGCGTTTCCATCGTTTTTTTTCTCTCAGAACCAATCAACTTTCATGGATATAAAACTTTGCTTCCCATTAAACTTCAAGTATTAATTTAAAAATTTTTTTTTTCGAAATAACCAATTTTTTTTTTAGTTACCAAATTCTTATTAAAGTAAAGGATTACTTTATTAAAATCTGTCAAGTTTTTTTTAAGCTGTAAGTTAATATTTACAGTAATTTTGTGCACTCACTATATAACGAACTCGCGTTATAACGTCCTATTTTGCTGGACCACGATTTGTCGTTGTATCGGGCATTGACTGAATTTAAATTGCAATATTGCTAAATTTTTGATATCGCAAAACTTTGAGTTTCCCTTTTCGAGTTTGTGATATCAAGGTTTAATTTACCTTTCTTCTTTAGGTTTCTTATTTTAATTAAAAGCATCACCATGGATACCGAAAAATTAAAGCAAAGTGTACTGATGGATTTGAGAAGCGTCATTCTGAGCTGCAAAGGTGGTGTTCCTCTAAACCGGTTACAAAGTAAGACATCAAATACCTTTCAAGTAAGAGATTTTTGAGTGAAGCGACACTTGCATATTTAGATATACTTATGCCAAATAATTTTATATTAACTTTAGTGTTCTAAGTGAATGTTCATGTTTTCCAGTGGCGCCATTTATGGCCAAGGATTAGCCTTCTGCCACACCCATACGTCACACCCGTTTATAGGACATACCCATTCATACATCCATTCATTTGTTCACAGATCGTACTTTTGACCTGAACCAGAGAACGATCCATCTCCAATTCAGTACCCCCAGAGGTACCGATTTGTTATGGGAACATGGAGGACTTTGTGACCCGGCAGATTTAACGTGCTCCACTCACCATTTATTACACTAGGAGTCTTCGGCCAGCTGGATTCGATCTCCCGTTCTCACAAACGTGAGTCAGCGGGAAGCTAAAATTCACATATTCTTCCCATTTTCGAATTTCGCTTGTTACAATGATGTATTAAAGTAGGGGTGTACGACCTGCGGACCGCTGGCCAAATGCGGCCCTTCGACTACTGAAGTGCGGCCCACGAAAACTTCTGAACACAATTAAAAAATTTTAAAAAATGGCAATTTTTAATCGCACTTTTAAGTCATCACGTTTTGACACAATCAATTTTAACAGATTCTTTAGTAAATGTACGTTTAACGCGCTTTCTTGAAGCCGAATTTATCGTAAATATAAATGATTTTTTTTAAACAGTTATTTCCGCTTTTCTACGTGATTTTGAAAATTCCGAATTTTTATAACGACGCGAGTTTCAGATCGCAAATTTAAATAATCACTTTTTGGGCACTTTATTTGTGACGATTTCATCTTAAATCTAAGTGATTTTCTATTTTTTTTTTGCAATTCTTTCTTTTTCTTCAAAAATTTTTCTCGGCAGTTATTGCTATGCGTTCCTACGTATTATAAAAAATTCCAATTATTCTGTTACGACATGCAAATTTTAAATCATGCATTTGACGCGCTTTATTTGTGCTGAGTTCAGCATAAATATATTTTTTCCTAATTATTTCTATACTTTTCCTCGTGATTTTGACGATCCCGTTATTTAACTATGATGTTATTACGACACGTGATTGTTAATCACGCAATTAAATAATCACTTTTTGATACGGTATTACCGTACAGTTTTATCGTAAATCCTAGTTATTTTTCCTTCTTTTTTATTTCCGCAACGAATATGATTTGGTCGAATGTGGTAATGAATTGTGATTTGATCAAAAACCAAATATTCGGCAAAAAGAAGAAGAAAAAATCTATTGAACGCCGTTCACTTGGGGCCAAATAGCAAAATCTTTTAGCAGTATAGCAACACTGAAACTAAAATTTCAATGCTCAGAATAATATTTCCTGGAAAAACGTTAATTAACTCTAAAAAATAAGGCCAATCAAGAACGTTTTTGAAAATGTCGAAAAGCGAAACAGAGTCTATAGAGAGTAAAAATCAATCTTAATTTTTGAAAATTTTTTTTAAAGCTGAACATCTCAATTTTTCAATTACCAGAAAAAGCCAAGAAAAAAGAATTAAGTCAACAGAAATGCTATTAAAAATTACTGCGTTATAATGAAAACGTCTAAAAAAAGTTTTTTTTTTATTTAAAGAAAATAAAAAGATAGAAAAAATGTTCTTAATTTTTTAAGTGAAAATCTTATGCCGAAAATCTCAATTTAAATTTTTCTCATTGCCATAATTTTAGAAGAAAAAAAATTGCTATAAAATAAATTTTATTAGTAACTTTATTTTTAAAAAAAATGCTGAGTCATAATAAAAATGCCTAAAAAAAGAAAAACAGAAAAAACAAATTTTTCTTAGTTCCTGAAACAAAACTTTAATACTGAAAATCACACTTTTCTATGTTACTGGTTATTTATATTACAGTACAGGGAAAGAGTGATAATAAATTAATAGTATGAGACGTTCTGTTAAAATGCTGGGTTATAATAAAAACTGCAAAAAATGGATCCTTCTCAATTCTCAAAGTATCGAAAAAATGACAAAATTGACTTGTCTGATTATAATTTTTAAAAAAAAAGTAATATCTATAAAAATTCAAAAATAAAAAAAACTTAGAAAAATACATTTCTAAAAAATATTCTGCCAAATATTTGACTGATCATTCAACCAACTGAATTTTTCACAGAAGGGCCAAATACTCGTTACATCCCTCCCTAATTTAAATGCAATGTTATTGCAACTTGAGAAATTCATAAAATGGCGGAAAACGTGAATTTTTAAACTGCTCACTGTTTGTAGTTTAGATTTCAATTTTTTGTTGCTTAAGTGATCTTTTTCGATAAAAAAAAGGAAAATGTTTACGATATAAAAAATCTAATAATTAATAAAATAAAATAATAAAGTACATTACAAAATAAGCATTGAATTTTATTTTGAACTATCACAGTTTTGTTTTTATTTTAGGCTTTTGTTTAAAACCTATAAATTTTCTTCAATTAAAATATTTAATTTGAATTTATATTACTTAATTATGACTAAACTTTTTCCTACTTTCATTCTGTGGGCATTGCAGTTTTTTTTTTATTTATTAGAATTTAATTCTAAAATGAATTTTCGTATTGCATGATACGATAAAAAAAAACATTTCTTTTCTTCAATGTTTATTTATTTCGATAAATCTATTGTTCATATGATAAAAATAGCAAGTTTTTTTTTGTAAAAAAAAAAGTATAAGTTTTTTATTTTTGAATGAATTCTAATAATGGAACACTACTAAGTTATTGATATTACTAAAGTTATTGATAAAAAAAATGGAACGCTAATGTTTAAATAAACATTACTACATTTGTCATGAACGTGTCTAAATACATGTGCGGCCCTTCGTTAGCCAACCTGCTGTGCAAGTGGCCCTTCACTCAAAAAGGTTGTGCACCCCTATATTAAAGTATTGGTATTTGCAGGGCCCGACCTAGCCTAATTGGGGCCCGGGGCAAAAACTTCTCAATGTTATTTTATTTATAAACTCCCTATATTTTTTATACATAATTATGACACGCTAAATTTAATTAGGGCATTTTAGTTACTCTTTGACGCGACGATACCACTGTTTTATCCTGGACCGGGCTTAGGAGTGGGCGACCACCCAGGGCTCACCAAAAATTTTGGACTGATTAATAGTTTTATTACAAGTTATTTTTTAATATTTGCTAAATCATGGATATATTTTTACTATTCCTTGGATATATAATTCATGTGAGCTATTATAATTTATATTTCCAAATGTGTCTAATTTCATTTTGTTTCTTCATATCAGGAGTGTCATTTTTAAAATAAGAACATAGAACTTTATGTCCACTTTCAACATTTATGTCATAGAAATTAATTGTATTAAAAATGTCAATTATTGCTGATTTGTAAGTGTGTGTGTGTGTGGTGGAGAATCTCTATCAATTTATGCAGAAAATGTCAAGTAAAATAAAAAGCAGAATTGGCACGATTTAAAAATATTTCATTAAAAAAAATCATTGATATGAATCACATGATTTTTTTAAATCATTGATTCTTCTGAAAAATATTATTTATGCATAACTCCATTAACTAATATATCACATTTAACGCTGTGGTAATAAAACATAGATATCAAATCTCACTGATAATAAATGTTTTATTTATGGAATTAAGAAATAAGTTAAATTAAGAAACAAAATATTCTCTTTTTTTTTTAAGAGCTTAAATGTAGATAATGTAACTTTTAAATTATAATTTTTCATTATTCATTTCACATCATGTTTATATTTTTTCATTAATGTTATTTTTGTGCATAAAAATGAGTTTTTTTATTTATCTTCTATGTACAGAAAATAAAAAAACCTAATACAGTGAGGAAAAAAATCAGATAATTTCTTTTTCCAGCAGTATAGAACCTATGTTTTGTGTGTCAGTTTTCTTCTTCTAATGTTTAACAATTTATTCTTTTTAGACGATTACAAGTTTCTCACAGGGACAACAATTCCATTTGCAAATTTGGGTTATAACTCCATGGAAACTTTTCTTCAAAGTATTCCTCAAGTTATTAAACTTAAAAAGTAAGAAATTTATTTCTTAGCTCACATTTGTATTATTTATCGTGCAGACGTTTATATTTAAGCTTACATTTTAATAGTTTATCAATAAGTTATGAACTGTAACACTAAATTATTTGCGGAATCGGGTGGTGAAAAAAGCCATGAATAATTTTTAAAATGGTCCAAAAATTCCGTCTCTAAAAATGTGACCTATTAATGTATTGTCTCAAATCCTTTATATTTGTAGAAATTTTTTTTATAAAAAAATTCACTTCTACAAAACAAAACTTCTACAAAATCACTTTTTAACTTGCTGTCATAGTACCCTATTTTTTTATTTTCATTCAAGATCATCACAGTTAATTTATTTTAAAGTATACTTTTGTGTTACGTGATTCCTTATCTTAATATATGAGTATCTTTAGTATGCACATATATTTTTTTATGGAAAGAAATATTTTCATTTTGAAAAGCATAAGTTTTAAATCAATTTTAAGGTTTAAAAAAATTTAACTTTATGCAAATATATTGCTAAGTTGACTGATAAAAAAGAAAAAAAAAGAGGTATGATAATAATAAAAAAAGAATTATAATATTTAAAACAATTTAATTTCATATTTTTATCGTCATTAAGTTGACAGATAAAAGGAACTGTGCATGTCTAAAAACACTGATGTTGACATTAAAATTGTCATAATCGCTGTCAACATATCTAAATAATTAGGGTCTAAATACTAGTCCATCATCTAAATACTAGTCCTTATCCTAGTATCTAAATCCTATATCTAAGTATTTCCTAGTAAATCTTTCCTAGTATTTAGATATCTAAATGTATATCTAAATACTAGTCCTTCATTCTGAAAGGTTGTGCAATTAAAAGAACTTCAATAAAATATTTTTGTTCTTTTTTAAGATATTTTTTAAATTCACTTTACAAATAAAAAAAAATATCCCTTTTACTAAACCTTGAATATAATTATTGTAAGATATTGAGTTATTTCTTCGTATTATTATGACAAATTTCATTTCAATATCGTTAAACGGTAAGTGTATACATTGTTCTAATTTAGTACTAAATTCTGCCCTTCCATCACAAATATTGATTTTTTATATATTAACATTGAAATAATTAAAATAAAAAGAATAATTATGAATTCTATAGTGTCTCTTCATAGTGTTCTTGTTTCATATTAAAAATTTATTCTAAGGTAGGACGCATTTATAAATCAGGCAGGGGGGTGCTCCTAACTTTATGTACGCCACTGAACTCAATCTTAAAGGTTCGGAAGGGGACCTTGAATCTTCTAATTAGTTAGTGAAGTCGATATTTTAAGTGAAGAAATCAGACAAAAACGTACTTTTTTTTCGACCCTCTGGGAAGTAGGGTTCCCATAGTTAGGTCAGGAGTGCAGTCAAAAGTTTGAACTCCTTAATGTTAATTTCACTTTTAGCTTATTTTGTCATATCTCAAGAGGTTTTTTAAGTGAATTGAAAATTTTTTCCACACAATTATAAAATTCATTTATCCAAAGAAAATTACTTGAAATTTTTTTTAATACTATTTATTAATTATTTTATTTAATTATAACCTACAATTTAAGAATTGTTAAATACACAAATGTTTACATCCTTTTAAATAATGTAATTTGATATGGCAAAATCCAAAATTTAATGAAATCGATCGAATATTTTCTGAGAAATCAAATTTTAATCCCTGATGGTGGTTTAAAGCCCGCCCATTTTTAGGTTACCACCAGGTTTGGTCTGTGCACAATGCTGATCACATTATCAGATGGTTGGTCATAAAATTGTGACGCTTTAAACTCTATGATTTTTATGACCCACAATGGGTTGTTGCTTTACTTTTTAAATTTGTATGTCTTATCATGTCTTTAATATACTGTTTTTATTTACTTAGTTTTTGTTTTTAGGACATCTGATGGGCAGACATTTGTAGAAGCTGTTGCTGATTCATCTACGGTACATCTGCAGAATTTGATATCCAAACAAAAAAATGTAAGCTTCTTTTGAATAAGCATTGTGTTTAACCCACTAGAGTTGGGCGATACCCAAATTCAATCATGATACAGCGTCTAAAATGATCGATTTTTCACTATACGGATGCTTAATTAATTTTGCACAAGTCAAAATTTTTATTTCCTTATATGTTTTGAGCTATAAAATAAACAGAGTAGAAATATGTTTAATCCATTAAAGCCCTCTAGAGTTGAGCAATGCCCTAATTTAATTGCAATATATTGTGAGAAACTATCAATTTATAGCCATAAATCACGATGTTTTGTAATTTTAATAAAAGTCAAAACTTTTGTTTCCCTTAAAAATTTTATCAACTCTTGGGATAATGTTGCATTCAGTAATTGATGCTATCTAAAATTATGTGCCTTATTATTATTGATATTTATCATAGTCGATAATGATCACGATGTTTTTACTGTCGTTAACAAAAAATTTACCTTTGCACTTTTTTTTTAATGATTGGATTCTCATAAACTAAAAACCAATTTTGATGGTTCAAAAGAGTGTCTTAAAATGTGCTAATTAATTTATCGGTGTTGACTATTATTATCTATTACATTAATTATATCATAATTATATTACATTAATTATAATTATATTACATTAATTATATCCTAGAGGAAAGCATACTTTCAATGAATAAACCTTTAATCCAAATCTATCTACAAAGAAGAAAAAAAAGCTATGTTCATTTAAAAAAAGTAACAATTAAGAATGGCACCTAGTTTGTAAAAATCTGATCAAATGACAAAGTTATTTTTTTCTCTCACTGTACAAATTATTCTTGTAGTATTGTTATTGTTTCTGGAATTTTTATTAGATAACAGAGTATACTCAGATACATCTTGTTGCCCATCTAGGAATTGTGATGTTTTTCACCAAGAACTCTCCTAAAATATTGTTCTTCTAAACAACTTTAAAATGTGGCTCATTTCAAAATGGAAACTTTTCAATGCTTTCTTTTCTTACTTTCTTTCTTTCTTTCTTTTTTCTTTTTCTTTAACTCTCACATTTGCATCATATTTTACATTATTATAGTTTACATACATTTTTCAAAGCATGAAAATAATTTTTAGGCAAGAATTTTTAAAAGTAATTTCTTACTAAATTTCAGACTACATTACATTTTATATTTGTGTTCAAAATATCATTGAAAAAAAGACATATGTAGATTAATGTGTGAAAAAAAATATTCTAATATAATTCATCCTGTATTATATTGTCAGCTGTCCTGCTGAAATTTTTTATTATAGTCTGGTTCAGTGCCATGATTTTTTTGTTTTATTTTTTTTAATGAAAGGATATTGAATATTGCAATTTTTTTATTTCTTAATTTTTTCTTTAGTTTCACTGAAATTTTATTTTCATCTTCTAGACAAAAACTCCAAAATGTTCAGTAAAAAGATATGGTAAAAAGCCAGCTCCAAAGCAAAAATCATCTTTATGTCCAAACTGTGCCTCGTCTAGGAATGCTTTCACTGTAAGTCGTAAAGAAAACTTTTTTATTTTAAGAATTTAGTCGAAGAACATGTTAAGCAACATTTCTAAAATTTTTAAGTATCCATAATTTTTTCTGTTTCTTTTAATGCAAACTAAAATGACGCTTTGTTTTTTGTTAAAAAAAACTTTTATGTTTTTTAATAAATGTGTGTATTCTATAAGGTAGAATAGGAGAGTGTTCTTTAAATTTCAGTCACATGTTAGCCCCTGGTTTTGATGTTTGTAATTTAGGCTGCATTAAACATTTGCTAAATTTTACTATCTTCAATTTATCACTAATCTTTACTGATAAAAACCTTATTAAAAACACTTCCCTAGTAGGCATTGTGAAGCGTCGCACAATAGAAAGTTTCATCTTATTTAAAACTAAAATATAAATACTCAGCTGTTGTTGATATTTTCAAATCTGGTTTGTTTTTAAAACAAAAGTACTATGAATAGTGTGCTCTTAAAGTAAATTGCTTTGTGAAAGGGTTCACGTTTTGCAACGTAATATTTTGTGAAGGGTCCATTTTAATAATAAAATTTTTTATAAGGCAGAGGTCTGTTTGGAAGAAATTTGGATCCGTTAATGGACTCTTCACAAAATATCTTTTCTTAAAAACGAACCCTTCACAAAATATTTTAACTTAAAAACGAACCCTTCACAAAATGATTTTTCTTTTAATCAGACCCTTCACTAATTTGTTTATTTTCATTATTGTTTTGTCAATTGAATAAACCCTTCCTAGGGCAGAAAACAAGAAAGATGGATATAAAAGAATTAAGTTTTGTCTTCGGCAGACGATTCTTCCATTATTTGCCCGAAATGAATATTCTGTGCTCAGCAGTTTAGGCTGAATACCAAATATTTGTATGTTGCCTTTCTAATTTAGATGCATCAATCGCTGTTTATTTTTGAAAATTAAATTTTTTTTTGTTATTATTTTACAGTGCTGAGCATAATTTTGTATCTATTTACAATTTAAAAACTCATTGAAAAAGTTTTTTGCAATAATTTGCACCAATTCATAAAAGCAGGACCCTGGTTGAAAGAATATGAGTAATTTTTTTACAATCTGGACAGACCCCTGTAACGGGTCTGTTAACAGCCCCTAAGAATGCATTTCTTTTTAAATAAACAATTTGTACATTTTATACAGTTTGCAAAAATTGCAATAATTTCTCCTTAATTTATTTTTTGAAAGGCTTTTGATAGTATTGATAGAGAATGTTTATGAAAGATCTTAAGATTCTTAATGTAATCAAAGATATGTATTGTGGAAGTAGTGGGCAAGTACTTTGCTAATGTGGTGTTGTGCAAGAAATTTGAAATCAAAACTGGAGATAGAAAAGGATATGGTTACTTCTGAGCTGCTATTTATCATAGCTCTTTTCTAGATTTCGAGGACCTCAATGAAAGCCAGAAACTGTGGCATAAGATGGGACTTCAATAATTGCATTGAGAACTGATGACATTGTTCTCATATTGATAATCTTCAAGTAAAAAACTAAAAGCCAGATTAGCCTGGTTGGTAGGGCACTGGGCCCCCTGTCCAAAAGTATGTGGGTTCGATCCCCGCCAGCCGAGGACTCCCCGTGTAGTAAATGGTGACTGATGCATGTTAGATCTGTCGAGTCACAGAGTCCTCCGTGTTCCCATGTCAAATCATACCTCAGGAGTTTCCTTGTCTTATGCATTGGTTCAAAATTACAAGGCTACGTAGTTGAACATTTGTAGTCATAAACCCGAAATTGGGTCGGCTGTTCAACAGTACTCACAAAAAAAGTAAAAACCTAAAGACCCTGAAACAATTACTTAAAAAAAATGGTCTAAATATAAATGTGCAAATGACCAAAATGATGAGATAAAAATGTAAAATGAATGGCAAATTATTGGTCAATTCAAAGAAAATTGAAGAGACAAATACTTTTTCATATGTTGAAACTATTGTTAGTAATCATGGTGGTATATACTAACAAATGCATAAAGAGCAGGACTTAAAAGACACTGAACACTTTCAGAATGCTTTTTAAAGTGTGGAAATCTCAGTATTTGAATATGAAATTAAAAATATTCAATGCAGCTGTGTGTGTTCTACTACATGGCAGCAGAACTTGGAAAGAATTGATGCTGCAAGAAAGTAAAATTACTCTTACAAGTAGATTACTCTTAAGCAAAATGTTTAAGGAAAATATGGAAAATCTAAAAATCTACTCGCCGAATAAAATCAACAAGAAAAATCTGTATTATAAATCCAGTACCAAACCATTAAAAATAGATATAAAGAAGTGACAATGAAACTGGATTGGACACATATTAAGGAAACATGTCAAAGAGAACAAGAGAATCTCATTGACCTGGTCACCAGTTGGAAAGGTAGGCCAAGAACAATGTGGGAAAGGATGGTGACCCATGAGAGAAATCAATTTAATTGACCGAGTTGAATGTTACCAGAGAGATTGCACTGGACATGAGAGGATGGAGGGCAGAGATTGTGGCCTCATGTGCCTTTCAGGCATAGAGAGCTTGAAAGCAATGGTTTGGGTTTTTAGAATTCTAGGCTAATAACCCATGTTGCTCATTAACATAATGAGTTGATCAGTCTTACGCCATTTTAGCAACATGACTGTTTTCTAATACTATTATTAAAAATCTGTAATATTTTATTCTGTGTTTGAAGGCTTTAACTATTGTGCATTTATTTGCTGTAAGATCTCTTGCTATATGTAATATATAAGTATTGTTTTAATTTTGTGACAGAATTCAACTGGTGCAACTTCATCTGCTAGCTCTAGTTGGTCCCTTGCAAGTGAAGTTTCTAATGAAAAAGATAAAAAAGTAAGTTATATTATGTACCTGTATAATTTTTTATTGTATTATCTTATCCTTATGATTCAATTCAGAGAGTAACAACATCTCTCATAAAATAAAAGCAACAAATGGTTTGAGCAATAAGGTATAGTATTAAAGGTTTGTGTATTTATGACAACCATTGTTGTGAATTAATCATGATAAGGTGCATTAATAAAGGAGCTAAAAAACACGAGGAAAAATTATTGAATCAGCGTATTAGTGTTTTAGGTAAAAACTTAGAATGTTAAAGTATTTTATTAGTTTGAAATCAACCTTTGTAAGCATTTTTTATTTATTTTACTACTGAGAATCATAATAAGGGATTTTTGTTTTCAAAAAGGGTATTATTTTTGTTTTATGAAAGCATTACAAATACGTGGCTGACAATTCTACTTGATTTTCCAGTAGACTACTTGATTTTACCTGTTTCTTTTTGTTTACAGGTTTAATAAAAAATCTCTTGGTTTTTAAAAATTTTAGAAAATTTCCTACAAGTGAGTTAGCTTTCTAAAAATAAAAATCAATCCCTACTAAAATATAATTTTTGTACTGATTATTGCTTGTTTGAATATTTAAATAAGTGTTCCTATTCCATAATGAAGTGAGCCTCATTTATAGAAATAAGTTTAAAGCTATTTTTGTTCTAAAATGTTCAGTTTATTTTTATTCAAAATTCCATTTTTAAATTAATTAAAAAAATCTTTTCTTTGATGAATTAAATAGCTATTATTATTCAAAATTTTGAGTAAACATTTCAACAAGTTCATTTAATGTCAGTTGTAACTGGAAAATATTGCAGTTTTTCTATTTTGATGACTAAAAATCCCCAAAATTCCCTATATGTAAAATATTTAGTATATTATGCAACAATTATCATGAAATAATTCAATTATCATGAATAACAATTATCATGAATAAAAATATCATGATATAATTTTGTAAATTCTAATGGATTTCTTGCTATCCATGTAGGCAGCTATAAAAATATTTATTGATTTCTATTCTGTTACTTTATTTATCTAATTTATAAAAAATTTTAAATGCTATTTTACAAACTAAATATACTATATTAATTTTTAGACACTTTCTTTTTTAATCAACCTAGCTAGTTCAAGGATTATAAGAAGTATCTTAAGATATAATATTCTTATTAGGTGCAGAAAATCTTTTGTGGTATATCTTTTATTGCATTGTTTTGAAATTTCAGGAAATAGAATCATTGAAAGCTCAATTAGCAGAACAAAAGGATATGAACATTAAGCTGAAATCTAGAGTCAATCAACTACTCTCTGCAAGTGAACCACATCTTGAATATATTGATGAGCAAATAATAATTCAGAGAATGAAATATCAAATTGGACTATTACAAAAACGAATACTTCTCCGTCATGCTGTAAATATATAATTCAATTTTCCTTTTATTTCTTATGCTTTCTTTCTGAAAACAAACAGGGTGTTAAGTAATTGTTACCTGCAACTACTTAACACCTTGTTTGTTTGCAGAACCTTTAGACTCCCTGTCTAATTAAAGTAAAATAAAAGTGTACTAATATGGGAGCAAGGTAATCGAATTTATCAAACCTTAGTGAGCCTTTCTACAAGATTGAAAGAAAAAAAAGTCGTCAAAACTTCAAATTTACCTGTTTGGTTACACAGGAGAAGAAAAGCTATTGTTAGAGCACCTTCAAATTTTATCGAATAATCAAACTAGCTTTGGTATTTTCTCAAATTTTTATTTAGTTTTTTCCCTTACTTAAGATATAAATTTTCGAAAATTTCATATATATTTTTACTTCCTTTTTAACTCCGTGGAAGAATCGCAGTGACAAATTTACATCGTCGCAGAAAGTTACAGAGTTCTTGCAGAAAGATTTTTCTTTTGAAAAGTAAAAAAAAAGTAGTAGTGTTTTTTCCACAGAAATGTATACGTAAAATTTGAATCATGCATTTAGATAATCATTTTTTGGCGCGCTGAATTTAAGCGGATAGTATCGTAAATCGATTCGATGTTTCCATTGTATTTTCGCCAGTTATTGTTATTGATTTTCATGTGGTTTTTAAATATCCCGATATATTTCAAACAACATGGAAAATTTGAATCATGCATTTGAGTATTTACTTTTTAAGGCAGTGATTCTATTGATTATTTGGCTCTTATTGCTATTGATTTCTCCATAGTTTTTAACTCTGATATTTTTTTATACGATATTGTTTATTACAACAACCTAATCTCGAAACGGAACACGCATTTGAGTAACCCCTTTTTGATGAGTTCGATTCTAGTGATTTCGCCATCTATCCCCTGGCAAATATTACTACAAATTTCATGTTTTTTTAATAATTTTTTTATTGTGATGATTATTTACAAAATGCTATGAATGAAATAATTAGTGCGTCCCTCCCTAACAAAATGCAAGAATATCACACATTATATTAAAATAAAAAATTATTACATGTTTAATTTAAAAAATTATACATAGTTTTTTTTTTTGTACACACAGCACTTTTGTTATTTTAGATTAGTAACATACATATTTGTTATTATTAAAAGTATCTTGCAGAAAGATTTTAATGCTACATAGTTTTGTTGGCAAATAGCTTGAAAAAATTCTGCCTCAGGGATTTTGAACTAGGACTTTAGTATATCAACTGTACAGAACACTCTGTAGCTATGAAGACCTGCACCTGTTTTATTCAATTCTCTCTTCTGGTTTTTAAAATAGGATTCCTATTAATAGTAAATGAACTCAGTGGATGAACTTTTTTTTTTATAGTGAGTTTGCGTAACCCTGATGAATAATATATATAAAAATAACATGATGATGTGTGCATCTTTTGTACATTTTATGCATCTTTTCATTTAATACCTCACTACTTTTAAACCTTGCAGAACAACTTGTTCAGGTTTACACAATCCTTGGAAGTTTTCACTGCTTTTATTTTCAACAGGTAACATTAACCACATTTAAGATTTTATTTGCCTTCTGAAGTACAGATTTTTCGAAATTCAGATAAAACAGGGGAATGTCAAGTATTTTAAGGCGGGAAAAGTCAGGTAAAACGAATAAACTTAGACTTTGAGATACATCTGATATTTTTTTTAAAGAAATTAGTCTAGTAAATTTAATTTTTAATATGTTTGTTTTCAACTCATGTGGCCTCTATAAGTGTTTTGTAGCACATTTTATCTTTAAGAATGAAATATAATTTAAAAATTAATAGTTAAATTTATACCACCTGTTTTTATTTTATAACTGTCCTTGAACAGTCAACCCAATTTTGGGTTTATGACTACTAATGTTCAACTCCATCACCTTGTAATTTTGAACCCAATCTAAAAAACAAGGGAACTCCTGAATCAAATATTGGGAGAAATTTGCATTCATGGAGGACTTTTTGAAGGAACTAACCTGCATTTGCGTGACACGGAGACAAAAATCACGAAAACCTCCCACGGTTAACCCGACGGCAAGGAGACCCATGATCCTTTGATCCTAACCCATGATCCTTTTACGACTGAGGATATTTTACATCAACACTGTGGTTGGTGTAAGCCGGATGCGGAATTCGCATCGACCAGTCACCGCCAGCATTCGAACGCGATTCACCTCAAGGCGAACACTCTGTCACCAGAGCCATCACGACTCATGCCACCAATAACAAAAAAAAAATCTAGGAAACTCTATAAAATCAGATTTTTTTCTCAGTTTGTAGATATCCTGACATTAGACTTTTGAAAAAGTTCCAACAGAAAAACGCTTATGGTTTCAAAAACAATTATTCATGTGACAGGATGTGTATTTTCTCATATTATTATAATAATGAAACTCTGTTGTAATTGTATCCTCCTGATTTATACATCTCATTCGGTGATGTATGAATTGTATATATTTGCTTTAGATTAAAAAGAAAACCGCAGCAATTTTTGAGCTGTCTTACAAACTCTTTTGCCTGTGTAGTCTGCTTTGAATCAGTCGTAAGACCTTAGTATCTGAAGTTGTATCAATCTTTTTATTTCATCATACACAGTAAGTTTCTAGCAATACTTTGTTAAGTTTCTGGATTACATTTAGATGATTTATTTCAAAAGTTTCAGTTAACACTGTTTAATTATATACAAACTTGACAGGATGTGTATTTTCTTATATTATTATAATAATGAAACTCTGTTGTAATTGTATCCTCCTGATTTATACATCTCATTCGGTGATGTATGAATTGTATATATTTGCTTTAGATTAAAAAGGAAACCGCAGCAATTTTTGAGCTGTCTTACTAACTCTTTTGCCTGTGTAGTCTGCTTTGAATCAGTCGTAAGACCTTAGTGTCTGAAGTTGTATCAATCTTTTTATTTCATCATACACAATAAGTTTCTAGCAATACTTTGTTAAGTTTCTGGATTACATTTAGATGATATATTTCAAAAGTTTCAGTTAACCCTGTTTAATTATATACAAACTTTCGAAATATTTGTTTTGATATAGGTGGGTGCTATTTTCCCCCGTTAATTGCAATCAGATAGTTTCTTGTTTAGAAAGAGTACTTCTGAGGGGTCTGTCCAGATATTTTGTGTAAGGTCCGTTTTTGTAAAATTGTGAAAAAATTACTCAAAATTTGTGAATATAAAATAAAAGCTTAATTCACATTCTTTCAACCAGGGTTCTGCTTTTGTGAATTTGTGCAAGAATAGGGTCCTGCTATTGCAAAAAACTTTTTCAAGGAGTTTTTAAATTGTAAAGACATACAAGATTATGCTCAACACTGTAAAATTATAATTAAAAAAATTTAATTTTAAAAAATAAACAGCAATTGCTGCTACTAAATTAGAGATGCAACATACAAATATTTGATATTTAGCCTATACTGCTGCAGCAGAATATTTATTTTGGATGAATAAAGGAAGAAGCGTGTGCCAAAGACAAAACTTAGTTCGTTTACATCTGTCTTTCTCCCCCCCCCTTCCTGGGAAGGGTTTATTCGATTAACGGAAACAATAATAAAGATAAACCGATTTGTGAGGGGTCTGATTAAAAGATAAATTATTTTGTGAAGGGTCCGTTTCTAAAGTTAAAATATTTTGTGAAGGGTCCGTTTTTATGAAAAGATATTTTGTGAAGGGTCTGTTAACAGACCCAAATTTCTTCTAAACAGACCCCTGCTCATGTTATTTATCAACAAAAAAAATTACTTAAATATTCTAGCTTTATTATTGGTACTAAAATTTTGATTTTTTATTTGAAAAAAAAAATGTTTTTAATGAAATATTTCTTAATTTTTTATTTTTTTTTATTTACAAAAGTAAGTTTTTTTATTACTTTGTAATGTATTAAATTAGTCTTATAACATATGCATATATGATATGACTAATTTAATATTATATATCATATCATAATTATACCATATATGCATTATTTAAATATTTTTTTTCCATTCTACTTGCAAAATTATAAAGAATTTTCGTGAATAATTAATTGTATAAATAATTATTTAAATTGTTGTATCAGAGTCATTATACATAGTATAATTATTGCTCTAACAGATAATAATAAACAAATAACTTCAAAATAAACTAATAGATGCAAAACTAAACAAAGAAAAATTTTAAATTATTTAATTAGACTGAACATTTAAAGTTTTATAAACTAAATACTATAATAGTTTAAGAACACTTAGAAGAAGAAAACAATATAGACTCTTTTCTATTCTTTTTTTTTAAAAACTTTTGTTTATAATTAGTTAATATGCTCATGGTCTTAAGAATACCCTACGGCTTAAACTTTTATCATACAAATCTTCTTTAAAGTTATTCTATCTTTATTTTTTATAAGTATTCCCAAAAAGTTAATAAGAAATTGAAATTATTATGATTAATACTCTTTTTAGATATACTGTCTTAGATAACTCTAATTTTAAGACTCTAGTTCTCATCAACCGAAACATAATAAGATATAGGGCATTAATGAATGGACTGTATTAATTAATTTTTTTGTAAATGTTTCGATTAATTTTTATTTTTTAAAAGAATTTGAAGATACAACTAACGCACTTCTTAAGATAGTTTTAAATGCAAAGTTACTCTCTTTTTTCCTAAATTTTTGTTATATATATATATAAGTTCAAAATGTGGAGAAAACAAGGGGAAAATTACAGAAAAATAATAAAAATAACAAGAAACTGCAGAAAAAAAATCCGAAAAAAAGAACGAAATTTTTTAAAGAATCCAGAAAATTTTTTGTCCTTTATTTTGGATTTTTTTCCTTCCGGTTTCTTGTTATTTTTATTATTATTTCCCCCTTTTTTCATTGTTCTGTAATTTTCCCCTTGTTTTCTCTACATTTTGAACTTATTTTATGAGTTCTATTTACTTGCAGCTTATGCGAAATAAATAAAACTTATTGTTTTTCTTAATTTTCGTGTTTTTTTGTATTTATTTATTATGTTTTATTTACTATTTATTATTTTTTAATAACTTAATTTTTTTAGCAATTTTATTTTTTTTAAATAATTTTTTAATGTTTTTTTTTCTTTTAAAAAATTAAAAATTAAAAATATTTAAAATAAATTTTTACTTTATAAAATTTGCATTTGAAATGTTTTTAAAATTTTAATAGTTAGTGTTAGACTGTTTAAATAAAATTTGCCCATTTTACATTATACGCTCGTTCATTTAGAACGATGATAATGAATATGAAAATACAGATTTGTACTTTTCTTATTATTCAAGCTTAAATGTTATACAGTACTGGTCAATATTTTTGTCACAATAATTCAACCGCATAAGCAAAAAACACGGAGTTTTTATTTTTTTTAATCATGTTTTATTAATATTTCTTTATTATATGAATGGCATTTTAGTAATTGGTAATACCTGTTGTCTTGTATAAAGCTTTGAATAGACGTGGCATTCATTTAATACGTGTTTATTCATACATTCCTTATTTTATTTTATTTTATAACCGTCGTTGAACAGCCGGCTCAATTTTCGTGTTTACCACTACTTATGTTCAATTCCATAACTTTGTAATTTTGAACCCAATGCAGAAGACAAGGGAACTCCTGGTTCAAGTGTTGGGATAAATTTGCCTTNTTCTTCCTGGATCTTTTATTATTTTCAACATCTGCCCCATTATCTAGCTTCCCTATTTACCAGTATTGTTCAGAACCTTTAAGAACAACAGAACACCATCCTTCCGAACCACGGAACCTCTTTCAGAACGCATTTCTCTGCAACCACGTGTTTACCGTAGGTAAGGTTTCTTCATGTAAGACGTTCAAATTTTTTGCTCGTTAATGTAAGATGGACAAATACCCTGTAAAGCCAATATCTTTTACTCCGAAATGGACAAATAAAAATGAAATAAATGTGGGTAGAAACGATCAAGACGAAACAAATACGCATTTGAGCAACCTAATGAGAATAGCTGATGAAAAAGTAGATGTAGAACATTTTCCATATGATGATGCAGCAAAAATATTCAATGCTTTAAAAATTAGAAGATTTTAAAAATGCATTATCATTAAAGAAATGATTTTTTTTTTCAATTCTCTTTGTGTTTTTTTTCTTCTTAAATTTTCGAAATCTCACCCTGTTTTTGAGAAAGGGTGAGAAATTCTCACCCATTTTTTTTCTGAGATGAAAACACTGCCTCAACTGAGGGAAAATGACAAAACTGAAAGATGATGTAGAGAGAGTGGTTGGATGGAGCGACTGGTAGGAAGCAAGAGTGGCAAGGAAGAGTAAAAAGAAAGACTGAGGACCTTATGTGATGATGAACTGCTGCCCTTAAATGTTATTTTTATTCATTGTAAAAAATGTTTATTTCGACGTAGCAAATTACTATTTAAGCAAGGAAGAACATCAAAACCTGTTTGATTGCATAAGGAAATTGAAAGACTATAATTAGAAGTACCTCCAATTTTCATTAAGAAATCAAAATTTTTTTTTCACTTGTGATTTTACAAATTTGAATAGCATTTTTGTATAGCACCCTGTTTAAATATTAATATCAGATCTCTAATGTTTATGATCTGACTTCGTTTTTTAATGAAGATTTAAAAATATGAATTGTAACAAAACACTAATTACGTAGTGAAATTATCTTGCAAAGAATGCACGAAACCTATGCGATCGTCAGAGGGTTAAATGCAAGTTGGCTATAAAGGGGAAATAGGAGGTGAGGTAGATTATTTCAATGTTTTAAAGCAAATGTACACCTTTAGTTTTATTTTTCTCATTTGTTCATTTTAACATTCATAAAAATAGATCAAATTTTTTAATAAAACTAAATATTTTCATATTTTTGATTCACTTATTTCTTGCCTCATGTTTTTAGATGTTCCAGATAGAAATTCACAAGTTCCTAAATTTGATCCAGTTCCAGATAGAAATTCACAACAAGTTCCTATGTTCGATCCATACAAAATGTATCAACAGCAATGTAAAGAAACAGAAGAATTGAAAAAGCAAGTAGAAGTTCAAAATTTTCAAATACAAAATATCGAAAGAAAGATGCAATCTCAACATCAGAAATTGCAGAACCAAATCAAGAATGATTCACCATCAATTCCTTCTAAAGTAAAATTGAAATCAGAACTAGCGGAAGACCTGAAGATGGAGTTGCAAGAGCACAGCCTTCAGATTGAGAATGTTGAAAAAAACTTAACAACAGAATTTTTACAATTAAAGAAAAGAGTAGAAGAGGAATATTTTGTTTATCTTGTACGTGAATCTGAAAAATTGAAGGAGTTTGAAAAACAATTGAAAGCACAAAAATCACATAGTCACAGTATTGAAAGTAGAATGCAATCACAGCTTCAGAAATTACAAAATAAAGTAGATGCTATTAATATACAAAATCTAGCTGACAAGATGGTCGAGCAGTTAGTATCCAGAAACTTGATTAGTAAGTTTTTAACTTCTTTTCCATGCTTTTTTACAAATCTGGCCCATTTTAAATTTGGGCTTATACTCTAAGATATACTGTTTATGTTTAAAGCATTTTAGTGATAAATTGCCTTAGAATGACTTGGGGATCAAGACAAAATTACCATGACTTAATGCACATCTACATCAGAAACCTTCCTTTAGACTACCATAAAAAAAATAATTGATTGTCTAAAATAACTAATATTTTATAACCGTTGTTTATGGCCAACCTAATTTTGAGTTTCAACTCCATAGTCTTGTAATTTTGAACCCAATCCGGAAGACAAGGGAACTCTGATCATGAATTGAGAGAAATTCATTTTCGTGGCAGACTTTTTGATAGAACTCGTTACATGGAAATGTCAACTACAAAAACCTCTAACCCATGATATGTCTACCGCTAAGGGTAATTTACGTCAGCACTGTGGTCGGTGCAAAGCGGATGCAGAATTCGTTTCAACCAGCTGGGATTCATACCCAAAGCACATGATTGGGAGGCCAGCGTCTGAATCACCATGACTTAAATGACTAAGATTTTATTTTGGAACTGACATTAAAGAGCCAACCCGATTTTGGGCTTACGACTACTAATGTTCAACCCCGTAGCCATGTATTTTGAACCCAATCCAAAAAACAAGGGAATGCCTGGATCAAGTATTGGGAGAAATTTTTACCTTCCTTTTTGTTGAAACTAACCCGCATTTGCATTACATGAAAAGGAAAACTACCAAAACCTACCGCGGTGTGCCTGACAGCAAGGGGACTCTAACCCAAGATTCATCTACCACGGAGGATATTTTACCTCCTCACTGTGGTCAGTGCAAGCGGAATGCAAAATTCAAACCTGTTCACCTCATTGGAAAGCGATCGCTCTATCCTCTGAGCCACAATGGCTCCTAAATGACTAAAATTGTTATAATTATAAGACAGTTCGAGTCAACAAAAAAGTAAGTTTAATTGAATAATTACGATTTAACTTAAACAGGCTTCATAGAAGGCCAAAAATACAATCGAAACTAAATTTTTCAAATAAATAAATAAAATAATACCCATTTTTCGTACAGTATACATAGACTAGTTTTAAAAGGAGCCAACTGCAATTCAATAAAAAGATAATTTGCTCTATTTGAGTATAATAAATGCAAATTTTATCTATTTATTAATTTTATTATAATATAAAATTGTAAATTGAGTTTCTCTTCAAATGACTGAATTCCTGAACGATTTGAAACAATGAATCCTGCAACTAAAATTATCTAGCTGAACTATGCATGTAAAAAGTGGACGGTACTTTACTTAAGTGTGGACTATCAAAATTCGCAATTTTCAGAAGCACTACTATTGTTGGATTGAAAATGGAAATTTTTTTACTTATCAAATCGATATTTTAACATCCACATTTGTATTGGTAGAAAATTCTAAACACACTAAAATCAGGACAATAGACTAAAAATCAGGACACATTAGATTAAAATATTTTTGACTAAGGAATATCAATACAATACAAACCCTGATGTGTGATACTGTTATTGTTAGCTAGTTAAATCAATTCTTTGAATCATAAAAATTGCATTCAATCTAAAAGTTATTGCGGTGTTCTATATTTTAATTTGCTCGCTGTACATTTAGCAAATCACACCAAATAACTTTTTATCCAATAATTAGATTATGGTGTAATAAGATGTAATCTTAATAGTGTGACGGCACAATTATAATGTATTAGTGCAGCTTATTAAAGTTGTGACATTAGAAAAGAAAACATCCCCTCTCCGAGTGAATTTTTGCCCTAAAAATATGGGGGATGCAGATAACTAAGTGTAGGCTAATTATTTGATTATATATCACTAAAATTGGTAGGATTATTATTAAATAGAGCTGATTTAAAAAGAACGAAATTATCCTGGATAACTAAAAATGTAGAAGAAAATGTGTTTATTTTAATGACATGAATTGCTTTATGTATTTTATTTGGATTCAAAATAATTCATGTATAATTTTTTAGATATCCCTCAAGTCTTATCAACTTCCAACGATGATGAACGTTATGTACCTCCCCACCGAGTAAGTCACATTACTTTTATTTCATTTTTCTTCGATTTAAAATAAGTGTGATTAATAACACCATAAGGAGCTCTTTTATGTTCATGTTTACACCTAAATTTGAAACGTGTTTTACCTTACGCCTTTTTTCCATGTCCAAATATCAAGGCAATTATTTTATTTTATCACTGTTAAATAACAGTTTATTTGAGTATCATATTTGACGTCATAAACTTCTACTTTCATCTACATATTCTTTTGGAACTAAACCAAATACAGAAAATAAAAGAAGTTCCTAGATTAAGTTTTGTCTCATCTTAGTCTAGCACTGGGGTAGTAGCTAACACTCTATCCAGCTATTCCAGAAAACAGATTAAGGTATTAAAGATTGTTATTTTGGAAAGTAAAATTTGATTTCTTATGAAACAATCCTGAGTCGGAATTTTAATAGCGGTAACACCCAAAATTTGATATCGTAATTTTACATTTTTTGTTGTTTTTTAAAAAGTATATATGTTATACAAAACAATAGCCGAAAACGATTTTTTTTAATTTAATTTATTTTACAAGATATTAACAATTAAATTTTAAAGCTCTTTTTAATTAAAAAATAAATATCTAAGGATAGAATGAATGGATTTTTAAAAAATTTATCTCATTTTACGCGGAAATAATTGAAGTTTTTGATAAAATAATTATAATAAAACAAATGTTTAAAAAATTTAATTTTTATTGCAAAATTAAGTTGTGAAATGAAAAACAAAAATGTTGTTAATGTCGTACAAAGTTCAAACAAAACCCATTTTAAAGTAAATTTTATTCTGAACAAAATGGCTTTTTAAAAAAAACTGGATCGGAATTCCATAAAAAGTTATAGCTTTTTTCGCAAAACTCTGCACCGTGGCGCGGTCTGCCACTCCACTCCGCTGATCGCTCAATTGCGTTGTATCAGTTAATTTGGATGGAATTTAAAAACCTCAACTAAAGTTTCACAAAATAACAAACATTATATTAAATAATAAATATATAATTTATAATTTTAGGTTAATAATATTATGAATAATTAGTTATTTATAATTTATTTACATAATTTTTTGAGTTCAAACTTGGAACTAGAAGAATATATTTTACATTAGAGAGTTTCAAAATTTTCAATATTCTTAAAAAAAATGCTTGGATCTTTCTTCTCATCGTCAAAATCACACTCTTCATCAGAACAATTCGATACCACATGTTCGTTATTTTCTAAAATTAACAAAACATTTTAATTATTAGAATTATCCGGAAAAAATGCTTCTTGCAGTGGTTCCCGCCCATGTGAACCTAGAGTTCAATGAAATAGCTGATTCCTGGGCTAAAAATGCCAGAAATCTCAATTAAAATACAATCCCAACCACATTGGCAGATGCAAATGCTTTTGCAAAGTCAAGACTATTTACCCCTTTAAAAATCAAAGCCCACGATCAAATAACTAATGTTAACATCGATAGGAAGACAGCCACTACTCTCATCAGACTAAGAACAAAACATCATAAAAACATGAAAATTTCTACAGATGGGACTAGAAAATATCAAAACTGTGGCAACTGTCTTAATGTGGAACTGACACCATATCATGTTTTTAACTGCCCTGCAGGCCTTCACCTCTTAAACTACCCCACAGAAGAGGATTTGTATTCATTTAATGCCATAGAAATAGCAAAAACTATTCAAGCACATCATGAAATATAATTCAATAGAGGATACGACACCAACCAACCAACCATCTAATTTGAAATTAATATTTTAAATTATTTACAAATTTACGAATAGAATTACTTTTTTTATTAGTAATTATTAAGAGTATATTTTTCTGAAAAATTGTCCGACGACAAGAATCACATATGAATTGATTTATTAAATTTGAAAATACCGAACCCCAATTTTTTGTCACAAGCTTAACTTTTTGTAGACACTTCGATGCTTTAATTTGTTCAGCGGTGGCAGCAATAGTTCACCATTTCTTGATTTTGTCTGTAAGTTTATAATTAAATTTCGTGATAAATATACAAATCAAATTCTTACAATTAATGTATTTATTAGAAATGTAATTTTATGTTTAAAAAAACAATATTTATTATTGAAGTTGATATTACTAAGTAAAATAACAATTAAAACTTATCTTATTTGATAATTATTATCACGCAGATCAGCACTCCGAATTACCTTAACAAACACTCGTTACAATTCGAGTATAAACATGAAAAAACGCGCAGCGCATGAGGTAATCAGCGTTGACCACAGAGCGAGCCGCGGTGCAGCATTTTGCGAAAAAAGCTATAACTTTTTATGGAATTGAGATCCATTTTTTATTAAAAAGCCATTTTGTTCAGACTAAAATTTACTTTAAAACGGGTTTTGTTTGAACTTTGTTCGACATTAACGACATTTTTGTTTTTCATTTTACAACTTAATTTTGTAATAAAAATTAAATTATTTAGACATTTGTTTTATTATAATTATTTTATCAAAAACTTCAATTATTTCCGCGTAAAATGAGATACATTTTTTAAAAATCTATTCATTCTATCCTTAGATATTTATTTTTTAATTAAAAAGAGCGTTAAAATTTAATTGTTAATATCTTGTAAAATAAATTAAATAAATAGAAATCGCTTTGGGCTATTGTTTTGTATAATATATACTTTTTAAAAAACAACAAGAAATGTAAAAATTATAATATCAAATTTTGAGTGTTACCGCTATTAAAATTTTGACTCACCTACAGTTTTTTCAATAACTTTTTTTTATTATTTACCTTCACCTGTGCGGACAACCAGTTTTAGATTGCTTCTTTCACCTCTTCGTCTGGCACTTGCTGCTGTGAGGAATTAGGAGAAAATTACGAGGTGCTAAATCCTGGCTGTAGGGTGGTTGATTAATTTGTTCCCATCCAAAAAATCTTATCAGATTCTTCTGTAGCAACTGAACTCCGGGAATCAGTAGGCATATCTTTGCTGTTTAAAACTCATATAGTGTTCTATTTCATTTAGAAAAATTAAGGACTTTAAAACTAGCATGATTATTTATCATCAAACATACATATGCCACCAGTGACAGTGCCAATTATTTACCTTTCTAAAGAAATCAATAAATAAAAATAACAATTTTATTATAATGTAAGCACTGATATAATTGTATTGATTAACAGGGCTCGCCAAAGAAGTACCAGGCAACTTTTGAAAACCCGGGTCGGGTTTTTAGAAAAAAACATTTTCAGATTGTTAAAAGTTAATGTCATTCAGATTGTAAAAATTAACATATGAAACTAATCTGTATTCCATTTTTAATGATTTCATTGAAATTGAATTGTAAAATTAAGTGCAGAAATTAAGATTTGCAATTTGTTTCATGTATATTAAAAATAAAAAAAAGAGTAAATAAAGAAATTTGGCAAAAACATTGAAAAAATTATTGAAACAAGTTTTTATATTTCGTTACTAGATCAGCAAATGTGTTATATTTACTTTTATGATGAACTTTAACGAAATAATTTCCAGCCAAACCTGTTATTAGGAATTAACTTTCAATAATGTTACTAAACATTCTGGCAAAAAACATGAACAATTTTAAAGCTACCAAAAATTGAACAAAAATTAATAACGGTATATTAAGTTGTAATGTTAACTGAATAAAATGATTAGGTATTAAAATCCAAGGATCTTTTATTTCAGTAGCTTTAAATTTTTATGTAACAATCTGCTTATAATTAAGAAATAAAAATAATAGCATAACAATCTAAAATTTAAAAAAAAAAAATTTACATTGGAAAACAACAAATTTTAAATAATTACCAAATATTTCACTTTCTTGTTAGAAGCAAATCATGCTTTTTTATTTAGTTCCCAGGAAAAAAAATTTAAAGTATCTTTGAAAATTGAAAAACCCAATAAACCACAGGTTTTTGATGAAAAACCTAGGTGGACTGGATATTTCAAACCTTGTTTCTTACAGATCTGTTTAATTTTTAGTATAATCATGAATTTTAAAGAATGTTATGCTTTCTATATATTTATAGTTACTTATCACACATTTATTTAATTCTTCACGATTTTAGGAAATAATTTTCGTTATGGATTCTAGTTTAATTTTTTTTCCCTGATACTTCTTTTCTTAGCGTTTTACTTAATTCCTATAAGCAGATGCGCTACCAGTAGAACGGAATTTCTTGAATTCAGTCAATTTTGAAAGTTAGTGTAGGTATTCTACTTAAGTACCTTGAAACTGTGCCTCCCCCCCCCAAAAAAAAAGCACCATGTGCAGTACCCCCCTTTTTCACACCATTCTTTTCTTTTAGAATGCTTCACTCTCCTCATAGAGTATCATTCTAGGCAAAAGGCAGAATATATTAATGAAAGAATCACTATCTTAATGAAATGACATGCTTTCATCCTCTTGTCTGTAGCTGCCCCTCCCCACACACATATTAATTTTTGTCTCTTTAAAATGCTTTACCCTAAATGCATGGTCTAATTTTAAGTCATAAAAGAACGACATTTTGTTTTAAAAAATTGAACTGAAAAATTGTTCCTATCAACTATAGTGATGCTAAAAAAATAAGGACTTTTAAAAACCTTATACCAAAATTAAGTACTTTTAAAAGCCCTTGTTTTTCAAAATAAAATTTAAGCAGTTTTTACGGACTGTGGGAACCCTGCCAGTAGTAGCATTTTTAACAATAGCAATTTAAACAACTTCAGTTTTTTTTTTTTTAAATTCAAAATATTAAAAAACTATTTATGTTAAGGCATTTCTTTTCTTAAAATGAAAGATTTTCCTGACCTGTCCAAATGGGTTTCAGTATTGAATAGAATGTTTTTGAACCAACAAAAAATTTATGTTTATTAAACAAATATAGAATTTATTCATTACAAAATAAATTTAAAATAATTGTATGGTGCATCAAATACCACTCCAGCAGGTCATCGCACTATTATATGGCCGGGCGTTATCTTGTTGGGGAAAAAAACCCACCTTCCTTCTGATTCCTTTTTCTGAATTGTTTTTTACGAATGGCATCCCTAACTTTGATTAGCATACTGCTGTATATTGAACTGTTGATAGCCTACCTGCTTTTTAGTTACTCCTTAGAGATAATTCCACGATGATTCCGCCAGATACAGAAAAGCACTTTCTTGTTAGTTACTGTTCATCTTGCAACCGAGCCTGCTGATTCCCTGGGTGCTGACCACCCTCCTGGGATTGTTGTAGTACACTCATTTTTTACCACGGGTCACAATTTTGTTCAGAATGTTCTTTTTTCTTTGATCTCAGAGCAGAGCCAAACGGACTGCTTTTCTCTTGCTCTTGTCTTCAGCAGTCATTTCTTGAGGCACCCAGCAGTTAAACTTAAATGTTAGATTTATGCATTAACTATCGTTTTTTGGCAAACGTCAAGCTCTAATGCAATAATTCATGTTGAAACATTTCTGTCTTGTTACTTCAATTGGTCACAATTAACCTCAATAGGGTGGCCAGAACGTGGTTCATCTTCAACGTTGAAATTCCCAGCTTTTCAAAACCAAACTTTTACTGTATCATAAGAAACAGTATTGAAAGGTAAACTTTCACACATTTTTTTTTGTGGCATTCAGTTGCACTGAGTTTATTTCATAGTACACAATTTTCCTGATCTGGTGACGTGATAGCTTGATTTTAAACACTTTTATGATGCACAAGATAATGAGGTTTTGACAAACAAGTAACACAGTTATGTAGTTTCAACTTTAGAATGAAAAAACCCGTTTAGATAAAGGTTAACCGCCACGGGAATGGCTGCTGTTGGTGAGGAGGTATCTTCCCTTAGCACAGTGGTTCCCAAACTTATGACTCTCGTGTACCCTTTCTAAATTTTTCGTAACGCTGTGTGCCACTAATGAAAAAAATTTATGTATTTTTTTACTATAACAAAATTGCACAAAAGTTAAAAATCACAACTGGCTGTTGACACCACTAATTATTAACTCTGCAAAAAATATCCAATAGAAAAATACGTAAGTGTAAATTTTCACGGCTAACTTGGTTTTCTAATAAAATGTTTTGAAATTTTAGTTTGTTGCGAGATATTTCGCATAAGAACGCATACCCCCGCTAAACTGTTTCTATACCACTGGGGGTACGCGCCTCACACTTATGGAAACACTGAATTAACAGAAAACTTTTTATTCAAACGATATAATTATTTGATCAGAATATTTTATTGTTTTTAAATTTTTAAGCTAAAAATTATCATTTACATTTTCAGAGAACACAACAGTCGAATGAACAGATGTCATGCTCGTCAACTAATTCTTCAAGAACTGGAACACCAAAATCTGGTAAAAAAAAGAAGAAAGCAAAAACTGAACCTGAAAACTCTGGATCAATTACATCTGTAATGAGAAATCAATGAAACAATATTGAATTGATATTCAATATAAAATACTGAATTGTATATTCAGCATTTTGTACAATATACAACAGTATACAAAACTTTAAAACACAAACAGAGTTTTTTTTAAAGCGTTGTTCAATGTGAAAAAAGTGACGCCTTTAATGTAAAATTGTTTGAACTTTCTTTAATTAGATACCAGCTAAAGATTTATATATTCATAGCTGAATTTCAATTTAATTTTGTTTAAAGTTTTAATGGTTTCTCTGGGATTGGGTCTAAAACTGTTAAAAACTTAAGGTGATAGAATTACAAAATACATGTAAAGTATTTTAGAGCACATTGAAAATGCAAAATTAATATATAGATGCTAACATATGCTAATGTATAACAACACTAAGGTTTAATTAATGTAGAAATTAGTTTTAAGTAAAAGAAAAAAATTTCATTTTTTATTCCTATTTTCTTTTATTTGACAGTTTTCATCTTCTTTAAATACACTCAATGAAATAAAAAATAGAGTGCACTTTGTAAGTCTAACATTTGCATGAAATACAAATTAAAACATTGGATAAATTTATAAACAAAATCGTCAGATAAAAAAAAAAATTATAAATTTTATTGTATTAAAGGATTTTGAGAAATCTGTGCTTTTATTAATTTTCATTTTTATGAAAGGGAATGCTGGCATAAAATTATATTAGAATATTCAAATTTCTTTTTCTATTATGGCCTTCTTTAAAGTAACTTGACAACTATCTATTAGCAAATTTTTTGGTTTTTTTTCTTCATGACATCTTTTCTTTTCAACATAAGTTTCTCATAGTATTTAATATTTTATGCTAATTAAAATATAAATAATGATATTTATACTAATACATAAATGTTTTTTATTAAAATTTTAGAAATGGAAGTTTTATAAAATATATATAAAACATCAAAAACTGACGAGAATTGCCAATCCTGGTATATACTAGTTAAAAAACCTGTAATTATTTTTTATGCTCAATAATTTAACGGTACGGAATTGTAATAAGCAACCTGCTAGAAATCCTGACAATCAGGTAACGACTATGTAAATTTTTAGCACAAATATTAAAGCTATTTTTGAAAATGGTCCAAGGAAAATACCCCATGAAAACTTTTTACTGTATGTTTTAATTTGAGTAAATGAGTTTTAAAATTAAAATTGATGTCTATTGTCCCATCTTAAGTGTCATGTGATTTTGAAAATAATTCGAAATAACTGTTGTTGAATTTTTGAAGGATTGTTAAATTATTGAATAGTTATTGCAATCAAATCTCCTTGTATATTTTATGTGTCTTGTGATATTATTGTATATTTATTTATTATAAAGATTTCCCAAAATAGTGTACGTGATATATAAAAGATTTCCCAAAATAGTGTACGTGATAACTAAATAAGATGTTAAGTTTCACGACCCTATAATTTATTGTTGGAAAATAAAGACAAAAATTATCTTGACAGACATGTTTGTGTTTTTTAAATGGAACTTAGGCTTATCTTTAGATAGTTTCTTAGTAAAAAAAATGGTTTATCAGTTTATGATCACATACAGTCTGAGAAAAAATAAATTTCCTTACTTCTCCAGATTGATTTCATTAAATTTTTGTATCTAGTGGCATAAGTTTAATTGATTTTTCAGTAATTCCTTATTACAAAACACATACCTGCTACTAAAATAGGAAATATGCAATTTTTTATTTTTTACTAGACCAGTTTTATTGGGAAAAAATGTGGGACTCAAACTTAAATTTATTCATTTCCCCAATTTTTTTTGTATTTTAAATAAATTTCCTGTTTTGTGGCCACCCAGCTATTTTTTTTTTTTTGTTAAAAAAATCNTATTTTTTTTTTTTTTTTTTGTTAAAAAAATCAGACACTTTATTTTGTGTTAGAATTCTTTCAAAATAACATACTTTTTTTCCCCTTTAATTTTTTTAAAATAAATAATTTAGTTTGTATATGATTGATTTATGTGTGAGAAAGTGAATTTGAAAAAAAAGTTTTAACGAAATTAATAATCAAAATGTTATAAAAAAAAAACATGTTTTATATTATAATTACTGCAGTATATCACAAAATAGGACTTGCAAAAAAGGAAATATTATTGAAGAAGGAATTTTATAAGATGCAGACTGTTCTATATTTTCAGCTATATAAGTAATGTTAATAAAGTATTGCTGAGGTTTAAAAAAATCATAGCAATCGTGACTCTGTTTCTAAAATTAAATGTTATTGCATAAATCTCATCAACAAATGAATGATACCTTAAAACTATGATTTTGATCACATGAATATTCTTTTTAAAAGTTGAAAGAAGTGCCATGGAATTCGCCCATTTCTACATAATTTTACATTACTGTGAAAATCAATGTTGCAGTATTCATGTCTGAGAACACGAGTCATCGGTAGACAAAAAATTCCTTAACTCACATAGTATCATCTAATAGACAAAAGATTTTTAAAAAAATGGCCTACAGAATGATAAAACTAATAATAGCTTAAAATTGTTTTGTTTTCTAAATCGTGTTCACTTTTTTTTTGTGTGCATAGTTTTAAAACTTTGGATTCAGAGTGTTTCATAAAATGAATAAAAATTACATAAATGAAAGATACTTAAACAGTGAGCTCATTTAGTGCCTGCCAAGTTTCTTGCCACAGTAAGTTTTAACTGTTACAAGACTTGTTTGGGTAGTAGTTTCCCCCTACCGAAAGCTATAATTCCAAAATATAAAAATTAAAGACTTGAATTGCCTCCAAATTTAAGGATGCCTTTTTTCAAATGGGAGCAATTTGTATGGTATGGACATGGATTCTCAGATACCCAATTGGTTATTGTTTTAGTAGTTCCTGTCCTTAGCAAAGAAAGAAAATTATTTTCGGAAAACTAAGATTTTTTTTAAAAAAAATTATGCAGACATTTTTTTTTTCTTTTTTAATAAGAAAAGGTGGCACAAAATAGTTAAATAGGATTCTCCTGGCAAAAATAGTTGATTATAGTAATAGGAGGAAGAGAAATAGGAGCTTTATATATTTCTCCAAATGGAATGTTTCCATGCCATCTAATTGTCTGTAACACTATGCAGGGTTATTCATAATTCCCTCCAGGGTTTTGAAGTGTTATAGTAAAAAAAAAAAAAAGAAAAAAAAGCATGAAATTATTCCGAAACTATTCAAGTTTTACTTACGTACATTGCAGGTGTTCTACGTGTGAACCCTTGGTCACACGGCATTACATCCAGGCATAGTCCAGTTCCTGCCCGGAGGGAATTATGAATTGATGTATTTGATGTGCTATGAAGACTTTGGTATTCATTTTGTTAAATACTTTGTTTCATGGCATATAACCAAATTTCTTCATTCTTTTTTAGAAAAATAATATTCAGTCTTCCTGAGCAAACTGCAACCAAAATTTAGAAAATCACAAAAGTTTAAAGCCATTTATTGAAATTTTGATAATTAAGGATATTTAAGGACAACTTTGAGCCTTGCCTACCTTATTAGTAAACTCACTTTTTTTCATTGTTTGTGCGTCCTTTTCTACTGCACTTCCATGTTTCCATACTGTACGATTCTTCATTGTAGGACTAAAACTGTGGTGCTCTTTTTCATGTTGTTTAGCATGTAATAAAAGATATGAATATACAGCTAACACCACAAATAGCATGTTATGGAAATCATGACACTTTATGGATGTACAAAAGAAACCTTAAGGACAGGCATAGAATATAATAAAATGAACTATTGAACATTTACTCGCAACTCATTTATTTGAAATAAAAGTATTGTACAAAATTATATCTCACATCTTCTATGATACAGGCTTAATTGTCACTCCCCGTTTTATGACACCCCATCCAATTAACCTCCAGTGTTTCTCTATTCTTCGGCTTAAGGCTATCTTTTCTCCTACTTCTGTGCAGACTGGCGTTGTCAAACTGATCTTTGCTAAATCAGCCTTGACAGCCAATACTCTACCACCAGTGGATAAAGAACCAATGTTAACCATCAACATTTCAGTTTTAGTCAGTTTTTGAACCTGAAAGTATAAAAGAGCACAAGTTAAATTTAAATAAAAAATATATATATAGACCATGCCTATGGAAGGTAGGTAGGTATTTATTCACTAGAGCTGCGCAATGAGCAATGGACGATGGTCTGAGAAACACCCCCGAGGATTATCTGAAAACATGGCATCACCACAATTTTATCCTCTGCTTTGGTAAAAGTCGAGTACTTTACAACAGAACAGTTTAACGAGGACCAATACAGCGCACCTTCAGTTCCTATGCAGGTGGCTAATCAAAGTGGTCACCCACTCGCATACTTACCGCAGCCAGTGATGCTCGACTTTGGTGTTTTAATGAAAACCATGTCTTTACCATCAGTCCACTGCAGGATGCTGCTTCATTCAAAGTTTCACATGGAACAATGTTATTATGGTAAAAATTTGAGATAGTTAAGGGTTAAATTTGATGAAAAACGTAACAAACATTTGCTATTCTCAAACAAGTAATCAAAACATAGTCCGGAATATTTTTCCTTAATATATTCTAAGGATCCTCTTCAGTGCCTTAAATAATTGTAAATATATATATAATTGCAAATTATTCAATATTTTAACTTTACAAACAGAAAAGATACCAAATCCACTTTTATTATTATTACTTCAAATTTTTTCACTATCCACTAATTCTAAGTTTATCCTTAATATTAACATGTTACAGTAATCATCTAGTGGATAAAGGACACGTGAGAAAGGACAGAAGGGTCTTCCAAGTGAAAAGTGGGTATGATTATTAAAATTTAAAATTTAGCAACTTTACCATTTAGAGCTGTAGAGGAAGCGTAGGAGGAATGTACTACAAATTACATATAACTGGTAAAATGGTTCACTTGAGATAATTTAAAGTGAAGGTTGAGTTTGTTAAATATGCTCTCAGAAGCAGTACTTTTAATGAGAAAAAGTGAACATAATGCATTAGTGCATGGCGGCTATTTTCATTTGGGTATTTATGAGTTTCACAATTGTGTAAATTGTTAAGGGAAAATATATTCTAGAGTTTAAATAACTCAATTTTTGTCTAAAACAAGGAATTCCACTTTAATATGGTACAGGAATATAGTTGAAAATTCACAATTAACGTTTCACATTCAAAAAAAAAAAAAAAAAAAAAAAAAAAAAAAAAAAAAAAACAACACTAGCAAGTAAATCTTTCTAAATATTAAGTTTGAGCATTTTTTGCTCGATAAATCAGTTTATGAAATCATTACACAATATATATATCTAGGTTAAGATGTAAATTAATAAAATAGTAATGCAAATTTAGTAATAAAATTAAAACCTTTGCTCCTTTTTTATCTCCTTCAGTACGAACTCCCAACAGCCTTCTGAGAAGGAAATATGAAATTTCCAAGTCTGTAAATATTCCAGGCAGTTCTTCAGGTGTTCCAAGAACTTGTCCCACCATTCTGTCAGCACGGGACAATGTAGGGTCGATTTTAGTTCCAACTCCTGCCGTAAAAGTTAAGTACTATTTACAAACACAAATGTATGAAACAGTGTTAGATGAAAACAAACTTGAATCCGATTTCAATATTTATTTCAAATGAATCGCCAAACATGGTATGCATCAGTGGAAAGAGGAAAAGTCAAACATTTTTATAGTTTACATGAATGCTATTTGTTCTATTCCAATGCGAAAACTTAATCACTCTGCATTGTTTTCACTTCAGCAACAAACTTAATTATTGAACAGTGCGTAAAAAAATAAACAAACCACTCTAAATAACTTTTGATCTAATGATCGAATCTTCACGTTCTAGAACTCAATCTTAATGGTTCAAGGGGGTCACCTCAAATATGCAAATTTAGACACAAAAGCGTACTTTCTTTGAGTAAACATGCTTCCCTCCCCTTCAAAAAAAATTATGCTTCATATAATTTTGTCAGGAGCTGTGGAGGAATCTTACTTTTTACATATTTCACCATATTTCAAGAACTTTTTAAGCCAATGGAAACATTTCTGCATACAATTATAAGATTTGTTAATCCAAAAATAATTCCACGCTAAGTAAATTTTTATTTAATTGTATGGTATACAATTTTTTACACCATTTTAAAGAATGTAATTTTACATAATAAAATACCACATCTGAGTGAAATCGGTCAAATAGCTCCTGAGAAAATGAATTTAAAAATTTTTTTAATCTTTAAAATTTAATTTCTCAGAAACTATTGGACCGGTTTTGTATTTTGTTACGTAAAATTACATTCTTGAAAATGATGCAAAAAATTGTATATCTTATAATTCAAAATTGTTTTCACTATTATTACATAAAATAATAAAAAAAACATACAATACTTACTAAAAGTTATTTTTTGCATGGAAGTACATCTTTGGATAAAAGAAAATAGGCAAAAAGTAACAGTAACATTAGGAGATGAAAATCTTTGAACCGCTTTCCTGAACAAACTATGTAGACTATATTTCCCAGATTATGGCTAATCCTTAATTTCAAGGGTCAGAAATCTGAATCATTAACACTAGACCCGCGGGATTTTGAATATACCTAGAACCGCGGAGTGTGTCATTTTGACTCGAGATAGTAAACCTCATAAAAATATGTGTAATCATTTATTTAAGAAATCTGAAATATATCTTTTAATATAACATATAATATATCAATAACCAAAAATGTCTTTTTTATGCAAGAAAAATTGTTTTATTAAAAAAGTTTTTCCCATTTAGAAATCTCTTGCTCAAAATATAGCTTAACCTTTATATTTTAATGGAAAAAACAGAGCTGTCCATTTAAATAAATGTATCTATAATTTTTTCAGAGAAATTAAAGATTAAAAAAAAAACCTCTTATTAACATTTTTTAAATCCAATTTATTGTATGCACTCAGCACAAAATTTAGTAATATGTTTTGTACATTTACCACAAATGGGTGCTTTGCAATTTGAACAAATATCTTGCCTATTATTTTCTTATTATCTTGCCTTTTATTTTATATTACTACATTTGAACTGCAGCAAACTCGTTTGCGCTTTACTTGTAGTTGTTCGTCGTTTTCAGAGGTTGCTTGGTACACTTAGGTTATTTTTTTCTGTCGTGAGAGAAAAAAATTTTCTTGCAATTCTTCAATTAAATCTAGAATAAATTGGCATCTAATAATAGACTTTCCAGTTACAGATTTGTATAAAAACCAAGCATTGATAGCAGCGAGGCATCTACATGAGCAAGTTTTGATAGTATATTTCCTTGCCATTTGGTTAATTCTGCCTACACCAAATTTAGCCGCATTGTTAAAAGTAATGGTATCGGCAAATTTTTTTTTTAATATAAGTGTTAACATCAATCCCATTCAATTATGTTACGAGCTTTAAAATTTGGTAAGTTGTCGTTTACATAAAATTATTAAAAGTCATGAAAGGAATTTTTTTTTTTAAATTAAAACTTTTCATGTAGTAATAAATTAAACATTGATTTGGGTCAAATTGACCCGCTTTGCGATTCTAGTGTTAAAAAAAAGGTATGTTTATTTAGAGAAAGTACGCTTTTTGTGTCTGATTGCGTAACTTAAAACATCATCTACATTAATTAATTAGCATATTATAGGTCATCTCCTCGACCCATTAAGTATGAGTTCTAAGTGAAGTTGATAATTAGATCAAAAGTTATTCTGGGTGGTCAGTTTATTTATTTTTTTTTTTTGCACACTATGTATGAAGCATTGTAAAACCTGAATTACATAATAAGCTTACCAATTAAGCCACCTGGTACAGCATACTTTAAATCATTTTGTTCAGCATATAGGGATACGATTCTCGATCGAATCGGTTTACATTTCAGTTTCCCCTCATCATCTTTTGTGACAATACCAGGACGAACTTCAATTTCTTGTCCAACCTGAAAAATGAAGGGGGGAAAAACAGTAGTTAGGAAATTCTCAAATGATGAAATATAAACTAATCTAAATAAAATTCGTATGATAGTTGAAGAACTTAGTAACATTTGACGATTTAAAAAGACTAAAATGTTTTGATTCACAAATTTTTATAACTAACTGTATGTATAGAACAAAATTTATATTGCAAAATTAAAGCGCTTTTTAATTGAAAAATTTTTGGTAAACATTTTCCTGGAATTTTGTAAAATGCCACATTATATGTTTACCCATTGTTAATTATTTTTTATAAATGAAATCAATATTCTGCACATTTTACTGAATACATAAATCAAAACAAAATGTGGCAATATCAGCTTTTTAAAATAATGGAACAATGCTACAACAATTAAATTACAATATGGGAAATGGACTAATCATTGATTAATATCAAAAATTGAAATTCCAGAAAAATGGCTTTCCCTTTACAGTAGATACACACACACAGAATTTCAATCCATCGTTCTCTCTTCTTTCATTTTCCTGTATGTATCGTCTTTGTTTTAATGGTCCATCACAAATGCTTTTCTTATAATATTAATAATACCTGCCTAGATCATTTTTGAAGCTAGTAGATTTCTGTTTCTTTCATTCAGAAATTCTACTGACATTCGAAGAAAAAAAAAAGGTGAAATTAATTTGTTTTGAGAAGAAAAACAGTTATCTTCTAATGCTAATAATGAATAAAATTTGGATTTGTAATTATTTGGGTAAAATGCCTCAAACAACAGGTTAGATGTTTATGCCTCATTTGATACAAGTGTTACTTGTGGTGTTCAGGAAATGGTTACAGAAGCTGAAGAAGTGAAGATCGAACCTATCACAATCAATTGGAACAAACACTTGCAGAAGGCCTCAAAGCAAGGATCAACTTTTTGTATTCATACAAACATTCAGAAAATTAACACCAATCTGTAACAATAAATGTCGAAAATTCATTGCTTGGGCTAATTGGAAAAAGAACAAAGATTTATTTATTGATCCTTCTTTTAAGATTTTTTAAATCTTAAATATTTGTGCAGGAAGTACTTAATTTTTTCAACCAAAATTTTTATACTTAGTGTAAATTTATTGAGTTTCATACATTTTCCAGTAAGTTGACCTGCATTCACCGTATCTGTCGTTCGTAATGAATAGTCCCCCGATAACGGTTGATCGAGGTTCTACTGTATAAAGAGACAACAATCTCATATCTATCATTCAGTATGCAATCAAAAAAAAAAAAAAAATTTTTCTTGTCAAGATTGTAATATTTATTCAATCTGAATTCAAACATGGATAATCCACAAAGCGGCATGACAGAACTATAATATATTTATTTTAAAAGTTTATAATTTATTTAAGAATAAACTTCAGACTTATTTAAAAAAAAAAAAATACCTTTAGTACTCCTTTTAAAATACTTCCACCAGCAACACCCCCTTTCAAGTCTTCCACTTCACAACCAGGTTTGTTCACATCAAAAGAACGAATCACTAGAAAACAGAAACAAGTTGCTTAAAAAAGAGAAAATATAACATTTGTTTATAACATAAAACTACTATCCATACTTTTGAAAACATTTCTTTAAAATAAAATTTATCAATCTATAGACTTTCAAGGGACAGAAAGGAGAAGGTAGAAAATTTTTCATTAATTCTCTGAATTGATTAGTAGTCTAATCACGAATTTCATCAGATAACCACTCTCAATCCATCCACCAAATACTTTAAAATGCCTTTCATTTTTGAGTTCATTGGGTGCTCTTCTCTCCTTCAAATGAATTGAATCTAAACAATTAGCATTCCTCACTAATGAATTGGAAACTTCTCTTAGGGAGTAATTTTTTCTTTACACATATATCGATCAAGCCATTCTGTCTCCAGTAAAACTAAAGCTTTCTTTTGAAACTTCTTTTAAATATTTGGCTTAAAATCAGGGTTCATACAGAGATCAGAAGAAGAAATCCAAGGAGTTCAAAATTTAAAAACTTTGTGTAAAAGATAACTAGACATTTTTTTTTAAAAGAATTAAAAAGCAGTTACCATAAAGAACTTGTTTTTCTTAAACTATTAGATTTTGACAGCTAAGTCACATCATTTCGTTTCCCTGCTTGGACAGCAAATTCATCAGCGGACTAAGTAAGTTCATCTATGCAACACAATAATCTAAGGAGTTTCTAAGGACTAATTTGAAAATCTAAGTAGTTCCAAGTACTACTTGGAGACTTTTTAATTTCTAAGGAGTATAAGGAGTCTGTAGGAACCCTGCTTAAAATCAACTTAGTGGTACGATACATTATGTATCTCTTCATCTTTTATAATGTTAAATGTACATAAGCAACTCTTAATCAGTTGTAAAGATCGTCTGCTTAAAGAAAGAAAGAAAAAAAAACGGGGTGCCGGAGGGTGATCTCCTTAATAGTTGTATGGAAAAAGGTGAATGAAAAGGGAATGGAAATAAACAATCTGAGTGATAAAACTATCTGAGCAATGGAAATAAACACACTGAGTTAAGAAGCCCATCTCTCACAGAATCAGTCACACTTTTTATGACTGGCAAGTTGGTTTAGGTAACTTAGCCTTTTCAACTTGGTAGACAAAAGCAGCCACACCATCAAATATCCCCCCTAAGTGCTCTCTGAGCTGATTTTCCAGTCACCTACAATGGCAAAATTTTAAAGCAAGATTTTTAGGAAAAGAAAGGTGTAGGTAATCTTCAGTCCGAGCTGGTGAATGAATCTTTGAACAGGTAAAAAGTACTTTTAAAAGGATCTCGTAGCTATGTTGTAGCTATCAATCTTGTCGAAGCAAAGCTCTCAATCTTGTAGCTATCACCCAGTTTCTAAATGCTTCTAATGCACACTTGTGTGATAGTTAATAACATTTTTCAAAACCATTGGTCACTTTAGCCTGAACAGGGTTCATACTCAAAAAGAATCCCCCTGACTTTTCCAGGTAAAAACTCCAGAATTTCTTTTTAATAAAAATTCAAAAAATTTATATTTAATAAAAATGTAAATTAAATTTATAAGTAAAATTACAACGCTAGGAAAGCATTAATAAAGTATTTTTATTTTTAAAAAATCAAATGATTTAAATAATGTCAAAACTCTTGATTCAAAATAATAAATCGTCAGAACTATAAATGCGACTGAAGGGGAAAATAAGACTAAAGGAGTTACTAGACATTATTAAACAAAGAGAAAAAAAAACATTAGTACAAAGTTGCTGGAAAAAATAATTAATTATGAGAAACATAAACACAAATCATAATTAAGTGACATTAATTAAAAAAGGAAATAATTAAAAAACATTTTTAACAGCAATTATCAAAACCATCTTAAAATTAAACTAAAAAATACATAAACAATCCATATTTAATTAAAATTAATCTATATTTATTAAATTGTGTCAAACAGAATAGATAGCTAAAAAAGAAGTTGTAGCTTAATATCAGAAGAAGCCCTGATAAATATGTACAATAAACAATGAATATCAATAAAATTTCATACCTATTAGTCTAGGGGCTGAAGTGAAATCTCTGACAGGTACTGGTATCTTTTTAACAATATATTCACAAATAACTTCTATATTATACTTAAGCTGAGCAGAAATTGGAATGACTGGCGCACCTTCAGCAACAGTTCCTACCACAACAAAACATATTCATTTCACATTTTGTTAAAACTATGTTAAAAATTTTGCTGTAAAAATTATTCGAAAAAGTCGAGCCTTCGTGATCTAATTTTATGAATTTCAAAAAATTTAAGAGCAGACACTATTAAATGGCCTTTCCAAAATTACTAACTGCATTTCTTTAAATGTTTGAGGAAAAATCAAGTGCTATTTTTTTTCCAATCTCATGAAATATGGGATTTAATGTTTGAATTTTATATAATTAATTTATTTCAACGGTTAAAAAAAGGTGAAACTTTTAGAGAATCGTAGCTTTTGATAAAAAGATTGAGATTCGAGAGACAAAAGTAGAAAAGCAGAAATCTGCTCAAAAGTGGAAAAATATCATCCCTGATATAATATCAAAAAATTTCCTAACATTTTTTTATGCAATAACAGTGAATTAAAAAATAAATTTTGACATAAAGATGCCATAGGTACAGTTCTTGTCAACCTTAACAGAAATTAGGCTTTGCTTCTTTAAATACTCATTACAAATAAAATTAAAACATTTTAAGTTCTATTCATAAATAAATTATTATTTTTTTAAGCATCAAACTACGTAAGGGATATAATATATTTTGATTTATACTTTATATTATATAACTGATAATGCTCATTCTCATAAAATACTATTAGTAATTTCTTTATTATAAGGTTCAATAAAAAATTAATAATAACACAGCATTAATAACAGCACAGCAATAATAATCCAGCATAATAAGTAGCAAAATTAAGTAGGAAATAAAGTTAGAGAATAATATAGAACTAGTTTTATCTTTAGACTAACCTTGAACAAATTTTAGGATCTGCTGATACTGTTCCTTAGCTTGGGATTCTTTCACCAAATCTATTTTGTTTTGGAGAATTAGAATATGCTTCAATTTCATGATTTCTATTGCCGCTAAATGTTCAGAAGTCTGAGGCTGTGGACATGATTCATTTCCAGCAATCAACAGCAAAGCAGCATCCATAACAGCCGCCCCATTAAGCATGGTGGCCATAAGAATATCGTGACCAGGACAATCAACAAAAGATACATGTCTAAAATGCACAACAACAGTCAAACATTACATTGAATAGGAGAGAAAACTTCTATTTTTCTTCAAAGAAGCAAAATAAAATTAAAAATTCATTAGAGTTTTGTCAACCGTTTTAACAACTATCTTGGTCTGGGCAGAAATGTATGTTATATTGGGAGGCACTATAATCATGAGCGCAGAAAATACTGTAAATATTAATTCATAACTAAAAAATATTTGACCAATTTTAACAAAGCAATGTTTTCTTTAATAAGAACTTGATAATTAACACTTTGTGCATCTCGGCTGTTATAATGGAAGGGGATCATACTAAAGAGCACATGCTGCATAATGATATCCAAAAAATGATTTGAAACATTAATTTAAGAAAAGCATGTTTGTTGCTTTCTGCTTAAGTAGCCAGTTAATTTTATTCTCATTAATTTTTCAAATTGATTAACAAAGCTTGTCAGATAACTGAAAAAACTATAAAAGAATATTTCCCAAATAACCACCATTTGTAGAAGCTTGAAGAACTCCATCTCATTTTGAAACTGTGGGGGGGGACCCTGCTTTCTGAGCAAAATGCAGCAAACTATAGATTTCTATTCTGGTTCTTGCTTTTCAAACTATTAGGGACAAAAACAGATTTCTTTTAGGGACACTACATACTATGCTAATTCAAAAGCAACTTATCCTGTAGTTCCTTTTCACACGTTACGGAAAAATTTGAATCTATTTATACCTATGAAAGCTCTTAACATATTTTAATCAGTAAAAATTCATTTGAATTTTCTAAAAAAATATTTTGAAATATATTTTTAAAATGCTTATTTATCAATAAATGCATTATCAAATTATTATTTTCGTTTATTTGAAAGAAATTCAAAACCTATAATAAGTATATATTCATATAATAAGAACTTACACTCAACCATTTATGAATTTATAAATAAATCATGGTAAGTTGAACAATAAACTACAAGTCCAATCAAATAGCTTAATTTATATCTAATGTTAAAAATAAATGTAGATAATGTAATTTATTAGTGATGCATTCAATGTAACTTTGGCTTGACAGAATATTATCTATTAGCATGTTTTCCACACTCTATCTTTTAAATATTCTCTAACATATAGATAAAGAAACATGTTACTCATATTAACATATTAATCATAGATAGAGAAACCAGACCCTTAAAATCACTGATTTCCGATGTAAATTTGGTTAACTTTTGTCATGCATCTGCTCTGTTTTTTTATCAAGTTCGAGGACAGCTGAAAAAAATTTGGTTTTAGTCACCACGGAGATTTAAATGGAATGATGGAAGAATAATGACATAGACGAGATTCTATTGAAGGTGGATATTTGATGCGATGATGTTTATATAACAGATTTCAAATTGTGTAGATGGAAGGAGAAGATAATTGATGTAATGAATTGTTTTATCTGTGTTTTGTTTTTTTTAACGAAACTTTTTTGTGGAAAGTAATTTTTGGTTTTAGAAATGAATTTTGTGTAATTTCTTTTTTTTTTCTTCTTTTTTTCCCCTGATGCAATATTACAAATAATAGGTGCAGATGCGTAATAAAACTATTGCCTAGCAAGCAAAACGGATTTGATATAGAATTGTGGTATTTTTCATTTAAAAAACTAACACCAAGTTAGTAAAAAAAATTTATGCAATGTAGGTAAAATTTTAATTTGATAGGTTTGTAATACTTGACTCTGACATGGTATGAAATTTGCAATAAAATTTCACCAAAAGTGGTTGCTAATAAAAAAGCAATCTAAAAAATAAAGAAAAAAAATTGGCACAGATGCGTAACAAATCAGTTTTGTAATTTTTAACATATGATAATAATAATAATTAAAAAAAAACATTCACAGGCATTATTTTTGGAAGAAAGTAAAAATATTAACAAGAAAATTTTCAAACAATCAGACAATAACTAATAGCTAACCCTAACTATTTAGCATCTTAAGTTTAAAATACATTCTTTCAACCAGTGCCGTAACTTCACCCATCGGGACCCTGGGGCAAACATTTTTGGCGGGGGCCCTTTCAAAAACTTTCAGTATTCCATCTCTAAACCGTCATTTTAGCTATTTATGTATTATGTTAGCGAATATATTTATGAAAACAAGTTATTAGTTCGCATATAAATTGGATTACAAAACATTGTAAATTTTAAACATGACAAAATGCTAAATTTCAGCGAAATAGATTAATCCTGAGAAATTAAATTTTAAAAAAGTCGTACTTATAAAACTCGATTTCTCAGCAACTAATGCACTATTCAACCAATTTCGCTCAAATTCGCATTGACTTACGCTATATGACTTACGATTCAAAAGTTTTCAGACTATTATTGTCCCAAAGGGATCGTTAAGATACGGTTCCTAGCAGATCACAGAAGTCAAGCATCACTGGCTGCATTCAGTGTGCGAGTTGGTGACCATTTGGGTCAGTCTGCGTTGGGACCCAGGGTGTGCGGTATTGATCCTCGTTAAACTGACTCGACTTCGGATGCAGGTCACCGGGCTACCGAAGTGGGGGTGCCATCCCCTCTACAAAGGATCAAACCTCAAGGGATGTTTCCCAGACCGTCGCCAATAGTCTATTGTGCAGCACTAGTGCGATATAAATGATCAACATCAGACTATTATTAAATAAAAAATAATAAGTATTTACTAAAAATTATTTTTTGCATGGAATTATCTTTAGATAACAGAATTTTATAATCGTGTGCAAATTTTTTTTAATTCCCTTAAAAAGCTCTCGATCTGTAGTGAAATACAAAAAAATAAAATTAACATTTGGGGGTCCAAACTTTGGACAGCTCACCCGACCCAACTATTGGGACCATATTCCCCAGATTACAGCTTCCTCCTATATTACGGGGGTTAGAAAATCGAATCTGTTGAACAAAAGTTACGTTTATTCAGAGGAAGCATGTTTTTGTGTCTGATTGCGTAACTTTAAATAAAATATCGTGCACTAATTAATTTGCATATTTGATGTCACGCCCTCGAATTATTAAGATGGAGTCCTAGAACGTGAAGATCCGATCATTAAATCAAAAGTTATTCAGGGTGGTACTTTTTTGGTTCACTGTACGTAAATGTTACCAATTTACGACATCTCACCGAGGAAATATGACTAGGGGGAAAATAGTTATTCATGTTGTCTACTCCTGTCTTCCATGTCCACAGTAGCTTCCTTTTCCTCTAAATATAATGCTAATAAAAAAATATCAATTTTATAAACCTGTTGAATCCGGTTACTATATCGTTAGGAAGTCATATTTCCAGACAAAACCATTTCCAAACATAATGCTAATCAAAAAATATCAATTTTATAAACCTGTTGAATCCGGTTATTATATCGTTAGGAAGTCATATTTCAAGACAAAACCATTATAAAAATGGAAATTATTTTTTAGTTTCAAATCTAAAAGTTTTTGATCGCGTTATGGAAACTGAAGCACATGTACCCACATTTTAAAAAGTCCTAATAGAAAAAATATTCAGAATTTTTCTCTCTATGTACATTGATTAACAAAAACAAAGTTGCCTTACTCCAATATGGACAGGTCAATAGAAAATCGTTCTTGAATATTTGGCCTATGTATTCATGACGCCATGTAATCATACGTGACAAAATTATGACAAAGAGTAATAGTTTTTTTAATGAAAGAAAAATGAGAAAAAGTCAGTCAAAGCATATTTGCTAATTAAGAAAAAAATTCTTTTTAATGGTTTGTCATGGAAATGAATTTTAATTGCTACGGATTTCTAAGCTGATGTTCATAGCTTTTTTATTAAATTAAATGCGTTCTTTTATTAAATTAAATATGATTTTTTTTATATAAAATAAAGATTGCATTTCACTTTTTAATGAAAACAAAGTTGTTAAAAACCCTAAAAATTCGAAGTTCCAATTTAAAAAATTTAAAGGTCTTAATAATTTGAAAAATATAAAATAAGAACAAAATCCATGCACACAATAAACAGTAAAATTATCAATTAAAGTACTATACAAATTAAATTTTATATACGAACATAAAAAAAAGCAATTTTTATGTTACCATTCTTATAAAAGAATTCTAACAGTATATAAATATAAAATTTAAATGTATTAAATGAGTTAATGCAAACATTTACTTACCTCCTTATAAATAAATTTACATTTGGTTTTCTTGTTTTCCAAAGAAAATTTTTATTAAGAATGGGAATTATTGATATCACGATTTATGTTTGAAAAAAAGGAAGTTGCAAGTAATTTCAATAACTCTTAATTAAAGTTAAATTTTAATTTCAAAAATTGAATAAAGTAAAGGCTAACAGAAAATTTATATCTGAATTAAAAATGGTTAATTTAAATGACGCAATTACATGAGCAAAAAACTGGAATTTAACTGGAACGTTTTTTGTTTATCTCAGAAAAAATCTCTTGGCAAAATGACCTAAGTTAATGTCAACAAGAGTCACCCCCTTGGATCCCTTAAAATCTTACATCTTTTTTCTTAGAACATCTAGGAAATACTGCAAATATATGACATTTTATAAAAGCACAAAAGAGCCCAGGGTCATAAAAATGTTTAAGGCAATTTAAAGAAGCAAAAGGTCATTTTCCCATGGTGTGAAAGGAGATGGCTATTTTTTGAGGAGTCAGATTACTGTGGGGCAACTCTGTGGGTGGTATGAAGGTTTTAACACCTTCATACCACCCACAGTCAAAAAATGCTTTAAAATATATCTATTAGTCTCAGTGTAGGATGCATTTTTCAAGATGCAAAACAGTGGTACTTATTTTAGTTTTCTAAACGCTTGTTATGTTTTTTATGATGTGCTCCTCTTCTCTTTTCGTGTTTTAGTTTTAAATTTTTTTAATAAATTAAAAGTCGTAATATGTAGAAAAAAATTGAAACAAAACCGAAGTATTTTTCTTGTTGGGGGGGAGGGGAATATCACCTTCAATTTGGAAAATAGCTAGTGAATTGGAAAAAAAGTAGTTTCTTTTTCTAAAATTCTCGATTCTATTTTACTTTATTGTAGCGAATGTCAAATTTTCACGCACATTATGGCACGGGTGGCGCACATTATCTTCCATCTCAATTAAATTTCAGTGGAAAATAAAGTTTTCGATTTGGAAAATAGCTTTAAAGTCGAAAATAAGAGTTAAATATAAATTTTACTTGACTTTATTCCTGCGAATGTCTAAATTTCAGAAGGGGTGAAGTATATTCTTCGTCCCCTCACTTTAATTTAAGCGGAAAATAAAATTTTCTTTTTAGAAAATAGATACTAGACTTTATTATTTCAAATGTCTAAATTTCAGACGATACAAAACACATTTTAGCCCCCCTTACTTTATATCAGAAGAAAATAAAGTTTCCTATCCTCTTATTATAATTTAGGAGAAAAATGAAGTTTTCTATTTGGAAAATATTGTCGAAGTTAAGAAACAAAACAATTTTTTTCTTCTAAAATTTCCTACTTTACTTGATTTTATTCTATTAATGTCTAAATTTCAGAAGATGAGAAGAAAATCCCCCCCCCTTCACTTTTATTTCAGAAGAAAATAAAGTTTTCTATTTGGAAAATAGATTCAAAGATGAAATTTTTTTTAGTTACCAATTTCTATTATTTTTTAGCACTTTGAAATTTCAAAAGGGGCGAAATACTATGTTTGCCCCTTCATTACTATTTCGGAAGAAAATAGAGTGAAAATTGGAAATAAAATATTTTTTCCACTTTCGCTTTACTTTTCCAAAAGTCAAAAAACATATGAATCGCCCATAACAAAATAAAGTTTCCTACTTGATGTATAACTTCAAAGCTGTGAAAGAATAGCTTTTTTTTTTCTTCTCTAAAATTACCTATTTTAATGAACTTCGTCTTGGCGAATAACTAAACATCAGAAGAGCAAAGCACATAACTGTTAGTGGAATATAAAGTTTTCTTATTTCAAAAATAGCTTCAAAATTGAAAAAAAAAACTTTAAATTACCGATTTTACTTTATTTTTGTGAGTGTCTAAATTTCAGGAGGGGCAAAACGCATCGTTTGCCCCATCACTTAAATTTTAGAGGGGCCCTCTACCTCCCGTGGTTGGCACTTGGCACGCCACTGGGTCTGACGCTAGATAGTAGAGGAAACAAGTAAACCAGAAGTGCAATATACAGAAAGTGTTAACAATCAACTACATGCAGCTGCGGCCTTTCCTCTTCTCGGCAAAGCGTGTTTGTTCTTTCGAGAAAGGGAAATAATTCGCGAAAAGGTGTTTTACCGTTTTTTACCCTTTCCTTTGTTATAGTAGGTACGTAATTACAAAAACGAAGATTTTCAGCAACTCTATCTTAACACAATTTCTTTCCTACATATATATAATTATATATATATTTCTTTTTTCATATATGTATATATATTTCTTATATATATATATATATTCTTTCCTATATATATATAATTAGAGTACTGTATTTTGAAAAGACATTATGTGGTCTCTTCATATGGGGCCCCCTTGACAGTCGGGGCCCCGCCTGCCCCGGCGTAGTTACGGCCCTGCTTTCAACAAGAAATACATGAAAGATAACTGAACTTTTTATAACTGGGTTGTTGATTACGAAAATAAATATTTAAATATTTTACTAAAATTTAAACAGATATAGTGTTACAAGATTATAACAAGTTATTACAACAAATATTAAAATTTTTCACACATCTTAAAAGTTAACTTTCGCTGTTATTCAGAAAATAAAATATGAAACTTACGCTCACGCAATATAACATTAATATAATGGCCATTCTACCAAATCAAGTTGAAATAAAAAAACACTTTATATATATACATATTTAAAAAAAAAAAGTATTTGAAACATCAATCCCACATTAACAAGCAAAAATAAATTGAAATACCCATTACGGGTCAGTATAAATCTTGAATATAAAAGAACTTGTCTCAACAAAAATTAACTAACTCTCTGACATTTTTTCCTCAATTTATTTATATTAATTCGACAAATATTACATCTCACAACAAACACAGAACTTTTTGCCATGAACTAAATTTGAAATGGATACAAATCAATACTCTAAGACAGATTGAACTAGAATATTAACTTACAATTCGAAACTAAAAACATATTTTTGCTAATTTTTAAAAAAAATTTGTTAATATTTGGAATTAATATATGAGAAAAGAAGTACGATAAAATAATGTAAGTTATTTGCCTCAAAAGCCTAAATCTTCCTGGGCATCCAAGTCTATCACAAGGAAAATCATCTTCCTTACTACTTCGAGCAGACTTGTAGCAGGCTGGTCTAGGACAGCTTTCTTGGTCACACTTATAAATCTACAAAAAAGTAAAGCAGATTCAAAATGGAATAACATGCAGGAAATAAAGTTTATAAATGAAGTGTCTTACTTTTGCATTTGCATAGCCCAGTTTAATAGTAATATTTCTTTCTAGTTCATTCTTGAATCTAACAGTCTGGAGAAGAAGAAAAATACCACTGATTTATTTTTAGAATCATAGAATACTTTTCTCATTAATAAAGAATACAACAACTTAAACAGGGATTGATTAGAATAAACCCTTTCATATTAATTATGCAAACAATATTTCGTTTAGCAACAAATGTTTAGAAAGATTTCACATTGCAAAAGTGTTGGCACAATTGTAAGGTGATGTTTGAAGTTTTTAGAAATAATCTCATTTTTAACCACGCAAAATTTGCATAGATGAAAATGAGCATAGGAAGTTAAAGGCTGATTTCCTTTTTCAATAACCACTATAATTAAAATAGCATTTTTAGATAAACATTACAATCCTATAAAATTATTTCACAAATGCTGGTATTAAAGATTAACTTGCAACACTAATTTCGGTCCATCCAAACTTTGCATGGTTAACTAAAATGCTATTTATAAAAGTTTCAAACAAGATCTTTGAAAGAGCACTAACAGTTTTGCCATGTAAAATTTTCCAAAATAATTGTTGCTAAAAGAAAAATTGTTTAGAGTTAATATCGAAGCATTTCAATTATTTTGATTAGCCTCTGTACAGGGTCCACAAATACTCCATAGAACACTCTGCAAATAATGTAATTAACAGGGAAAGAATCAATAAAACTGAAGCAAGAGAGAATGTTTTGAATCACTAACTGTCAAAACTGATACTCCCCCCCCCAAAAAAAATGTTATACGATCTCTTAACATGGAAGCAAAAGTATGAAACCATAAAAAAAGAAGTTATTTGACACAATTCTTGTTAAATGTTTGTTCATATAAAAGTATAAAGCAGGGTTCGTGATTTTAAAAAAAAAAAAAATCAGATTTTTTTGATTTAAATCGGATTTTTTAACATTTTTATTCAAATACACTGTTAAGAACTATGAATTATGACTAGAAAAACTTTATAAATGTTTAATCAAAATTAAATTAATATTAAAACTGTATTATAAGAATACTTTAGAAGCTCTAAATACCTAAAACAATTTTTCGTTATAATACATAGCTTTGAATGCATAGCAACCATTTTTAAACAAATGCATGATTGAAATTTAAAGACTAGATGAAATAGAGAATTAAAAGAATACTTTAACTATTAAAACAAAGTTTCAATTACCAAACAATAATTTTAATTTAAAATTGCGATTTCTTTTTTTTTCTCTTGATTTTTAAAATGACAAAATAAATGTAACAGATTGTGTTTATAAACGTAGTCATTCATCCAAAAATAAATCAATATTTAATCTATATATTTTATATCAAAAGATTCATTTTTAATCCTATATCAAAATAGATAAGTTAAGCTAAAAAAAAATTTAAAGAAATCTATGTGCTGATTGAAATTTTTTTTTCACAAAATTTCTTTATAGAAATTCTGATAATTTCAAAGATACTGTAAGCATACTATGAGAAAAAATACTTAAATGTTTACTTTAATCTGTACTTTTAATCTCAAGAATCAAAAGATTCTTAAAAATGTAATTTCAAATGTGTTGGAATTTAACACATACCAAGAAAGAAAGTAATTTCGTTAGCTAAAACTAATTAATGCAACAATAATAAATTTTAAAACTAATGCAGCAATTTACTTAAAATAAATTTTATACTAAGAAAAGAAATAATAAAAGATTAACTAATTTAAAACACTGTTTTTAAACTTTTTAAATCAATATATAAAATCAATTGATTTAAATCAATGATTTTTTGAAAAAAATCCTTTGATTTAAATTATTGATACTAACTATATATCAATAATTTAACGATTTAAATCATCGATAATTTCACTATTTAAATCAAGCTGATTTAAATCAACAAACCCTGGTATGAAGCCATAAAAAAAAAGTTATTTGACTTATTTCTTCTCAAATGTTTTTTCATATAAATAATCATGCGTTTTATTATCAGAATTTTTTACCAATAAAGGTTTGGCTCCAAGTTTTACCAATAAATGAATATTACATAATTTTGTATTAAATGCATTGATTAAGATGGCGGCTGATAAAATGGGAAGTATAAGTGTCGAATGCTCACTTTGGTATAATGAAAACACACTACATATGACTAGTTATGAAAAAATTTTTGTTAAGGATTCTAGTTTAAAAAAATTTCCTGATACTTTTCTTAGAGTTTTACTTTATTCTTATAAGCAAACATGTTACCAGTAGAACTGGATTTTTTTTAATTCTGTCGATTTTGAAGGTCAGTGTGGGTCTTCTACTTCGGTACCTGAGACTGTCCACCCCCTCCCCCACCAAAAAAAAGCATTATGTCTTCCATGTGCAATATCCACACTCAATTATTTTCTTTTAGAATGCTTTGCTCTCCTCATAGAGTATCATTCTAGGCAAAAGGCAGAATATATTAATGAAAAGACATGTTTTCTTCCTCTTGCCTGTAGTCCCCTAAAACATATCCCTTCTTATCTCTCTAAAATTCTCTACCCTCAATGTATGGTCAAATTCTAGAAGATAAATGAACAACTTTTTATTTTATAAAATGGAACTGAAAAATTGTTCCTATCAGTAATGCTGAAAAAATGAGTACTTTTAAGGGTCCTTATTGTCCAAAATAATTAAGCAGTTTTTTACGGACTTTTAAGGACCGTGGGAACCCTGTCTATTTTGTGCAATCCATGATTTAAATTTCAATATAATTTAGTTATGATAATTTTCATTAGCAACTCTTTATAGTGTGGCGCCAGGCATGGTGCGTAGGCGCCAAAAGAATCAACGGGATTACAAACACACGATCGGCAACCTTGGAACTGCCCCAGTATTTAAGAAGCTTCGAACTTTACTCAGTCTCTATCCCACACAGTCTTACTTAATTTTTATGTTTCTGTTTTTAGCTTGTTATGTTCAGTTGTTAAATAAATGTTTAAGTTTATTGTTGTCATAGTTGTCTTCAACTTAATATGAGAGGGTTCCTCCCCCTCAATAGCAATAAAGAACTTAAATTTAAAATAAAATAAAAACAGTATTATCGCCTAATTAACAAATTACTTTCAAATAAACTATAACACTAATTGAATACTATTGAACTGTCATTCCACAAACCAACTGTAGTATAATTTTGAAGATAAAAACTATTGAATAATTATCTTAAATTGTTTTTAACTTAATAACTCTAAAGCAAAAGAACAGAGAAATTTAATTACTACTATGGACATAGTTTAAATGCTATAAATAATTTTAATAAGTGATAAGGGCATATTTTACTACAAAATTAAAAAGCACAACAACTTAATATACAGGGGTGATTGTGAGAATAACTCAAAAATCCGGAAAATTTCTTGAGTAAAATCATTAATGATGCATTTCAAAAAATTTATGTCTTTATAAATTTAAATCAATGATATTTTCAAAACATGAAATTTTAAATAAATAACATGCAGCATAATTCAAATGAATAATTATGCATAAGTTCACTTTTATCCCTAATCACATTTATCATTCTACTGGAAAAAATATTTACAAAGTATAAATTCTAGTTATAATATTTTTAAATAAAATATACAAGAATTTTTATTTATAAATGTGATTAATGAATTTCTGGACCTTGGATTTCAGGAAACTTCCGGATCGCAGTTAGCAAAAAATCCCAAACTTTTTTCCGAAGCACAATCATCTCTGAATACATTAATTTATTCTTATTTTATATATATCAAAAGTGAATATAAAGAGAAAGATAAAACAATTATTTGATTTACCTGCACACCAGATATAGCCTTAACAACAGTTGATTTTCCATGAGCTACATGTCCAATTGTACCTAAAATATTTGCAAGAATAGATCAATATTCAATTTATATCAAAGTATCAAGCAAAAAAAAAATAAATTTTTTTTTTCAGTGAGAAAGCAAGATCCTCAATGTTCAATTCTATAAAAGATTTCAGACCAGCAGACCTGTATAATATACCCAAACGCTGTTCGCGGAAAATTTGTCACCATCACAGAATTTTTTTTACTATTATTAGAAAAGAAAAAAATAAGATTAGTTTTTATGCTTTTCCTACCAGTGCAAATGCAATTTAAGATTGTGCATAATGTTTCTTATTTTCACAATTTTATATCATATATTGCATTTTGTATTCACACAACTTAAAAGTCATTATTATTATGATTCGTATATTCATGGATTTTAAAAATAAATGTCGAGATTCATATTAACATGATTTAAAAAATTTCTCACATTGAGATTCATATTGACACTATATAAATAAACAAATAAAATCCTTCATCGATATTTTTATTAAAATGGTGATAACATTCTGCGGATAAATGTTTCCCTCATTCACTTTAAAATTTCAAGTATTTTTTCAATTATTTAAAAAGTATTTTTGCAAATAACATTTTTGGATTTCTATTTTCAGCTTTTGCTTTGAATTTTTATTTTCAGCTTATTAACAAACTTATCTGTGTAGTATGAATTAATATAGAGTTCTAAAAAATTAAACCGTTTTAATAAATCTTGTTTAGAAAAGTAAGTTCTAACAGTTTGCAGTTATATTTGCTAGGATATTTATTATAATAGTAAATAGACCAGATCAAATTACTTCAAAAAAGGTGAATAGCAAACTAAAAAAAAAAGATTTTATTTACTTAAATCAGTGTTTTCACTACAGCGCGAGAATCTCGCATATTTTTTTTCTTTTCTCACATTAAAAAATGATTAACGCGAGAAGTTTGCGCACTGAATTTATCAATTTCAAAATGCACGAATCTCTCGAATTTTGGAAAAAATTTAGCCTTCCGCCATTTTGAAAAAGACATGAAAACAGCTACGACAAGTGTTGTAAAAAAATGAGTTCTTTATAATAAGTTGTTTAAAGTTATCTCTAGTTTTCGCTGTTAATGAATTACCAAACTCCCTCATCGACAATTTACAGCAATTTGTAAAAGTTTTAGTCTGTGAAAACTAATCTGGAAGACCTGACAAAGAGTATGAACATGGAAATAACTTCAACGAACTTCACTATTCCATAACAGAAATAAGTGAAGAACCTATGCTGGCATATGTAGAGGACAGGAAAGTGTGTGCACAATGCTACAAATTTAATTAGATTCCGAATAATTCAGCATCTGTTGCAAGGTTATTTAGCCCCCAAACGGAATTAAAACAAACTATCGTAACAGATCGATTGGTAAGCATTTGAGCAAACCAAATGAGAATAGCTAATGAAGAAGTAGATACAGAACATTTTCCATATGATAATGCAGCAAAAATATTCAATGTTCAAAATTTATTATAATTAAACAAATATTTTTTTTAAAAGTCTATTCGGGTTTTTTTAATTTTTAGAAATCTCACTTAACTTTTTGAAATCTCACCCTGTTTTTGAGAAAGGGTGAGAAATTCTCTCCCATTTTTTTTTGTAATGAAAACACTGCTTAAATGTATTAAAAGCAAATTTTATCGAGGAAAAAAATAAATACACAATTTTATATTTCTGAATAAATTGTTTAAAATAGTAAGTTTTAACAGTTTGTCATCTGTATTCTTAGATAATGGGAGGATAAAAAAACACATAGTATACAATTCAGAAAGGGAAAAAAAAAAAACAGGATAACTTCGAACCCTGCAAATTTGTAGTCTTATTTCCATACTTATTATTGATAGATTAAATGGACTGCAAAAATATCAAAATCTCTCTAAAAATGCAGGTGTAAAAATTTATTAAAAATAATTAAATGGTGATACCTATATTGATTGTGGCTTGACGACTAATAACTTCTTCTGTTAATGGAGTCAACTGTGAAACATCCTAAAAAATGAACATATAATGAGCAAATTGTTAGAAAAAATAGTTGACAGTTAATGTGAAATAACTTAAACTACAGGTAACTAAACTGTTTTTCATAGAATGGGGTTCATGAAAAATATTTAGCTCTCTAAGGTTTTTATATAAATTGATTATAACCAAACTGAATCTCAGCCATAAAAAATATTGTTTATTAACGTCCACATATAAGAAAATTCTGCACTAATATATCGTAAAAATAAAAAGATAAAATTGAATTTTTAATTAGACTTAATGTATGTTTTACTCAACTCAACATACAGACTAATTGCGAGCCCAACTCAAAAATCCTGAAAAATTTGAGAAAAATCCTTAACGACGCATTTCAAAAAATTAATGTCTTTATAAATTTAAGTCATTGATATTTTCCAAATATGAAATTATAAATAAATTATATGCAGCATATTTTAAATGAATGTATACATAAGTTTACCTTTATCTCTAATCACATTTATTATTCTACCAGAAAAAATATTTACGAATGAAAAATATGCCAAGTATAAATTCTAGTTCCAATATTTCTAAATAAAATATAAAAGAACTTTTATAAATAAATATAATTGATGATTTCTTAAAACTTCTGGACCTTGGATTTCGGGAGACTTCCGGATCGCAATTGGCAAAAAATCCAGATTTTTTCCAGAGCACCTCTGAACTTACAAATAGTCATTTTGATGTTGTATAATACTTTTTTAACAAGAACATTTTTGAGAATATCTTTTTTTCCTATACAAAAACAAAAGTTTAAAATATAAAGTTTGAAATACATATCTAATAAGTGTGTATTGGAAAAGTTGGATTCACTTATAAAGCAGAAGAATGTGGTACATCTGATGATTTTAGAAAAAAGGTGAAACTAAAAAAAAAAGCCACAGGGACCTACTCAAAAGATATAACTCCTAGTTTCTCCCCTTGGCAAACCTTTCTTAAAAAAAAAACAAAAAAAAAACATATATTTCAAGCATAAGATCTGTTTAGTGCTGTGGGGATTATAGTTGCCCTAGGAAGATTTCTGTATTGTGATTTATGGCAGAATAATAGCCAAGCGTTGACAACTTGCGGGCAGTGACCCGCAAAAAACTAGAAAAAAAAGAGAGAAAAAATAACGTCACAGAAAGGAACCAACTCAAAAGACATAATTCATTTTTTTTGCAAGTTTAAAATCTATTTGTCACCTTGACGACTGAAGATCAAGACATGGACATATCCCCCAAGGATAAAAAAGGCCATTTTAGAGATTTTATATTAATTTACAATTTTTTTTTTAAAAAACGTAACTGGAATTTTTGTAAATATATCTTCATTGCAATGTAAATTCATATGTAACAAAATATTCCATACCAGATGTTTATAATTTTTTATTAATGCTTCTTTTTCAAATTTAGTATTTAATTATGTAACTAATTTCACTTATAAAAGGAATAACATTACAATAAGAAAGTTACATAAATTTGTGCATTATAAAGCAAATGCAGTTAAGAAAAAAATAAAGTACTTAGATAAATTAAAAAAACTGCAAGAAAAAAGGAAATTTTACGCTCTCTTTCTTTAAGAAAAAAAGTCACAGCAACATTAATACCAAACATCACTTATTTATCATATTGTTTGCTGAAAAAGAAAATGTTTTTTTCCCTCCCACTTTTAACCTTTTAGAAATACGAATAATTTTACGTCCATTGTTTGTAGGTTAAGAAAAATTTCAGAACTAACTAACCACATTTCTAATTAAAAATATAAAACTGATCTTTCATGTACTTCCACTAAGTACCTTAACCTAAAATAACATAGAAATGGGATGATGTAATAACTTAGCTATTCATAATGCTTGATGATATTTATTAATGAGAAAGACATCAATATAACAACTAATGCGATAAAATTTATCCTACGACCAAAGAATTAATGATGGTAACTCTAACTTTTTATTAAAACCGGCTTAACTGACAAGAAAGATTCCACTCAACCTGAATATATAACGCGTGGCTTAATTCATCCAGAAACAGACGGATTTGATGGCATTATTCATGAAGTACACGGATTTCGAATTTCAGAAAATATTTTATTATGAAGAGCTCACCAATTTTGAAAGATCCTGTTTTTTAAGTTGTGGTTGTCCAAGAACCACGGTATTTTCTGATGACACCATTTTGATAGTAATGAAACAACAAAAATAAATTCAGCGATCAAAAATGAAATAAATAAATAGATCAGAAAAATCCTTTTCTGCGAACGAACAGTTTATTTGACGAATGAACAAGACCAATGGGCGGATCAGTATGAATATTTTTTTTTTTTGAGGCTTTGGTTCTAGCACTTGGTAATTATGATTTTTAAAAAGGTTTTTAAAACGTTTTTCAGTAATGGCAATAGCTTATTTAGTTTCGGTTTCGTTTGCTTCATTACTTGTTTTACTTCGTCTTCTGATAATATTAATGCATCAATATGATTTGTTCGGTATTTCCCCTTAAAGCTTACTTAGGTTTTAAAATTAACTCCTATTTTTTACAGCTTTCATGGACTTGTTATGCTGGAGAAACAATAAAAAAGGTGAGAAGTTTTAAAAGATATTGAAAATATAAGTAAATAATAAAATAACATATTTTGGAATAAATGTTTTTTTCCCATTTTGTCTTCGCTTCATTGCTAAATCATAATTTATATAAATTTTAAAAACAATCATTAAAATATAAATAATACTTTTTTATTGATTGAATTTAAATTAGAGTGACGCAATATTTTATCATTTTCTTTTTTGATCTGCGTCGAAAACCATTGTTTTATTACTGAAAACATCCACATCAATAAAACTTTGAAGTATTTCCTTTATTACTTGTGTTAAGCAAATCATAGTATTCTTATTTATTATGTATGAAAAATATGTTCGTATGATAATGCTCACATCTTTACTTTCCCCATGTTTATTTTATTTTTTAGCTATCATAGAAAAATTCAACTAGTATTAGAACCATGAGTCTTGAGAATGATTTACCATTAGACTCTTTGCTGGTTAATATTAGAAGTGTGGTTCAAAGCTGTAAAGGAGGTGTTCTGTTGAGTAACTTGCAAGGTAATTTATTTAGATTCTTATCTGTTTCAGGGAAGGAGTTGTAAAAAACCTACTTATATAACATTATCTAAATCAATACATAAGGTACCTACTACCTAACATTTGTGACCCATTTCCCATTGTACCAGCAGTAAGGGTAAGATTTCGGTTTTAGTAATCATCTCAAAAATAAACCCCAAATATTGGTGACCTCCAAGCAGTGGGGGAGATTTCCATATTGTGATATGCGGCAGTAAAATCGTCAGATCTTGGCAACTTCTGGACAGCAGCACGAGAGAAACTAAAAAAAGAAAAAAATCATGCAAAGGGATCAATTCGAAAGTTATAACTCGTAGCCAACCCTGGCCAAAAATCTACATGTTTTTTTTTGTTTTGTTTTTTTATTTGCAAGTTTAAAATCTATTTGGTTATTGTAGGTAGCGTGACAGATCATGATACAGAAATATCCCCCGGGCAGTAGTTTACAAGAAACTTAAAAAAAGCCACAGCGACCTACTCAAAAGGTTTGTGTAACTCCTAGTCCCCCTCCCCCTAGGAAAACCTCTTTTTTTTTAAAAAAAAAAAGTGCAAGCATAAGATCTTTTTGGTGTTGTAGGGATTATAGTTGCCCCTGGGAGATTTCCATATTGTGATCTGTGGCAGAATAATCTCTAAGTCTTGTCACCTTCCTAGCAGTGGCCGCAAAAAACTAAAAAAAACTTACGGAAAAGAACCATCTCAAAAGATATAACTTTTAGACACCCATGGGCAAACATCTACATGTTTCTTTTTTTTTCTTCTTCCAAGTTTAAGATATATATTTGGCACCTTTGCGACTATAGTTGGTGCAACAGATCACAATATGGAAATATCCCCGTTGTCCCAACAGAATCACTATACGGAAATATCCTCGTAGTACCTATAACCGCAATTAATTAAAATTAAGCAGCTCATGTCAATAATAGTTTGATGATTTTTTAGAATCCTCTGGAGCATGAATAATAATTAATAATTTTAAATAAGCATCTTTATTTAAAATAACTTATTTTTTATCTTAGAATCTTCAATCCTAATGCATGTTTTGAAAGTCCTTATAAATATCATCCATAAGTATTGATTTCATGTTTTTTGGCCAAATTAGTTATGCCTTGCTTAAATTTCTTGACTTCTTTCAACAAAACATTATTTATGGTGGTATATTTTTATTACATATTATTGAACTAATCAAAAGTACTAGTGAGTGCAGACTTGCTAGATTTGACAATAATGAACTAAGAAATTTATTTTTATTTAATGAGCATATTAATGTATCTAGTTTTTAAGTGTAAGTTATTTCAACTGGCTGTTTGGATGAATTTTGATTTGTTTGCCAACATTTTTAGATGATTATAAGAAACTTATTGGAACAGGCATACCCTTTGAAAAGTTTGGCTACAATAGTCTAGAAAGTCTTCTTCAAAATGCTTCTAATTTTATATCCATCAAAAAGTAAGGCAACTTTTTATATAAATATTGATATTGTGAAAGTTACAATTGCACTCACATACAAATTTTTTTAATTTAATATTTTATATATTTTCTATTTGCTTACCTAATGAATAAGATGTTATTATATCTAATTTAAAATATATTACCTATCCAATATATAACATCTAAATTTAAAATTTATGACATCTAATTAAGCTCAATATGTAAAATAGTTTAATCAGTTTGTTTGCCTAGTTTAAAATTATTTTTTAATAATTATATTATTTCAACGTACCTTGATTATTAATTAATAACAATAGTTTTAAAATTATACTTCTTTAATTCCCTTAAAGCTCCTTTGTTTCTTGTATCTAAAAGCTCATGCTAGTTTTGCTTTAAACTTTTTTTTTTCAATTAAAAAAATAATAATTTAATTATGCATTTGCATAACATGTTTTCAGAAAGAATATACAGGTCTTAGAAATAAAAACTTAAGCAAGATTCTTTTCTACATTGTTTGGAAATTGTTTTTTTTTTTTATCATAATGTAAATGTTCTTCAGCTTAATTATTGTATTAACTCAATGAGTGGATATAATCATGTGAGTTGAGGACGAGAGTATATATTTTCCGACTTTTTAATTTTTAAAGAATATTATTAAAATTTATATTTATTGAAAAAAAAATTTCTTCTCTTTAAAAAGTATATAAATTTTTATTCCATGTCTTCTTATTATTTTTAACTTATATAAATATTTATACAGTGGAACCCTGATCTTACGTTTTCCAACAGATTTGCATTAGGAAACACACGAAGTGGAATAACATAAAATCCGTGTAAAAAAAATATAAGTAGTATATTTTTCAAAAATTTACGTGACAGGCACTACTAAAATGTGTAATCTTTACACGCGTTTTTGTTTTTCAATACAATATCAACAATATCACTTTCAATTCTTACTATTGTTTACAAATGTTTCAGAGTTTTTATACTTTTAAACTCTTGTTCAGTTGTGTGTATATCCTCCAATATTTTTTAATCATCTTCATTTTTTTCATCTCTGTCCTCGGAAGCTGGCATTAAATTTGAAAAGTAATGAGTTATGTGTTGCCATCGGTATATGCATCAACGTCTTCGGGATATCTTCGGACATGCAATTTTAAACCGAAAAGCCAATGTTCCTGTTGGATATCTAGGAGCAAGAAGTTTTATTAAAACCATTCTCTTAAAAGACCGAGAACTCCTAGAAGTTTTATTAAAATCATTTGTAATTTCAAGTCAACTCTCCTAACCAGTTGTTTAGTGCAACATTCTTTGAATGATTGAATAATTCCCAGATTGAACTTGCTAGAAAAATTCCACCAGCATATTGTACACTTAAATTATGCTATACTTCCTTTAAACAACCTTCTAATTTCAATGGAAATGAGAGAGAGAGAGAGTCATTCTGCCCGTTCTCAGATAAAAGGACAATGAGAAAAACTAGAAACGGTTAATAACGGTTATTAGAAAAACTACAAACGGCTAAATAAACAAGTCTCTTTAGCATAAACAAAAACAAAAAAAAAACTTTGTGCTAGTTTTCGAGAGAAAAAATTAGTTTGATCTATTAGAAAAACATGTAAAGCAGGATTTTCTTAAAAAGGATAACATAAAATCCAGGAAAATTTTACATTATCTGTATAGATTTTCACAGACGAGCAAAAAATGACGTAAGAAATGGAATAACATACAAAACAGGAGTTCCACTATATGTATATATATATATATATATATTATAGTCCTTATACTCTTATTTGTTCTTATCCAGGAGTCACAATGGCCAGTTATTTGCAGAAGCAGTTACTGATTCTTCGACAGCCCATTTAGCAAATTTGATATCAAATCAAAAAAGTGGGAAATCGGTGAATTTTTTTCTTTTCATTTTGTATTTTATTTTTTCTTTTAAAGCCTCAGTATAGAAATTTATTGCAGTTTTGTTATGTGGCGGGCAATCAGCTGAAATTTATCTTCATTTACTTTATTTTTAAATTGTGATTTAGTATTCATATAATAAATTTTCAATAGTGAATGATATCTATCCAATTTTTTCTGATAAAATTACGAACAAGTGTTACAGTAAGATGAGAAATATGATGGGGTACAATTAGGTGAGATATTTCGATGTGTGAAAATTTTCCTGGTTAGAATTATGGGAATGCAAGTTCATTGTGCTTCATTCGAAAATTATTTATCTTATGATGAATAATTCACTATCTTTATTTTGAGTAAGCATTCTTGCAACAGCCCTCTGTGGGCCAGGGAAGTTATGGATGCTCAAGCTTCACAATTTTGGGACCTGACATACTGGTACTATTAATCTACAGGTAGGTGGGCTTGAAGCAACCCCTGATAATCAAACTTTCCTCAGAGTCTCTAACCGCTCTTTATTTTATAACATTTGGGATTGTCAGTTTTCTTTCTGTTCAAAATTTTATAACTTAAGTAGTTGGCAGATTGTAATAGTCAAAAAGTAACATTATCATTCGTTTAAGTGTATAAAAACTTATTTTTTGTTATTCTTGCATAGAATTGTACAATCCCATGATAAGTTTAAAATTTAAATTTTTTTTCTTTATAGTGACTGTAATAATTTGTCAGTACAGAATGCTATTCATGACTAGAAGTCTTGTTTTGTTTTAACTTTTTAGTCTTTAACAAAGTGCAATCCAGCAAAATGATTTCTCCCTTTTTCAAGACTTACCGTATTTTTCGGCAAAAGCGCAGCTTTGTCGCAAGCGCCGCACTTCGATAAAAATGAAATTTTTTTAAAAAAAGTTATAATAAGCGCCGCAATGGCGCTAAACCGCGCATATAAGCATCCTTTTAGAAAAGGCCTTTAAATTACCATTTAGAACATCTGTATAATAAGAAATTAAATATTTTGATACATTTCATAAAGTAAAGTTTTAATTTCTAAATTATAATAAAAAATTCCTTTTCAGCGAAATAAACAACAGAAAAAAGTTCTCTTTCAGCAACAAAAGAAAAAAAAAACACCAAAACGAAACAAAATAAAGTTGTTCTTACCAGTTGGCACCGTGCCAAAAAAAAAAAGAACAGCAAAAAAATATTTGTTCAGTAGCTGAATTAATGCTGAACTGATTACAGAAATTCGTAAAACAATGTAACAAGAAAAATAAAATATAAATTTATTAAAAGAAAGATTTTAAAATTATTACCGTTAACAATTTGAGGAAAAACTAATACATAATAACGAAACAGCTAACAATAACGAAATAACTAATAATAATAACAAGAATAAGAAATAACTAAACAGGCCCCAAAAAAATTCTGAAGGAATGAGCGAAGAGGAAATAAGTTTCACTTTCACAATCTTAGCGGGTGGAATTTTAGTGGGTAGAAATGCCCTCTCCTTCAATGGAAATAACCCAATGTGACTGAACTTAGAAGGAGAAGAAAATGTTTAAAAGAGGGGTGTACCCCACCTCCTCCATGTGTCATTTCTACTGGAGCTGCTTAGGAGAAATCAATCAGTTATATTTTAAAGGGGTTGGGGAAAAGAAAAGGGTATGGGACCCCTAATCCAGCATTTCAAAATTCCGCACTTAATCTGATCTAATTTTTTTCTTTTTCTTTAAGAAATTTCTATTGATGAGACAAAAAAAATCAGATATATTCTTTTTATTTGGAATTTTTTTCTGTTGAAGTAACTTACTTTATTTTATCTTTTAAAAGAACCTTGAAAAAAAAATAATAAATCTGTGTCAAAGGAAACATCTGTTTCTTAATCAGTTTAAAATAAATTGAGAAGTAAAAACACCTGCATTTCCAATGAACAAAATAAAGAAATGCAAGTTGGAAAAAACTGATCAATCAATCTTGACAGCTGGGCTTGTGCTTTACTGATTTGTCCCCATATTTCCCTCCTCTGTTTGACCATAAATTGGCCACACCCAGTTGACATTGAAACTACCATGTGGACAACAAAATGAATTCTATCCCTTTTGCGGTTTTTTATTCGATTCATTAATTTTTTTATTTTGCTGCTTTTTTATTAGTTATTAACTGTTAATTTTTTTTTAATAGTTTGCTTGTATTTTTTTCTTGTTATTAGTTGTTTGCTTGTTTTTTTATCGTTATTAGTTTTTAGCTTGTTTTTTGTTGTTATTCATTGTTAGTTTCTTAGCATTAATTGTTACTTTTTTTTTAGTTCCTTGTTAGCTTTTTTTTTCTTTCCTGCAAGGTAAGCGTCTTTTGTTAAAACAAAATGATATCTGAAAGAAAAAACGTGAACTATGATCTCGCTCCGAAGAAGAAACAATTATTTCTTCTTCAGAGGATTCGGATTATTTCATCTTGATTATATTATAAATATTATTATTTTAATTAATAAAATTTCTTAAGATGGGCCAGTTTTAAATGCACCCCATAATAATCTACGATCGAAACTTGACTAAATTTATTGGTTTTTCTGAAATTAAGAGTGTAATTGAATTATAGTAATATTTGGGCACCATATTTGAATTTCTGAAAGAGATCCGAAGTGCGGCATTTGGTCAGTCCCATGAGTGCCGGATTTAGGGTCCTATTACTTCCTTTTCTGTTCGCTCCAATTACAATTGCCAAGGCGCTAAGTAGATTTCTAGCTTGCGATTTTTCTTTAAGCTGGGGGTGGATACAAGATGCATACCTTTTAAATTTTCTCCTTATGCGATGTTTTTTTAAAATTATTATTTCGTTTATTTATTTTCTTACAGGCTGCTGCCGAAAGTTTGCTCAGAATTGGCAATGTTCAGCAGCAGATCGTGATACGGGCGAATATTTCGTCGACTTCGTTATCATTTTTTTTTAACAGTCGTTCTCTCAGAAAATTATTTCATCTTAAATAACTTTCCTTGACACATTTTTTTGCTACTGTGGAAATCAAGTCTTAATTTATAAATTTTTTTTTTAACAAACCAAACTTTGTAAGAGTTTGCTTTGTGTTAAAAAAAATGTTTTGCAAAAGTGAAAAGATTTTATGTTATGAAATTTGACCATATTTTATTTTAGATTTTATGTTATGAAATTTAACCATATTTTATTTTAGATTTTATGTTATGAAATTGAACCATATTTTATTTTAGATTTTATGTTATGAAATTGAACCATATTTCATTTTAGATTTTATGTTATGAAATTAACCATATTTTCTTTTTCAGAAAAAAGGTCTCAAAGCAACAACTTTCAAAGCAAAAAGCTGTGGTAGCTATGGCAATAGAAAATATGTGTACTCTTCTGCAGCTAATGAAAAAGATATAGTATGTAAATGTATATATTGAAATTTTGCACTAGTTTTATTTAATTTTTGACTAATAGAAGCCATGTACAGCACTCAATTAAATACCGAAGGGTATGCTTTATACCTTGCTGTTTAAAAAAAAGATATGTGAATCAAACAGTGAGTTCCATTAAATTCAAGGTTTGTTAGTATTGTTTTTTATAAAAATTTTGTTGCAAAGTGATAAAATTAATTTAGATTCATTAAAATATTAATTTGAATGGATAGTGTTTTCTACACTAGGGTGTGTTGCAAGCTCTTTACTGCCTATACTTCCGAGTTACTATTTCTAGTGTGTTTTGAAGCCATTTGGCTCACAACATGATCATTGGTGTTTTTAGACTCTCTTGTTTAATATTTCTTGTATATGTGTATTTGTTACCTCATTAATTACATGTGTTTAGAAATAAAAGAATCATCATTTGAAAAAAGAATCATTCTAAAACACTTCTTACCTTGTCAACAATATACCAACTTCAGAATTTAAACGTAAATTATAATTTGTAGAATGAACTCAATTTCGCTGCTTGAACAAAATACTAACTTATGATGGTATGATAAAAAGTGACTTTTTTCTAAATTTTGCAACCATTTCATATTTTTTAACAATACATCTATAAATAACTAAAACAAGTATTCTCTGCAAACTCACCAGAATTACTTAAAATCTTATAAATTGCAGCAGATTTGATCTCCGAAATTCTATAATTTATTTCTTTTATAAAAAACAAATTTATTTGTTTGAGAATGTCATCTCGTAGTGTAAGCAGCTGTGTACTTTATAACCGAAAGTAGAGCAGGTCAAAAGTTCAAGAGTATTTACATTTATATATAAAACACCATGCATACAAATACACATTGTTTAAAAATTACCAAATTTTTTCTTACTGTAGCCATATTGGCAGTTCAATAATTCTTTTTTTTTTCTGTGTGTGTTAAAGCTTTATGTATAAATTTTACTTTTAAATCACAAGTCAGATGTATGATGACGAAATATATGGCTAGAGTGACTATTAATAATCTTTACTTTATTGAGTTTTTTCAGTTTTTGTGCAAAATGATGCTTTTATTTATAAATTTAAATCCATGGGTATTATAAAACCTACAAGTTAATAATTATGAAATTTTCTTCTTTACAAAATGTATTATTTATCACATTATCTATCAAAAAGTTGCATTCATTGCATATTGCATAAACAATATTTTATTTTTGATGAAATATGCCATGTGTAGCAAAAATTTAATATGTAATTGGGTTGAAATTTTACTTTAAAACCTAAAAAAGTAAGGTAATTTATTTCTAAAATTGTGTTTTATGTTGAGGGATAAATTATATCATTTATACATATGTAATATGACCATCCAATACTTGCACATCGAAAAGAAGACGTCCCATACCTGCACATGTGACCTATGACGACAGCACCAGCTGATCTTTATTAGCGTATTAAAATTGAGCTAAGTTTCTTTACAGAAGTTAGAATGTGTCACCAAAGAGAATTGATACTTGACGGGCTTGGCCTACTCTTAAATAGAGTGGCAAGAACAGTTGCTAACGTAAATAAATGCCACGTTTCAACAACCGATCAGGATCGAGATGCCCATACTGCGTCACTTGCAGTTATTCCATTGAAAAAAAGTTCTTATCTTGGTCAATCAGTTCTGATTCTTTTGAATATTTTTATTTACTATATTCATCCCACATAGCTTACAGCTTGTGATAATAGTGCGGAAATAAATGTAGGAAAGAATATTTTTTTATTCCTGCTATTTTGATTTTTCCCTTAATTTGTTCCTTTTTAAGTGCTCACATTCATTCTTAGATATTGTTTTAAAAATATAGATAACTGATGCTCCAATCGGCACTGAAATGTAAAAAATTTCACTCCATTTTTTTTCTGTTGATAAATCATCGTTATTTTTAAACCAAAAGAGAAAGAAATATTTGATTTAAAACACATATACAAATGTTGTTGTTAGAGGCCAGTAAGACAAGGGGTGCGATTGTTCTTGTTTTCCAGTGGCGCCATAAAGAATTCGATTTCTATCACACCTGTTTATAGGGCGACTCATTTATTCACCCACATATTGTAATTTTGATCTGAGCCAGAGAATGGTCATTCCATTCAGTGTCCCGACAGATTAAACATGCACCGGTCACCTTTTACTACACAGGGAGTCTTCTTCCGACTGGATTCCAACTCCGTTCTCACGAACGTCAGTCCTGCGCTCCCGACCCACACATGCAAATAACCTGACTATTTTGTGGGTAATGGGGAGTTCTTTCATCTCTGTTGTTTCACCATTTATTACTATGGGTAATTAAGGTTTTTCTGTACAGAATCCATTGCGATACAAAATACATTAGCTAGTAATTTACATTCTCAAAAATCTTTTATGATTCCTAGAAATTAGGAAAATAGGTAATTAATAGGCAGGAAAAAAAACTTAAAACTAAAATTATTTTCATCACAAACATAATTATCTATTTTTTTTAGATACAGTCTTTGTTTTTAATTATAATTACTTCAAAAGAAAAATATAATTTACTATGTATTAGTTCATAAATTTATTTAACCAAAAAATCTGTGATAATTTTTTTTAGGAAATTGAAGAATTGAAAAACAAGTGGGAAAAGGAGAAAACAATGAATGAAGAACTTTCCTTTGAAGTTAACCGATTGCAAACAGAACTTAAAGTTGCTAATAAAGCTTTACAGTTTGAGCGAAACTGTAATACTCAACTAAAGTATCAACAGGTAAAGTGAATTCAGTATTAGAAAAAAAAAATTATTTAATCTTTTTGAAAAATGTTGTTTTGTATAAAAAGTTTTTTATTCTAATCTATTAAAGAAATTTCTGTGTGCCAATAAATATTTCTTATGTACTGAAATTTTTTTCTTCGATTTATTGAAATTATTAAGTGCACTTATAATTAGTTCCTTTACATATGATGACTCTTACCATTAACTCCCAAAAGTAAAATAATATTTATTTTATGATTGAACTAAACCTATTTTTAATTCCATTTATTTTTAAATTTCATTATTTTTTAATTCTATTTCATGTATTTTCTATGTTAATTTTTACTTTCGAGAGAAATGACTTGTATTGGTTAATTTAGGGAATCGGAAAAAAATTACAGGAGTGGTATTGTCCTAAAGTATGATAAAAGTTGTTTTGGGCAAAGTGCCATTTAAAGTTTGTGAAAATATGTTGCATTCCATTATTATGAGCATTTCAATTATAAATGAACTATTTCATTTATGTAAGTTCTGGAAATGTTATGTGTTTAATTTTATTGTGTGTAAAAATTTAAGTATTGGTTTTTTGAAAATATCACAGTGAATGAATGAATATTTAATAAAGCCTCTTTATTGTATGAATGTTTTCTCTAAGATAAAAAATTTCTTGTAAAAGTTACAAATAATATCATGATTTTTTTCTTCTTCATTTTCAGTATTTAATTTATTTATTGTTTTTAGAGTAACATAAAACTAATTCAAGAGCTAAATATGAAACTCAAAACAGAATTAAAAATCAACGACGTTTGAGGTTGAATGCTTAAGTTCAGAGCTGAAGAAGTCTATAAAAACTGAAAAAGAGAGCGTTCAAGAACTAAATGACCAACTAAAATCTTTTCAAGTATGAATTGTAATGTTATTTTCCTTCATCTTTTTCATACAATATCTTCTTCTCATTGGCACGACAGCCCAGGATGGGCCTTGGCCTTCAAGCCTATGCCAAGACATTCTTCCCTTAGCCAAGGTTCTCCAGTTTATTATCTTTAAAACTTGTAGGTCCTCTTCAAGGCTGTCTAAAAATCTTAGGTTTGGCCGTTCTCATTTTCTTGTACCTGTTGGCCTTGCACTGAAAACTTTTTTGGTTGTCCTGCTATCCTCCATTCTTATAATGTGGCCTGCCCATTTAATCCTTTGAATTTTGATAAATTTAATGACATCAGGTTCTTTATATGCTTTGTAAAGTTCCGTGTTTAATCTTCTAAATCTGGTACCGTTTTTATTTATTCCACCAAAAATGCTTCGCAGTATTTTTCTCTCAAATCTAGCTATCATATTTTCATCTCCACGGGTCATTGTCCAGGTCTCACATGCATATGTAAGCACTGATCGTATAAGACATTTATAGAATAATACTTTTGTTTTTCTTTTTATTAGGCTTGACTTAAGATATTTTCTTAGACCATAAAAACACTTAATACAATATCTTAATGTTGTAGTAATTGACTCATATGTTGTATTACTGTTTTCCAATATGGTTTGCATAGAAATGAATGCTAAAAAAACAACAAGCTATAGATGAAAATTAGGAAATTTTACTACTGGCTAGTAGCAGCATTTTCAGTAGTAGCCACTTCTTAGAACATATAACCACTTCTTTAAAAATTTATAATTTTAAGCGGTTAATATGTTAGTTGATATTAATAATGTAAGGCATTTCATTTGAAATATTTAAAATATTGTAAACATGAAAAGGTTTCTTTCAGGAAATCTTTAGAAACAAGCTTGAAATTGAGTAATTTTCATAATTCTCTAAAATATTTATAATATATCTATATTTATAAAAAAAATTGAAATTGATTGAAAGTTAAATAAGATGCTGTTACTTTTCTTTAACATACTCATAGAATATCTCAAAGTTGAAGTTGACTTAAGTTGTATATGACTTTCTTGCAATATGATTTACATTGAAATAAATGCCAAAAATATGCAAGTTTATAAACATATTTACTAATGTTTGATAAAATTTACTTAAAATTACAAAAAAAGTTAAAGGTTTTGTTACAGTTATGTTTTGAAACAGCCATGAGATTAAATTGTGGGATGAAACTCCGATTGAACAGCTGCATCCAAATGTTGCTAATAAATTTCTATTTTCAAAAAAAGTTATCCTATTCCTTTCTGAAAAATATTTTTGGCTGAATTAAGTCCATAGCACTCAATTTAGTTTTGCTTGATCAATTGTTGGAATTTCTTCATGGATTCAAACATTTTCATGATTTGTTTTCTATGAATTAAATAAATGAAGAGAAGTTAGAGAATGTTAATTATGATCAAAACTAATGAAAATTAATTGAAGATAGGGTAAGTTACTGAATACTTAATTCTTTTAGAGCTTGCTCCAAAATTCCTCTACTTTTGTGAAGTTTATTGGTTAACGGTTTATTTTTGAATTGTTTCAATTCATAATTTTTACGTTGCATCATTATTCTTTCTTAAGAATAATTCTTTAATCAGTATTTTAAATATTTCTACATGAAAATTAAACTAATAATAAAAAGATAAATTCTTAAAGAATAATTATAACACAATTCACGATTTTTACTAACTTAGGAAACAATTCCTACTGATTGTGGTTTGATCATTCTACTTAAATATCATTAATCAAATTCTCAATTTCTAAGTGTATACTTTAAATAAATTTTTATTTTGATAAAAAATTACAAACAGATATTGTCAGTGCAGCGTTGGAAAATGTTTTTGTATTTAAATTAAAAGTTTGTTTTCAAAATGTTAGAATTCTATACAAGAAGGGATGAAAGGAATAATTCCACTCTTCTCTTAAGATGAAAATGGATTATTTACTAGAGTCTATATTATATACTATATTATGTAGAGTCTATATTATATACTATACTATATTCTATTGCTAGAGTCTATATTATATACTATACTATATTATGTTGCTAGAGTCTATATTATATACTATACTGTATTATATTGCTAGAGTCTATTCTCTATATTAAAAAATCATAAATGAAAAAAACAATTGTTAGCCACTTAATTAGCACGGAATACTGTATTTCTTAAACTTGGTGAATTTCTCGAGACCAATTTACTTTATGAACTTGGTTATCTTTTTTAATGTAATTTGTAAATATAAAAAAGAATTGTATGAATTACGATTTCTTTTTAAAAGACAGAAATTGTTCAACATACTGTAGATGTATAATAACATTACTTTATTTCTATTTTTAGGAGATAGAAGATTTGAACTTAAAATTAGAGAGAGAAAAGAAGATTTCTAGAGATTTTGCTTCCCAAATAATTCGTTTGAATTCCTTAGTCAAAATTAATCAAGCCACTTTATCTGCAGAACAAGATACCATTAAGAAACTTAAATGCCAAATAGGAGCTTTGCAGGTATGTTTCAAAGTCATTCTTGAACTTTCTATCTTTGTGACTGTAATGTTACTACGTGCCTTGAAAACTATCAAGGATTTGAAAAAAACATTTAAAGAAAATTGGAAGGGGACAAAAATGTTCAGTTTGGTGCTTTCTGCTTATGATACCAAAGAATTTAATCTTGCCTAGTTTTGAAAGTACTTTCTAAGTTTGTCAAAACATGGTGCTGCTGACTGGAAAAACAGAAGATATTTTGTGACAATTATTAATTATGTTTTCAGGCTATTGTTGCTTTAAATGTGGGTTATTTTGAAGTCATGTTTCTGAAGTTTTCTCAGTCAACAGTGCCATGTATTGGCAAACTTTATAACAAATTTTAAAACTTCGTGAGAATAAATTTTTGTTTCCTAAATAGAATGCAGTCAATTGTATATTTCCGTCTCCTTTATGTTATTTATCTAATTGTAGATCATTTTTGGAGTAATATTTATGTGAAATGTATAAATTATTTTCAAAAAATCTCCACAAGCTATGTTGGAAAATTTTGGGTTGTCTATTATTCCATAGTTTTAAATTAAAAATTACAAAATGTTTTTGAAAAACTATGGAAAAGTCGAATTCAGTCGAACCTAGCTAATTCGAACCTCGATTTCACGAATTTTTCGATATCTCGAAGGAAAAAATATCCCTTCAAATTTCCTATGCATTCATAGTTAAAAAAATTGATTGCGCGAATTTTTTTTTCTAATCCCTCGATAAGTTGAATTTTTTGCATAAATAGTGTAGATTTTTTTTCTAAAAATAAAGAAATATTCCAAAAAAAAATAAATTTTCGGAATGGAAAAACAATTCTTATAATGATAAACTTTTTAAAAAAATGAACATAAAGACATCAGTAACACATTGAAATCACTTCTCTTAACCCTCCAAGTAGAAATTCTTGTTTTATTGTTTCCTTATCTGTTTTTCATTCAGTTACCATTGCACCGCAATGACCATGTATGCTCTCTTTGTCCTTTTATTCTGCAAGGTTATTTCTTGGGGTGGTCTTAAGAAAACCAGAAATGACGACATGAGCAAGAATCAAAAGGGTGGGTGGCTTCCAAGAAGACTGTAAAATTTCTTATTGCAACAGGAGGTGAAAGATATGTGTGAATGCATGCCTGTTCTGTTTTGCATTCAAGCTACCAAACGATCTCCTAAAAAGTTTCCTTTCTTGGTTATTTCAGAGAAAAAGAGAGCACTTAGAGGTTGGATCTTTGGCGAGTCATTTGTTTAAAATGGCTAGCAAGCGAAAATTAATCACGCTCTACGTAGAAATAAGGAAGAAAATCATTGACGAAGTTGAAAAAAATTCTAAAAAGGAATTGCACGGGAATTCGGGATTCCAAGCAGTACGCTCTCGACAATTTTAAAAACTAAAGCAGTTATCTTAGAAAAGTTCGAGGATGGCCTAGGCAAGCGAAAGAAGTAAAAAACCTGTGAATTTCCCGATATGAAGAAGGGCCTTATAATGTGGATTACACAATATCGAAGTCGAAACATCCCTCTAGATGGACTTGTTATCAAAGAAAAAGCTGAATCTTTTGCAAAAGAATTAGGCCACTTAAATTTCAAAGGAATTAATGGCTGGTTTGAAAATTTTAAAAAACGTAACAATATTACATTTTTGAAAATGCGTGGTGAAAGTGCTTGCGTAGACGAAGAAGTTTGTGAATAATTTAGGAAGAAAATATGCTTGATTGTGAAGGATTACGACAAAAAAGACGCATTCAATGCGAATGAAACTGGACTTTTTTTAAATGCACTCCAGGGGCAACTATGCATGTAAAGGGTGAAACATGTCATGGAGGCAAGAGAAGTAAAGAGCATTTAACTTTATTGTTTTGTGCAAATATGAATGGAACAGAAAAGTTGAAACCGTTGATGATAGGGAAATCGAAAAAACCAAGATGTTTCAGCGGCATAAAATCATTTCCTTTAGAATATGAAGCTAATAGAAAAGCTTGGATGACATCAAACCTTTTTGAAAGCTGGCTTAAAAATTTAAATAAGAAAATGAAAACAGAAAATTGTGCTTTTCATTGATAACTATACGGGGTACTATATACCTAAATGGCATAATACGGGGCACTATATATAACAATACCTAAAATGGAAAACATAAAAATTGAATTTCTCCCCCCAAACACTACCTCAAAACTTCAACAACTTGAGCAGGGCATCATCCAAAGTTTTATAGTAAAGTATCGTCATCAAGTGGTTAAAAAATGTTGTCCGAAATGGAAGATGGAGTTTCACCAGCTATGCGAATGGCTGACAAGGCATGGAATGATGTGTCTTCCTCTACGATAATGAATGGCTTCAAGAAGTCTGGATTCATTAAAGATCACGAAAGTAGTCAAACAATCAATATCGTTAATTCTGCTGAAAACTACACCGAAAATGATTGGAACAGATTGACCGGACTCATGAAGCTTGATGACATGGAATTTCATGACTTTGTAAACGTAGATGATGCAGTAACAGTGTGTGGTCAGTGGGATGACAATGATATCATCGCTCAAACGAAAGCTTCTTGTGAACTATCAGAAGAAGAGGATGAGGAAATCGAAGATTTACCGCCCAATGTTACTAACAAACAAGCACTTTCTGCAGTGGACACTGTAAGGAGATTTATTAAGAGGCAGCCGAATATGTCAAAGGAGACATTTAAAGTGCACTTAGAAAGTGTTACAGACAAACTTTCTTACACATCTCTAAAGCAAACAGCAATTGAATCTTTTTTTAAATGAAAGTGCGAAAAGTGTTTTTAGAAAAGATATGGAATAGTAAATAATGTATGTAAAGAGCATTTTTCTTTATTCTACCATCAATAGCATACGATTTTCGATAATTCGAATTTTTGGTATCTCAAATTCTATCCCCTCTCCCGTCAAGTTCGAGATATCGAGGTTTGACTATATTTCACTTTTTCATGACACCTTATTTTCTGATGATTTTCGCCCTTAATTTGAAAGTTTTTGTGAAATACCTATTTTTTTTTTTTTTTTTTTTTTTTTTTTTTTTTTTTTTTTTTTTTTTTTTGCATACATTTGATGTTTTTGTTTGTGTTTTCTTTTTTAATGCAATCATCCTTTCTAAATCAATCTGTAATGGAATATTTGTAACTCCAATTGTGTTGTTAAGCATCCGTGTTTCTGACACTTAACTTTTTACATGTAGCAAGTGTCAACACTTCCTTGAATTTTTTTATAACTATAGTCAGTGGAAGATAGTAAAGAAAAGTTTTCACCTGTAGGAAGGTTTTTCATAAGATAGTTTTCACCTGCAGGAAATATATTCCTGAATGATTTTATTAATTGACTGTATAGCTTTTTTTTTATCTGACAAATACGTTACATTGAGTAGTTAATTTTCTCAATTTACAGTCATCAGCAGTAAAAGAACCTATTCCCGTGTATGAATACTTGGATTCCACCCAAAATAGCAAGGTAAACATTTACATTTTTCTGTATAACCAAGCATTTAAATGGAAAAAATATTTTTAAAATTTAATGTTTTATGACTGTTTTATAAATTCCTAAAATAAAATGCTTATTTTTTTAAAAAAATGTAACTTATATGTTTCAGTGTTTTATAATTCTTTTTAATGATTTCATTAGTATTATTATTTTTAAATTATATTCTTGTATTATGACTTACACTTAACCTAGCATCTATCTCTCTATTAAAATTTTGTAAGTGATACAGTTTTACTACCATACTGTTTTGGGTGTTTAACTTAATGTTACATGTTATTTGGGTACGCAGAAACCATGAAACTTGAAACTACAAAGATGCGTAAAAAAATGCACAGGGAAGTACAATGGAATGAAAAAAATTTAAAATTCCATAATTTGTTTGAGAATTATTAACTGTTTGTTAAATTTGTAAAAAATGCAACTTCATAGTTGAAATTCAGTATGCTGAAAAGGCTGTATTTATTTTCGAACTTAACACAGAATTTTTTCGAAATTCAATTTTGTTTGAAAGTTATTGCAATTTTAAGTGGGTTTTTTGTGCAAATGTTCTTCTTTTTTTTCCTTTTTTTTTGCTTTGTTGCACAAAAGCTATAAGACTTAGAAACTTTAAATTACGAATATATGTAGAAAAATCTCCAGGGAGTGTGACGGAATAAAAAAGTTTCGCATTCAATAATTAAGTTCAAAATTTATTAACCCTTAAACTTGTAGAAAAAAATACAATGTTTAGTAAATCTGCAGCCTAATGAAATGTAACTATGAAGTTAAAATTTGATGTGTTAAAAACGCTGTTTTGATTTGGGAACTTATTAATCCAAGTTTTGTTCCAAAATTTCAATTTATTCAAACCTTAATACAAATTTAAGAGCTTTTTGGTTATATTTTTTACCTTTTTGCTTTAAATGTTGACTATTTAAACATTGTTGTTTAAAAATTTATTTCTTCTTACAAGTTTATTTTATAAGCTTGTGCTCCATCAAAAGTTACAAAAGAGAGAAAGAGATTTTCATATTGCCAGATGTAAATCATATAATTTATGTATAAATGAGTTTTTAAAAAAATTATGTATAAATGAGTTTAAAAAAATTTCGAAATTAGAAACAGTTTAAATGGAAAAGTATTAATAAACTGTATAATAGACTTATTTCAGAATTATCTGTGTTCTAGTTTATTGATTAATTTTGCAACTGTTTTCTATCTATATTTTCCGGAATAATGATAAGCTGATATGAATTATTGAAAGTTAGACAAATTTTTCCCTGATTTTGTTGTTTTCTTGTTATTTAGATCCAGGATAAATGTAAGAGCTTGCAAAACCTATCCAGCAATGTTTCTTGGGATGGCTACCTAAACTTCCTCGAAACTGATGCCGCAAAGGAATTAAATTCTTGCAGTAAATATATGGACTTATTTCTTTTTTCTAATTTAGCCAGAAATTAATTTCGCAAAATATTTAGCTTGTTCAGACAGAAGTGACATATTTATGGCGCAGATGCTATAAATGTTACAGAATACTTCTACTGGCACTTAAGGTTCTTTTTGTTGTATGAAATGCCACTTTTTAGCAAAAACTATACGATTTTTTTTAATATAATGATTTTTTAATGGTTAGTCATGGCTGTTAGAATAATTTTAGTAAAATATTCTTTGCCATGGAATATACCAAAAGTGTTGCTCATTTTACTCGTAGCCTGGTGAGCACCTTGCGACCAAAGTCACGGAGACGAGCAATATTACCCTCTCCATACTGCCACGGATACCTGTTTATAGGGTGGGCCACATTCACACATCACACACAACAGAGGACAACACAGAGAGAAACATCCATGCTCTGAGTGGGATTCCAACCTGCAGCTATTGGTTTTGCAGTCAGGCACGCTAATGGTTTAACCCCCAGGCCGGCATGTTTCGAAATATAGCAGGAAGTTAATTTTTCAAATTGTTTGACTGGTTCTAAGATAGGGATATCATACCTATGGCAGCAGAAGTGCCAAGCGAAATCTTTTTAATGCACTATGACGCAAATGAAACTTTTCGTGGCGAATTCTGTATAATTTCCTTTAATATTTTAAAAGTTCGGAGAAAAGTGGTTTAGGCAAACCTTAAGTTAACCCTGAAGTTCCAAGTGCTGAAAAAATTGTTTTCAAAATGCAAACCATTATGTCATGATTACTTCCCCGATGTGTAATTTTTTTTATTTCATTCTGATATTTTAAACATGTTTTTCAGCATTTCCAAGCGGGCAGGTTACAAGAAATAAAACAACATACCGAGCTGGAGGCTAAAACTGGACTAGTATTTTCTTTACAGAAAAAATATATTTTTTGCGACACTACTGCTATCTACACTAGCATTTGTGCTCCCATCTATGGACAAAGCAATGTTAAACTAACGCATTTAATAAAAGCAATGCTAAAAAAAATTTTTTTTTGATTTGTGATGGCTTTGCATGCTATCACAAATCCAAAATTTTGCTACGTGTGTTTACTTTACCTCAACAATCTAATTTTTTTCTTCAATTTTTATCTTATAATTTTTGAATTCTGACTGTTCTAAAATTACTCTTTTAGATAATCTAACACCAGATGATGATCCAAACCCCATGTTGGCGGTCCTTAAGTCTTTTAAGGAACAGATGGATGAACAAATGCAGAAGTTTGTAAATCAAATAAAAAAGCAGAATCAAAAACTGATGATGTTACAACAAACTCAACAGAGAAATTATGAAGAACTGAAGGGAGAAACTAAGGTTTTAAATGAATCACTAATTATAGAAAATATTGTCCAAAAGATTCTTGAGCATCCTCCATTTTCAAAGTTAGAAAGTTCTCATTCTTTTTGCGGTAAGAAATTTGATACTAAGTTTTATCTGAATTAGAACTGAAAAACAGTGATTGTGAGTTTTCCCGTGGCGGCACGGCGACATTGTCACAGAACGTTACGGAGTTCTTGCAGAAATATTTTTCTTTTGGGAAGTAAAGCTTTTTTTTCTGCTGAGATTTTCGAAAGATTTTATCTTTTCTTCAGAATTATATTCAAAAGATGCCTTTCTCGCGCATCTGAGTGGGGAAAAAAATGCTTTTTCTATTCTCATTTGCGAACAAGAAAAAATAAAGATTAATGAAGTTGAAAATTTGGTTTTCTTTTCTGCAGAAAATTCTGTTCTAATTTTTTTAATTCATCTATTACTATTGATTTCCTCATTGTTTTAAAGTCCGATATTTTTAATATATTATGTATTACGACAACTGAATCTCGAAATGAAAACGCGCATTTAGTAACCGTTTTTTTTACCGTTTTTAGTAACCATTCATTAATCGATTTACTGCTATGGATTTCACAATTTTTTTTTTTTACTGAGATGACGATTTACAAAATGCGAAAAAGGAAATAATTACTTTGTTTCCTCACCCCCCTGCAATATAGCCCATAATATTAGATAAAAAAGTATACATAATGAATCGGGTAACAAATATACCATATACAAGAAATACTACTCAAGACAGTCTCAAAACACGAATGATCACGTTGTGAGCCAAATACACCTGAAACCTGTAAGTATAGGCAGTTAAAGAGCTTGCAGTGCATCCTAGTGTAGAGAACACTATCCATAGAGACACTAGGATACTTGTTATAAATCAACATTCTCAAAATAATTTGCTTTCGAACTATAAAATTCTGCCTGGTATTTAACCTTTGTTACGCTGAATTCCTCATCCATGACTCTTTTAACAGTTTTTGCTGGAACACAGAACTTGTAATATGAGTTGATTTTAAATTATTTTGATTACAATATTATTTACCCATTTCCTGCGATTCTTGTAAACAGAAATGATTGCGCTCCAGAAAAATATCGGATTTTTCGCTAATCCCAATCCAGAAATTTTTGGAAATCTTAAGATCCAAATCATCAATCACATTTATGTATAAAAATTCTTGTATATATATTTTTTTAAATATTAAAGCTAGAATTTATACGTGGCATCTCTTTCTTTTGTAAATAATTTTTCTGCTAGAATAATAAATGTGATTAAAGATGAAAGTAAGCTTGTGAAAAATTATTAATTTAAATTATGGTGCATATAATTCATTTAGAATTTCATGTTGCGAAAATATCAATGATTGGAATTTATAAAGACATAAAAATTTTTGAAATGCGTCACTAATGATTTTTCTCAAGAAATTTTCAGGATTTTTGAGTTGTGCTTTCAATTACCCCTGTGCAACGCACTACAACCTTGCAGAGTGCATAATATTTTCATAATGAATTGTAATACAGTTAAAGTTCATTAAAACAATAATTCATAATAGCTGATGAAATTATCATTATAGCTAGCTTTTTAACATGGGAAGATGTGCATATTCAATGTTAAAATAGGAACAAAAAAATTAAACAAGAATATTCACTTTTTTTTTATTTATTCCGATTTTCACTATAGACTGTTTGCCTACAGATTGAATCCTGTTTTATGTAGCTCTGTACTTAGTGTAAGACAGGAATGTTTATGGATGATTGGAAGTAAATGAGCCCTGTTTTACGTAGCTCTGTACTTAGTGAAAGACAGGAATGTTTATGGATGGTTGGAAGTAAATGAACCCTGTTTTATGTAGCTCTGTGCTTAGTGAAAGACATGAATGTTTATGGATGGTTGAAAGTAAATGAACCCTGTTTTACGTAGCTCTGTACTTAGTGAAAGACAGGAATGTTTATCGATGATTGGAAATAAATGAGCCCTGTTTTACATAGCTCTGTATTTAGTGAAAACCAGGAATGTTTATGGATGGTTGGAAGTAAATGTAAAGCTGATGTAACCATGCAAAGCTAAGCACTGATGGCGCTATGGGTTATAATTCATCGTAAGACTTCCGGGTTACTTTTACGCCTAAACTTGAAAAAACGCGCCATCAAATATTATTATGCTTGTAGTGTTTACAATATAATGTGTTTTTTAAATTTCAATGAAACAAACAACAAAGGAGTTTGGAGCATTCCGCAAGCATACTTTTCCCTGCAAGATGCAACCCCCCAAAAAACAAATGGTGATATTTTACACTGACGAGATTTATTTATAGACTGTCAACGTTCATCTATCAACAAGTATCTCCAGATAGAAACAAGTTAACATGTCTTGTATACTAAGGAATTGATATTTAATATTTATAGTGGTAGTTACACCACAACACAAATATAGCCAAATGAGGGATAACGCTCAAGACATGGCAAATCTTGCACTTTATTTATGTTGTGATATTAATTTTCTGAAATTTATTTTACGCTCATGACTTGTTAGAATTTATAAATCATAGAAAACTATTATAAACGGTAAAATTACGTGTAAATTTAGACACAAATTGCAATAATAAAACTTTCTGGAATATTAAGCCTGTTCATACATTGCCTCGTAAGCATACCATAAGTGGAAGGATACACAGGAAGTTTTCATAAATTTCTTCCGGTTTTAAGAAGTTTGTTATTGTTTACATTCAGTCAACCATCCATACAACAAGTTTCCGAACTAACAAGTTTTTGCAATAATAGAGTAAATGTAAATTACTTTTGACATTAGTGAATAGCGATTTCAATAGTAAGGTGTTAAGGAGAGATTTGTGGGCAACAAAAGGAGCAAATTTCCAAACATAGAACTTTTCTTTTATTATAAAGAAGATAACTTAACGCCAGTGCTGCATTGCAAATTTAGTGCTTAATTTAATTCCCCAATACTCTTAAATTGAAACAGAATAAATTTTTTTCAGCAAAATTTTTTAAATATTCACATTTTTATTTCAGCATCTGATAATAGGTGTCGCTCAATGCAAAGTATTACTCCTATGAGTAGCCAAAGTGATAATGATAGTGAAGTAAGTCTACAATTTATTTTAATTTATTTATATAAACAAGTACAGGTTTCATTTATATATTATTTTCTTAAAATAAAAAAACTTTGTCTTCTTGGGCTGAGAAGTTATGCTATATTGTATTGATTATTATTTGATGATAATCCTAAATGTTTTTTATATTTATGTACAATTAGTATTTAGAGATAAAATAAAGACTTTTAACAGTGCTGATTGTATTCCGGGGTGTATCCCGGAATTCCGGGTTTTTCATATTATCCTACCGGATCCAAACATTGGGAGCAGTGCGAATGATTTTTCTGGGAATATCGCGTAATTCAGCATTCCTCAAAACATACAATCCGAAATTTTCACGGAATTCCTCAATCTAAAGTTCAAATTTTAAAAGTTCTGCTAATTCCCACATACAAGGAGCTTTCATACACGTGATTCTTTTGGTTTAGCGAATTTTCGTCATTTTGAATATTTGAAACTGCACCAGAATTGGCTAATATTGCGATTCCTATTCACACAGTTTGAATATCAAGCATCGGTTCTCGTATTTACCTAATTTAAGTTACACATTGTGATTTGAATTCCCATGGTTCGAAAATCAAACATCGTGACTCATATTAACGCAATTTTAAAATCCAGTATCGCATTTCATATTCATGCGTTTTAAAACTTCAACATCGCAATTTTAAAAATCCCACATTGCAATTCTTGTTAAAACTAAGATTTTTGTGAGACTAAGATTTTAAAATTAGTTTCTATAAAGGTGTGATATTCATCATTGGTAGTTAATTTAATTATAATCTTTAAAAAAATTATGTTAAATACAAAACATGCATGGTATATAAATTAATATCGATTTTTTGCACATAAAAGTTTCCGTGTTTCTCTCTTTGTGTCACTACCATCCCTGTGTTAACAAAATTTAACTGAAAATGTTTTTTTTTATAGTTAAATATTTTTTTTTATCTGAAAATTATTTTAAACTCATTTAAATGGCTTTTGTATAAACTTATTTAAAGAAATATACAGTTAAGTGTAGTCAATGGAGATTTCTTATTGAAAACAATTTTCTTGATAATTAGCATTAGTTTATATATTCATAACGGTATTCAAATTACGATATAATTTTACTTTTCTTGTCTGTATCAATACACAATTTGTCTTAATTTCAGCAATCGTTTAAAGGACGTCCAATATCTAGATTTGAAGGTAGTCGCTATGGACCTCACCAAGCAGGTGCCTACAAAGTAAAAAAAGGCTATTTTGAAGAAGTCAGCTACCAAAGGTCCTAACATTTTTGAAACTATCTAGGTAAAAAATTCAAATTTATTGTTTGAATTTCTGCAATATTGTAGTAAAAAAAATCATCTGGTTATTAAAAGGCTGTTATTAAAATTTCTGTTGTATGAAAATTATGGGTTATGAAAATAATCTTGGAAATTATTATAATTTTATTATGAAAATAAGCTTGCTAAAATTGTTCTTCAAATCTCAATTCCAAGAAAAATAGTAAAAAATCGAAGCTTTAATTTTATTATGTGTAATATCTATCTGAAGAGGAAAAAATTAAGCCAAATGTTTTTTCTTTTTACTATGGAATACTTAATGATTAATCTACTTTGGCAGAACCCTGACTTCATAATTAAAGTTTACCTTATGTGATTAAGATTTAGCAATCTTAATCGCATTTAGTAATTAAGTTGGTTTTTGATATATGTATTTATGTTAAGAATGAATTTATAAGCTAAATTCTGATTTTCATTAAAATGGACCATTTTTGTGTCTTTTTTTTCCTAGCGTTTTACATAAATAGTTTTATAATGAAAATCTAATTATTAAATAAATAATTTTTTACTGACAGGATCTAAATAGCAGACTTCAAAAATCATTACTTAAAGAAAAATAATAACTTTTGGAACTCTTGTAATCTCTCTTAAGGAGGAAGAAGGAAGGTGATCTGTGGAAGTCACACTAGTTTCTGAAAACTGCTGATCCAGATTTTGAAATGGACTACATAGTAATCAATTAGATAATGTGTTNCTACTGTATTAAATAAATAATTTTTTACTGACAGGATCTAAATAGCAGATTTCAAAAATCATTACCTAAAAAAAAAATAATAACTTTTGGAACTCTTGTAATCTCTTTTAAGGAGGAAGAAGGAAGGTGATCTGTGGAAGTCACACTAGTTTCTGAAAACTGCTGATCCAGATTTTGAAATGGACTAAATAGTAATCAATTAGATAATGTGTTAAAAAAAAGTGTCATAATATTTTTAAATTGATCAAATGATCATATTTGAATACTTTTTTAGAAAAAAAATCTCAAAAATATATATATCAAAATCTTATAATTTGTTACTATTTTTATGATTATTAAGCATCAACATTTTTTATTTCTAAAAATGAATCTTTTCAAATATATTTATTTATTTGTTAAATTGAATTCGTCATCATTCTCAGAACTTTTTAATAAACAGAAGTACAGTGAAACCTCTCTGGAACGACCACTCTCCGTTCCACAGTGAAATGGACGTCGGTCATTCTTAGAGGTTACCTCTATTGACTTCAAAATTTTTATAGAAGGTACATGATTTCTCGTAAACGATTTTAATTCTAGTCAGTGTCATTTTCTTGGTGTGGAAATGCCACTTCTGTTGGCGCCAGGAAAGACGGATCTATGAAAATATTTAGCGTCTGTAAAAATCATCTCAACTGATATAATTATGTGTGAAAACAAATTTACCATTATCATTATTATGTATGATTACAAATATTAAACAATTATGTTTTTGTGTACGTTTGCATTTGATTTTATATTATAAAAATCAGTTGGCTTTAAAAGGTGAAATGAGGTTTCTTTATTTCAGATGTTTGTTTTTTCTAAAATAAATTTTTTTTTTTCTAATTTAACTTTGAACTCTAAAAGCAAATCATTGATAGCATCATTTTCAATGCACTCTAACTGCAACATGAGATTGTATCTCAAAAAGAGCTCTCTAAATAATAGCCTCACACAAATATTTTAAATGCAATTTAATCTACTTATTTGTTTTATTACATTTTTTGTTTTTATATTTTTTTGTGTTTCCTTATTTGACCTTTTCCGCATGTTGTGCGGATGTTTTCCTGGTCTCTGGCTGAGGTTTTAACCCTTTCGCGATGGGATGTTACACCGTGCGATTATTGCTGAGTTCGGCAGTCTCTCTCGCGAGTGTCTGTCCAGGGCCGGAGGGGTTTTTGCTATTAAGCCTAAATCCATGAAATATCAATGTGTTGTTTAATAATGTTCTGCAGAATATTTAAATGGCATATGCTTTATATATATTTCTATCGATACTTTATTGACTTAAGTTATTTCTTGTTTAATATATATTTTACAAAATTTATTTTCATTATGTACTTACTATTTAATAACTTTTAACATTATATATCAGAAAACTAAATGTATAACTTAAAATTCTAATTTCCACTATAAACTGGACCGCAAATCGAAATACCCAACGCTGTAGCGGAAAAAAACAACCCTCCCCTACTTACTGTAAGCAAATATCACGTGCGAATTTAAAGAGCTGTCATAAAGCATGCCATTCAGAAAAATTCCTTTCTCCTTCATTCCTTCCCCCTACAAACCACGTGTATGTGAGTCATACTACTCTCATTTTGAGTAGAAGTAAAATCAACCCTAAATTTTTTTTATCTGTGAAACTAGTATTTAAAGAAATCAGTATTAAAGTAAGGTTATAGTATAAAGATACATCTTTATACTACAACCATATTTTTTTGTCTATGTAAAGACGGCTTAAATTTTTAGGTTAATGAAAAAAAATCAAGTTTCACATTTTTCAATTATATTCTTTTATGTTTATTGTGATGTTTCAATTGCGTCAAATTTCCTTGACTAATCAACAGTGAAGTGGTCATAAAAAAAAAACAATACTGTTTCTTTCTTGCCACCCTCAATAAGAAAATCAGTCCATTACCTGATATAGTTGTAAAAGACACATCCATAAACATAGAATTCTTGTTTGAATAACAAGCAAAGAATAATTTATGCAGACGTTGAGTGCCCAACTTATGAAGTTAAGAGAAGGGGTCCAGTTAAGAGAAGGGGTTATTTTTGGAATTCATAGAAGACTGTCTGGAATTTTGAAAATGTTTTGTAATGTAAGTTGTCCACCCTGGAAGAAAAATATTTTCACTACATTTAAAATTATAATTGTGCTTGTACCGTATGAAATATTTCATTGTGATACTAATGGATTGTTGTTTAGAATATTTTTGAATTCACAATTTTAATTCTTTGTTTTACTTTTGCTGTTTTATCATTTGCTTAAAAAAATGCTTAATCTATAATTTTATAGATTTGAACTGTGATTTTAACCCATTTAATTCAAACTATCGACGAAAAAAAAAGTAAAAAATTTTTTATAGTTAATTAACAGTTAAGTTGGATATTCCAAATATTATATACGTTTTTAAGTTATAAATATGTATTTAATAATAGTATATTATTTGTTGTAAAGAATTGCTTCCTACTTCAAAATGTCATAGTTTGTTATATCTAATCATTTATTGTTTACAATATTTTAAATAAAAAGTTTAATATTTTTGTTTGTATATTTCATGTTTGAGCTTTCTATCATTCTTTCGTTCATTTTTTTCCCTCCAAGGACAATGACATATATTTGCTGTTTAGATATACTGAAAATTATACACGTTTATAGAGTTTCAATCACATTTTTTTTCTTTTATTTTTTGTTTTTTTAAAAAACCTACTGGAGTGTTATATGCAAGTTTCAATTGTTCCTTGACCACTAAATACAATTTCATAATGATAGGGAATTTTCTGTCAGTCATAATTCCGAGCATGTTACAATTAACTAGATTTCTCACATTTTAACTAGTTTTACGGTGGATGACTATACAAGCTTCAGATGTTTCTGGACAATTGTAAGTACAGTTATTGTCATTTTATCGTCGACCAAAGTTTTAACCACTTACTAACTAGAGTATCCAGATTTTATGTTTTTTGTAAATGAAATAAGTGTCTCAAGGCTACACGATTTTCGCACTCTCCACATTTCCCCCCTTTCCTGTACCATGGTTTCTGCAAATCTTACTTTTTCCCCACACCTGTAGATTCCATCTTCTGATTCGCGATCGCAACACTCGAATACGCCATCTGGGGAGAGACCGGTTTCATGCCTTTAGCCCTTCTCCCTTCCCTCTCCTCCTCTTTTCAGTTGTATAGGAATGTACTACGATATTTTCCCTTTTCTTAATATTTTTCCTTTTTATTTAATCAAAATATTTTTTTAAAATTTCCATGATACTTTTCTTTAGAACTATGTTTAATGCAGTTTTCAGTTTCATATAGTATTTCAAGTTGAAAGATTTTAATCTAGATGAAAATCAAGAGAGAAACTAACGTACTTCCTTCCTCTATGACTTTCCACACGCTAATGGGGAAAGCTCGGAAAGCATGTGAAGTGTTGCCATAGGAAAAGAGTTCTGTTCTACACCACCTGCAGCCTATTTCGATCGCCAATACGTACTGGCAGGGTGAAAAGGAAAGATTTGCCGAAATTATGGTAATGGAGAGGGGAAAAGTGTTGAGACATGTAATTGTTCCATTTCTAAAAAGTATAATTATATCTATGTACAGGATAACAATACAAGTTTTCTGATCGCTACAAACAAATAAATTATCGTTAATTCCGAAATTACGTTTTGAGAAAGGTAGAAAATGCTATTATATACCCCCTTCCTTTTCAGACTGATAGATGGGACTTAGTTACTTCACATTTTTAAGAAAGTTTTACTTAATTTATGAAAGGAATACATTTGTTTCTAATTCTATGGTGATCATTCTAGGAATTTTTCACCCCTGGATTTATTTAAAAAAGGTTTGATTTAAACGAATGAGTGTCATAATTTCTGAAAATGTCCACATATGCTTAAAAATATTTTAAGTCTGTCCAAAGCATACAAAAAGACCCTGCACAACTCGTATGAAAATTAAAATCTCTGTAAATTTGATTTGTTTAAAAATTCAATATGTTGCAATGCCGTGATAGCCTGCAGGCTGAAATATATTACCATATGCACACAACCACTATACCATATATATACTATTCAATATACAATATCCAACCACTATACTATACAATATATTACCATATGATCAAACCACTTTTAAATAACTCCCGGCAGGGCACTGGGTGAACCCTGCTGGACGAAGACTCCCCGTGTAGTGAAGTGACTGATGCATGTTAAATATGTCGAGTCGCAAAAGTCCTCCATGTTCCCATAACAAATCAATACCTCTGGGGGTACTGGATTGGAGATCGATCGTTCTCTGATTCAGTTCAAAATTACGATCTGTGGATGGATGTATGTATGAGTGGGTCCGCTCTATAATCCCATTAACGGATGCGACGTATGGTGTGGCAGAAGTCGAATTCTTGGCCATAGATGGCGCCACTGGAAAACAAGAAACGCACGCTCTGCTTAAATGTGCTCGGTTTTACCAAGCAGGCTTGTCCGTGTGGCGAGTAGCATTAGAAACAAAAACATATGTTGTAGTTCAAAACATTCTGCGCAATAGTTCTTACAGACGAAGTCCAAGAAGTGATACTGAACCTTAAATGTATTCCTTGAAGACACAGCCTGCATGATTGTGTGTAGATTAAGTCCAATGTGTGCACATGGTAATATATTACAGTAATAATATAAATAGGGCTACTAGCGCACTTGGAGCGAAATGAGACTCAAATTTTTAAATGCTAACTAAAAATTAAAAGCCTTTAACTGCTAAACTAAATAAAAGATACAATTTTTAAAGATTACAATGATTTTTTAAGAATAATATACATTATGCATTTATTATTTTGGACCTTATTTCTAGCTCCTTAAAAATGCACTAGAATCGTGATTTCTTTTCAAAAAAAAGTTTTAGTGACATTAATACTATTTATTTTGACCTTAGTGCACTTGTATCCCAGATAGCAAAATAAGGTTTAATTTCACTCGGCAAAAACTTTTAATATAAACCTAAAAATCTTTGCTGTTTACGTGTAAACCTTCTAATCTTAAAACGAGAACTGTGTTCTTTCAATGCACATTCCCTAATCCAAAACCTTAAATCGAAGTTTGTCTTAGGCTTTTCAAGCGTTTAAAAATCCTTGAATAAAGCTAAGGTGAAAATAATCTTAAATCTAGTTTATTATAAGATTTCTTTCCTCAGCTAAAATCCACTTGAAATTTTAATGGACAAAGCAATTGGATCCTATAATCTCTATAGTGTGACGTCAGCTAAACGTTTGCAGCTGCAATGTAGACAGCTAAAACGTCATTCGGACCTAATAAGTGACAATACTTTTTAAAAAATAATTTTTCATCCTCTTAGAAACTGCAATATTTTTGCTTTATTGAGAAATGGTTTTTAGTGCCAACATTTTGGTGACAATAAAAAGAAATGCATTGCTTTCTGGGTATGATGAATGCCATCTTCTAAATTTTAAATGTATCTGCATAGGACGCCCTATAATAAGAAAGCGCTCTCTTATTTCAGGGTGCTTAAAGGTGCTTATTTATTCGTTTTTTAAAAGCTCTTATATAGGTGCTTTTTTCATTGGATGTTTTTAAAAAGTGCTTAATTTTCCCTTTTCCAAAATGAGATTTTTCCTTTACCATGTTGATTTTCGCTACGAATTATGCAGNCAAGATGTTAATAAATATCACCACAACCATGTTGATTTTCGCTACGAATTATGCAGAAAGACATTGTTCTATTCAGCGTTTTCACAATTAATTCAACCCCAATCAATTTCGGCGTATCGTCAGTCCGTAGCATATTAAAACTCCATTCAATTTACATGATCCAAAAATTTTGACAATTGTCAAACACAATGCCGAATTTTTTTTTTTTTNTTTTTTTTTTTTTTTTGGCATGACGGTTTAAACCAGATAAAACCTTCAGTTGTCAAAAACTTTCCAATCCTACCTAAATTGGGATTTTTTTGTTAAGTGCTTAAAAATATTATTTGAGTGCTTAAAAGGTGAATAATTTGACTACGCACCCTGTATTTGCTTGAACGGTCAATATGTCATGTTCAGTACTTCTAATTAAATTCATTATTCGATAATGTGTGCGCTTTTATTCATTCTTTATAATCTTCTTAGGAGATTCTATTTTTAACCGCACATTTTTTCACACCTTTACATTTTTTGGTTACTCATACTTTAAAAGCATACATTTTTGTTCTCAATCCAATAATCTCAGTTATTATTTCACCAGAATTTTTATCCTTTATTTTACCTTTTTCTTTCCATGCAATATTTATTATTTTCTTTATAATCTGATGCATCAAAATAAATGGATCATACATTTTATATCATTATAAAAACCATCTGTATAGATATCATATAAATTCATTATATCAATGTCTTGATATAATAATTTAAGATTTTCGTTATATTTTTATTTCATATTATCATAATGAAATGCATCCATTAGATATTTGGATAAATCTGAAATGCTCATTCTAGCATAGATTTTGTTTATTAAATACAATTTAGATTTTATTCATATGAATTGATACCATGGTTTCATCAAATATAATAGTTCTACTTTCAAAATTTGGTTTAGATATTATTTTTCAGCTTTCTTTGCATCGCAACATAGTTTTATATCTACCATTTAACTTAAACTGGTGCTCTGGTACCAATTTAATTGAAATGGAGAGAAACCTTAACAGTACTCTTTCTGAATTGTCAAACTTTGCCTCGGAATTTAAACTCTGTTTTAATCCTGCCAAATCCATTGCCACCTTTTTTACGACCAATAAAAGATTATGCAATTTCCAGCCAAAATTTAAAATGGATAACCAGGACTTAGCTTATGAGAAGCATCCTAAATATCTGGGATTTGTTTTAAATCCCGAATGGACAAGTAAATCGAACATATTGTCTCAAAGGGCAGAAAAATATTCTTTAATACATAGCGGGCAAGGCAAAGACTGGGGAGCTGATCCTTTCACTCTGAGAAATACGTATGTGACATTTATTAGGCCCATCTTAAAGTATAGCTGTTGCCTCAGCCACCAACTTGGAGAAGGTTCAACTCAGTGCTGCTAGAATTATTACTGGACTAAAACGCAACTGCTCTAGAGAAGTTGTTCTCTATGAGGCTAACTTGCAACCTCTCCAAACTAGAAGAAAGGCCAACCTCTTACCAAGTATTTTAACAAACTTTCTAGTTACGGTTAGCATAATAGAATCTCCCTATATTTAGACAACTGGAATTAGTACCAAAGACTTCAGAAAAACAGTCTCTTTAGTCAGGCTAAACTTCTGTGTTTGCCTCCTTATTAGCGATCGAAATGGACTGCAGGTGGCGTAGAGCAGAACTCTTTTCCTATGGCAACACTTCACATGCTTTCCCCATTAGCGTGTGGAAAGTCATAGAGGAAGGAAGTACGTTAGTTTCTCTCTTGATTTTCATATAGATTAAAATCTTTTAACTTAAAAAACTATATGGAACTGAGAACTACATTAAACATAGTTCTAAACAAAAGTATCATTGTTATTTTAAAAAATATTTTTGTT